ACATACATTTGAAAGGCTTAAAATGTAATTAACTAGTAAGTCAATAAGTGAGTAATCTTTATTTCTATAGTGCCTTTCACAGACCAGCCACAAAGCAGTTTACAATTGTTGTTTTTTAGGTATTTTGTCTTTCACTCCACACAGAAATGGGAGCGAGTAAGTCATCTCTATTCATTTATCAATTTTCCCATCTTTCCCATCTACTCTAGTACCATACAAATAAAGTTTCACCCCTTCTTGAGCACATTTATTCAAATGCTGAATTAACATTTTTTAATTGCTAATAATTTCTAGATTTCCAAAAAAAACAAAAACAGAGGACCCACTGTCGGGGTCGTAGGCCCTTCTGTCTGTCAAACGCTGATCTGAAAATCTTTCAGTCAAACAGGTTTTATAAAATCAAGACCTGCAGCTGACAACACGAGGAGGCTGTTGCACATAACTGATGGCACCTCTACTACTACCAGCAGTTCTCTCGATGCCATGAAGGCGTTTGACAGGGAAGCCTGTAACCCAGTTTTAAGTTGTGTTACTCACTAATGTTTTGACATGGGAACACATGTCACACTGATGATCCAGGTGCTTTATAATGATAGTATCACTAAAGGACACTACATACAGTCAATATCTTAAAGACAGTGCAAGTTAAAGAGCTGCCCCTGCCTTTTCCAAACTTCACATTCTGTCACTGGGCTGGAAGAGTTTTGAGAGCTTTTGTTGCTTGAGTAGCTCAGTTGGTTCAGTGGGTATTCTCTAAGCTGTTCAAATCCTGCTTCTTGGTTGCACGGTCAGATCGACTGACACTGACAGATGGCTCACTTTGGTGAATGCAGCTGTGTCTCCTTGGTTAAGACAGTGTCTGCATATACTGATGGGTTATTGATTCCTTAATTGTTAAAACATAGAAAAGCAGATTTAAATGTTACTCTTTATCTTTTTTTGGTCAGCCGATTGACCAATAATTACGTTGGTCGACTACAGTCCTACAGTAATTTTCCCCTTCTCTGTATTTAAAAGTCGAGTTTAATGATCTAAGAGATGGATTGATTACTTCTCTCTGATGGCCTTTTCGTTGCAGTTGCTCTACCCAGTGCTGCCGCCTACAGTGCTCTGGTCGGCTCCACCGTGACCCTCCACTGTCTGTCTGCCAAACTACCCTCGCCGTTGAACTTGACCTCACTGACCGTGGAGTGGATCAAAGAAGAAGCAGACGGGAAGCCGAAAGCAGTGTATAGTTTTGAACATGGCTTCTCTCAACCCCACAGAAAAGGTGCTGATGTGGACAGGACAGGGATGCTGCACAGAAACGTCTCTCTCAAGATCGTCAACATCAGTGTGTGGGATGCCGGGCCGTACACCTGCCGGGTCATCACACCTGTTGTGGACTCATGCACGGCCCATCTGGAGGTGAAAGGTATGGATTTCTCTTCGTTTGACTTGACCTCAACCTCGACCTTCTCCCAACCAGCTGGCATGGCACCATCAAAGCTGGGGGAGATTTGTAAAAGTAAAAGTGTTGTGAACAAATCCTACAACATGCTCTTTTTATCACTATGCTAAACATGTAAAAGTAAAAACTTATGGTTTGAAGCAAACTGATTTCAGAGCGAGGAACTGGTGAGATGGGTTTTATAACATGCTACATTTTAGTGTGGTTTGTACGTTAGCTCCACCTGCCGTAATGAAACAATAACTATCTGAAATGTGCATGAATTACCCCATTTCAAACCCGAAAAAATACATGAAAACCGGAGATGGAACCAAACTGTTTTAAGATAAATACCCCAGCTTCAAGGATTGGTCAATTTCATTAAAAAGTTAGTATTCAGATAAATGAATGAAATAGAATTGCCTTTTATCCCTGGCATAAACATGTATTATTTTTGTGCCAAATTTTGGTAATTAATTTGCTAAATGTTAATATAAAAAAATAGGTATGTTTTTGTAGATGGTGGCAACTACTACTATAAATGTGGGCAATACCTGCTGGCCATATTGTTTTATTTAAATTTTTATTTTAAGGCAGTTTCACGGAGAAGCAGCATGTTTTGTAACCTTATTTTTTTAATTGACACTTTTTTGTTATTCCACCCATGGCAGATCCCAGTGATTATTTGAGTTTGTCTGGCTTAAGTTAAAGGTATATTGGAGGATTTTCTACCTCCATGTGGATCATAAAGACTATTGGTCCTCCCAATTGTCAATATTCTGGTGATACATGCTCGTCAAATAAGACCAGAGAGTTTTGTTCAAAATGTGGAGAGAGCAGTATGTTCCTAAAATCCTAAAACTTCTCAATCACTCTTTTCCGCAGCCCGGCCTGTAGTGAGGCTGGATAATAAAGCATCCATTGCCCACGGAGAGGAGAAGTTGATAGTGTGTGATGTACGTGACTACTTCCCGAGAAAGTTGGCTATCAGCTGGTTTCTACAAAACGACTCGCACGCTGTTCCCTCGAGGGTCAGCCATCCCTATCGAGTTTGTACCGAAATGGATATCCCCAATGCAGACGGCACATACAGCATTCGCAGTGGCATCACGGCACAATCCTCTATGCTGGAGAGCGGCCCAATCCAACTCATCTGTCAAGTGGAGCACAAGACCTTTCAGCCTGGCTCCTTCAACATGTCTGTTACTTTGACTCAAGGTGAACTAGTATTCTGTATTTCTTTTAATGGAATACATGCATTTTTTCTATGTTAATTTCTCAATACAATCATCAAAAAATGAGAGTGATTTGTTGCAGCTTTGCCTGGACAGCATATGACGTTGATGGCTGGCATCAGCGTGTCCAGTGTCCTAGTTCTACTGGCTGTTGGAGCAGTGTTACTTTCCCTCCGGTATTCTAGGAGAAAGGCAATTTGGAATGGTAAGTCACAAATATTTCAGCAATATGTGATTGAAAATGCCACAATGTACATTCCATCCCCTTAGGATTAGTTCTATTTGATGTCTTTGTTGAAAGATATTTTTTTCAATATTCATAGTCCTGATCACCTTCCAACTGGGGTACCATTTTGTTTTCTTAGTAAATAATATTAATAAATGAATGAACATTTCAGGCCACAGCATGTCTTGATATCATTAGAAAACATGTTATCTTTTGCACATTAGTATGAAAGAGCTCTATGAGTCACTATGGCTCAAGGTGGTCTTTCTTTTTAGTTTTCCGCCTGAAAAAACTATTTTAAAAATGGGTTTTATTTCATAATTATAACTTTTGTGGTTTGAAAGTTGAGCCCCAGCTTTAAGTGCGTGCCTTTAATGTGTTGCCTTTGGTGCATTTCTTTAGGTTTGTCTCAAAATAAATATATTTTAAATATTTTTTATGAACAGTACTTTAAAATCTCTCAGAACAACCCAGAACGTAGAGAGAACCTTTTAATTCTCAAGGGTCAATTTTGTAATAGAAAGAAGCTAATACTTTATGTTTTCCATCAGCTCCACCAAATATTTCTGAAATCTGCCAACCCAGCGTCACTTATGCGAATGTGGAGGATGTGCTGAAGTGCATGATCAGCGGTGTGGGAGCGGGGGAGTTCCAGGTCCAGTGGTATCAGCTGACTGGAATGGGGGACAGTGGAACGGGGGACAGTGGAGACGCTGAGGTGGCTCTGCTGCTGTGGGAGGATGTAACGGGCAGTTCCCGGCTGAAGTCAGACGGCAGCCACCACACCTCTGTCCTGAGCCTCCGTCTGTCCACGGAGCAGGACGGCAGCAGCTACAGGTGTGTGGTCCAATGGAACGGTCAGACATTCACCCGCGAGACAACGGTCCGAGTGAGAGGTGAGATGGACAAAAACACACATTATTGTTATTATTATACCCAAGAGTAAAAATTATTGCTACAAAAGACTTCCTTACAGTTTTTTTTTGTTTATTTATTATCGTCTGTGCTTCATCTTTTGTTTTCTGGTGGCGTCTAAAGGTTTGATAATAATATTGATAATGCATCGGTTTTAAATAACGCTTTTTTTGGAGACTCAACATATATTTTCTAGTATGTTTGGATTCAACCACATTAGTGACAAATATTAAGAACAGATGTAGAAAAAATATGAAAAATAAATAATGAAATAACTATAACTTCTTATTACATTTCAGTTAACGCATTTGTCCTGAGACAATAGGCTTTATTGCTGCAGTTTACTAGCCTGACTCGCCAGACCCATGTAGTTCGCTGCACTTCACACCAGTGGGGGCGGGTCCCAGCTCAAAAGTGGCCAAAATGACGTGCGCTGACATGCTTGCAATACCACCCCGGGCCGATGGGGGTGGACCCGGAAGAAGAATTAGCCAATGCTAACATATAGCATTGGCAGACCTCTCAAAAACGTCTTTACAGGATGGACCAAAAGTTGGCTCTTGGCCCAAAGCTCCGTTCCACATGTGTGTCAATGCTGAGGGGGGTGAACTTTTTTGGTCCACTCTAGTTTAAGTCTCTCGTTCAAATGAATGGAGCTGCTCCGGCTGACGCATGCGCAGATGCGTTTTTTCACAATTTTCTTGCGGGCGGGACCACTCGCGGCCATTTTGGATAGCTCCAGTAGAGCATTTTTTTGGCCCATTAGTTAGAACGGTGGAGATAGGCGTGACTTAACGGCTTCCGTTAATATTAGGGATGCACCGATCCGATACTGGTATCGATATCGGCGCTGATACCAGAAAAAATACTGGATCGGATATCTGCGTAGAGAGGCGCCGTGCTGCCGATCCATTTTCTTTTCTTTTTTTTTTTTAAATTATATATATTTTTTAATACATACCAGGTACCGCACAATGTCTTAAAATACATTGTGCATAGTGTACATATACGTATAAAATGAATTAATTAAAAGTAATTTATCAGATCTGACGTACACGTCATTTCCTCGTGGCGCTCTACAACAACAACAACAACAGCATGGAGCGCATGAAAGAATCAACCCTAACCCTGTTCACGCGGTGGTAAACTAGCGAAATACAACACGACTAAGCACCTCGAGAAACAGCATGGGGAGTTTTTGCATCAAAAGGAGATTACGTGAAAACAACGAGACACAGATGACACTGACGCAGCGTCACAAAAAGCTTTTCAGCAACAACCCGAAAGTGTTGGAGTTCATCAGTTTGGGCTCGCAGCCCCATAGACCATTTGGAACCCAGGTACATGCCGTCGCCAAATACATATCTGAAATCCAGTTAAAGCTACGGTACTATTATTTATTTACATTTTCATGCAGCGTGTTTTGTTTGAGTGTTTGAGTGTTGAGTGTTTTTTTTATTCAAACACAGTTAATATAAGTACATTTATATTCAATAAATGTATAAGGTATAATACACTGTTGGAATGTTTAATGTGAACATTGAGCAGCTCTTTATAGTTGCAGTATTGCACATTTATGTTGAATCCATTTTTATCTGGAAAGTTTAGCGCTTTAGTTCATCCACTGCTTTTGCAGTTACTTGAACAAAGAGTTCAATTATTAAATACATTTTAGCATGATCATTTCCGGTATCGGTCAATATCGGTATCGGCAGATACCCATAGCTCTGGTATCGGTATCGGTAGTAAAAAAGCTGGATCGGTGCATCTCTAGTTAATATATACAGTCTATGCTTCACACATGAGTCTGGTACTGAGCCATAGTGGTTGGATTTCAGAAGGCAGGGCCTTGTAAAAAAATCTTTGTATGTGATTGGATAGACCACTTGTCCGTTATCTTGCATGAAGTCTGCTTTCAACCACTCACATCGAAGCACACGGCTCCCATAGGTTGCCAAATCCCAGCAAGATTTTCCAACCCAAAATCCACGAGAATACCCCCCCCCCAAAAAAAACACTCAGAATGATTTTTTGGCTAAAAACGTAATGTAATCAACTTGGGCTGTCATGATTCTGTTTATTGTCTTTCTCTTTATTTAATACCTACAAGTCTCTTGGAAAAAAATGCGAGAACCACCAAACCTGGCAACCCTGCTGCAAAGTGTGTAAACAGGAACACTGAACCAGTGCTTCAACCAAACTTTACAGGAACATTTGACTCTTAAAACACAAATATATCAACATAGAACCATCTACATCTCGCCTCAAATTGCATTAAAAGTGACATCCGTGTCTTAATTCGATCGTATTTACTCTTTTAAAAAGATTCGCGTACTTTATGTCCGCCATCTTGGATTTCTCTCGCTGCTGGATGAGAGAAGCGTGAGGAGGCAGTGCAAACCCCACGTAACACCGGCAATCCTGATTGGTCGATTAAAAAGTATTCTGGGGAAGGCGTTTGCTATGGGCTCGATACCAGACCCATGTGGTTCAGCCAAACGCCTCTGGTGGAGCATGGCGGAACTACAAGGGTCTGGCAGAGCCAGGCTAGCAGTTTACTGTGATAAAGATAACTGAAACTAATTTTATGGGCCACTAAAGATGGTCACGCCTGAGTTTGACATGCCTGACCCACATCATTCATAAACTACTACTGTAACTGCTGTAGCCGCAGACTGATGAAAGGCACTCTCAGTGGAGTGTCTTACCTGAGAACATAATATCAGTTTGGCAGCCGCCCCACTGGCACCTGGTGTTCCTCGAGGTCTCCCATCTTAGCTTCTGAGGTCTGACAGGATCAGGCAACTGACAAATCATTCGTTATTTACAAAGTGCTTTACATACAAATAATCTGACACAAATCCCAGTTCATTAAAACATTTTATTTAATGATTTACACATTACTGTCACACCGTATACCAAAAACATGGGAAAGTCTTTGGAAAGACATTTAGATATCGGCAGATAACATTTTAGTGTATATTTCTATATCTCGCTATGTAAAGTAAAAAAATCCCCTCATGTTTAATCAGTGTCTCAAAATGCTCATTGACTTGTACTGTTCCAGTCGAATAAATCAATTAATTAAAAAAACAATCCATAAACTTCTTTTCTCCACAGTACAGCCCTCGTTCCTCCAGGTCTCCAGCATCCCTCAGATTCCCAAAGTCCAGCGCCTTCTGGTCCTGTGCTGTCGTGTGGAAAACTTTTACCCTTCGAACATCAACCTGGAGTGGTTCCGGAACGACGGGGAGCCGGTGCCCCCTGCCACCTACTATGGCCCCTTCTCAGACCACAGCCACCTCTACAGCGTGTGGAGCAAGATCCAGCTCACCATGGCAACGGAGGACGAGAGTGCTGTGTACACTTGTCGGGTTTACCACTCAAGTTTCGGCCCCCCTGGGTACAAGGACGCCTTGTACCACATCAACACTCACGGTGAGGACAGAATTGATTGGATAGGTCCAGCATGATGCCAGACCTTTCCGATTAGTGGGCCTAGAGGCAGCATAGGGCTCCAAGTCCAATAGAGAAGTGCTCATGGGTGAAGTTTTTCTCCAACTCGCTCTGGCTCTCATTGATTTATATGTAAAAGTAAACTCCTCTAGCTCAGTAACCATGTGTGTCACGATCACCGATTTGGGTTAAACCAATCCTGTATATTATTATTGCTATTTTCTTTTTTTTATGCGAAAAACCTTTAAAATGATGTCTGGCCCCAAACAGCAGGCTGATATTTCACTGTGGCCCAGGAGGAGAAGTTTGGCCATTCCTGGGCTACATCTATACAATTTTGGGGCACCACTTTTTTTGCTTCACATCAAATTCCAGAAACATTTCAGGTATCCATAGAGTTAGTTTGAAAGATGAACAGAGGAATAACTGTCTCCATCTCTGTCTGCTTCTTGTGTAGGAACTCCACCCAACGTCATGTTCATTGACTGTGAGTCTCAGAGCCCCGAGGAGAACACATTACACCTGTGCATTAAAGACTTTTGTCCCAAACACATTACGGTGACCTGGACAATGGACGGAGAACCAGTGGACGGCAGCAGTGTCTTTAACACGCCTCCCAGTCTCAACATAAACGGACTGTACTCCATGTACAGCTTCCTCAAACTCAGCTCCAAAGGGGAACAGAGGAATTGTCGCTTCCGCTGCCGCGTGGAGCACAGCGCTCAGATCCAGCCCGAGGAGCGCTGCTACGCCCTCACATGGCCAGCTCCGGAATCATCAGGGTAAGCCTTGCTAGCTTTAACCTCACACGGACAAAAACAAGGGGCCTCCTGCATGGGCTGTAAAAGAGCCTTTCACAAAGGTAAACACATGTCCTTTGTCATCATGAACTTGTTTTCTTTTGATTTCCATTGGTTTTCCATAAATTTCCTGTTCTGATCAGCATGCACTGATTGGTTAGGACACTCACATGTCCCTCTGTGCACAAACATGAGAGATCCTACAGAACCACTGTGCAGCTTATAAAAATAACCCTGCAGCCCTTTGAAGACCACCCTTAATTTAGTGGAAGAAGAGTAGCTTTTTATTATTTACTGCTATGAAACTGAGCCTGTTTTTCCAAATAAACATGGAATTTTTGTGATTTCTGAAACCATAATCTGGATTACACGCATAATTCAATGGCCCCTGAATAGAGGGATTTTTTTTCTCCATCATTTCATAGAAAGGTGTCTTGCTCTTGTACCTCTGAAGTTATGAATCTGGTCATAAAAAAGTGTTCATGCAAATAAAAAATATTAGATTGATATATTTCAGGCACAGTAATACAACACAATACACATACACTATCAAACTCGGATATTAATCGCACAGAACTCGGAAAAAAGGCTTTTATATACTCTGCTAAGTTTTGTAAAAGGACTGGATGGAGAGCACTTGAGACATCCTCATTGACACGTAACTGTTTTATATAATCTGTTATTTTATTTTATTGTGTTTTTTGCTGCCTCTTCCCTTGAAAAAGAGGTTCTTAATCTCAATGGGGCGTTCCTGGTTAAATAATAAAAAATACATGTAACAGCTTATGTATTCGGTTCATAATTGACTGAACATCATGCACACATTTGGCAGTGATGAAATACGAGGCACAAGTCTGGCAAAGTAAAGTCACGGTAAAGACACTGAAGTTCATGTAAAGTCGCGGTTGGTGAGGATCATGGGTGCCACTAGGGTCCACATGTAGAGGCCCAGACAAACCCAACTGGACGAGATCTTCACCCACACTGCCGGCCACGTGCTGCTGACCGAGTAGTCCGCCTCCGGGCTGCCAAAACACAAACACACATCACTGTTCCATTATTTACGTAATCTTCAGACTTCCCAAAATCACAGCATTCATGAGGAGCGGGTGACACACAAAGACACACACACAGATGCACACAGACGCACACACACACACACACACACACACAGACGCACACAGATGCACACAGACACACACACAGATACACACAGACGCACACAGACACACACACAGATGCACACAGACACATACAGCAGTGACAATAATATACAGGAGCAATATGGAATTCTTAAATAAAACATCAGGATTTTTCTCGTAACTATTTTGTGGCCATAAATTTACTACATGTAGTTATAAATCAATCTTTGGCGTAAAAAAAATAATTTTGCAAAGTACTACCATCAGTGTGATATAAAACACATCCCTCACTTCACAATGTGGGTGAAGTGTCTTGCTCAAGAGCACAACAACAGATTGGCAGCCGCAGCCCCCCCACTGTGGCACCTGGTGTTCCAGACACAAACCTGTACCAGCTGGTGAGTGTCATCATGATGTAGAGCGAGGCCAGGAAGAGCATGAAGTGAAAGAAGGAGTAACTGTACTGCACCATGTCCTTCTCATTATCCTGGACTCGTCTGTGTGCGGAAACCTCCTCCGACAGCTCCACACTGCTGCCGCTCTCCGCAAGGATCACAGAGTCTTTGGACGCCATTGTCAACTTGTTCACTTGGCTGGTGTTGGACGAGCGGATGCTGGAATGAAAATGATTGTATTGAGTCACAAACAAGTCTACAATGATACTAGTGTGAACACATCTCAAAAGGGAAACAGGAAGAATCCTACCCCTTGTCCATAGTTCACCAGAACATACTGATCCATAATTTTCATAGACCCGTGTTTAATCCATTTTATCTGGATTGACCTCGATTCATACTAATTTCCTACTTGAACGGCAGCCTATCCTTTTTCTTTCATGTTTTCTGTTTTTCACCTTTTCCTTGTGAAAAACAGAAGGAGGGTCAAAAGTTACGGGATGCTCCGAGACATTCATCCATCCAAGTTTTATCATCTTGTCTTTCGTAACCAATGACTGTTTTTATTGTTTGTCTTATCTGCTATTTGCAAATCAACACATTTTCAAAGTGCAAAAAACATGTAAATATTGAGTTTAATACAATTTGAATTAAACAAACAAAAAAATAAAAATTTTGTATAGCCCTAAATCACAAAATCAGTTGTCTCGGCCATCAGAAAGTCGTTGATTCGCCAACAACAGATAAGAGAATCGAACACAGGAAATGCAACAAGCACATAGGAGGCATTGGTCCATAAGGAGCAGGATGGCTACTGTCTATAAATGTTAATAAGTGTCCATAAATGTCCCAGACGCTTAGTTTAGAACCTTCTGAATCGGCAAAGAAAAAAAAAAAAAAATACAGTGAGAATATAGAATCCTCAGCCACTCAAAAAGGGATATATCTAAAAGCCTCTGATCTCATATGGAAACTAACTTAAAAAGCTAACGTGTTTTGATGCTGGGCTTTCATCAGGGTTTTCATTTTGATTTTGGGGTTCTACAAAAAGGTCGTAAAATTGACTGATAAATTTGCAGCCAATCGACATGGGCACAGCGGAAAAATCACAAGCAGTAAGGCCAAGGCTATAAAACAATCCGTCCATATCTTTGGGCCAGTCTTAATGCAGCATCCATTGATAATCATTTATAACCAATGAAGCCATTTTGTCTGCTAAGAATTAGTTCTATCTATGCTCTGTGCTTGTTCTAGTTTTGACCAATCATAAGGCATAAAGTGTCTTTGTACCCATGACAACAAAATGCTTGTTTACCTTGTACATTTTACTTGTGTACTTATTAATAAAGAGACATGTTATTCTCATACTTTTTGTTTTAAAAGTATAATGTACTTTTAAAACAAAAAGGAAGAGGATAATATGTTTTTTCATTAGGAAACCTGTTATCTTTTGGCCCCAGTGAGTCACTGAGTGAGGTCTCTTTTTAACTTTTCAGTCTGAAAAAAGTTGATCTTAAAAGGTAGATAGGAGGATTTCCCGAAATTTTAGGAAAGAAGCGGTTCTATCCGAAAATTGTTGTACCTTGAATAAAGGATGCTGAAGACAAAAATAGACAGTCCAACGATGTTCTGTGCGTCCCACCACCTGAGGTAGGGGGAGGTGAGCACGGGCTCCTCTGTGCCGATGATGATGACGGCTGTTTGATTCTCCGTTTCCAGGGGGGGCGTGGTGGGAGCCGCGATGTGCTGCAAGATACTCAGCAGGCTGGGGTTGCAACTGCGATCTATGGAAAGAACAGAAATGATTGGTGACTTTGATGTGACAGCAGTTTAACTGTGTTTATGTTTCTTTTGACAAAAACTGAATGATTTAGTGGCTTTGTCCCAAGTACTAGTCGAGATCCTCTACAACTTCCCCTGCAGCTGTGAGTAGTTTTATGTATTCTAGATGCTCATTTTACTTACTACTGACACATTTATAAAAAATAAGGGGATATTTTATTGACCTCCAAAAGAAATGCAACCTGTCCATTTTCTCCAGACAGGGGATTGCAGAACTTTGTCACAAAAATACAATACATGTTGTCTTCATCGTGTTTGCCTCTTCAAACTTTATAGTTATCGCTTCTACTCTTTACAGCCTGAAAAACCTGTTCCACAGTAAAACATTCATGCATGTGATAGATACGAGAAAGGAGGAAACTACACAGACACAGGGAAACCACGCAACATGCCCTGTTCTGACTGGGTTTCCCCCAGGACAGTGGATGACACACTCCTTTCACAGTTAGTTTTTAACTTGGGTACCAATGCTTGGGTACCAAGAAATAAAAATATATACTTTTTTGAGTTAGAAATTTTTACCAGCCTGGTCGTACCACACCATAGTACAAATTACATTTTGCAGAGAAATGCTGACGACCGGAGTGTACGAATGGCTAAGGCTACATTTGTACTTCATAAGTGGATCTACAATTACCTTGTACTGTACATTGCTTCTTGAAATTATGTGTACTTGTAAAAATGCATTGTAAAACTGCTCAAATAGGCTTCTACTACATCTTCATCAGCTCAGCTGCCTCTATCCAAGGCCAGACAGAAAGAGGAACAGCCTTATCTGTGCTGAGGTGCCATAACAGTCAGTCATGTGAGTCTAAACACCTGCATAAAGGCTGTCTGCTGTTTGGCACATTTTCTTTTGGTTCTCATAATTTCCTCATACCATTACGCGATGGTCATAACTTTAAAACTCAATATCAACCCAAAGCTGCAGATAAAAAATAATATATCTAAGGGGACAACGTGTTACTATCTAAACACCTCAATAATTTATGTAATTTATAAGTTGAACCCACCAGGCTCGTTGGTCATGGCCGACCAGGTCAGAAATATAGTGTACAAGGTGATGATGGACGACTGCAGGAGACCGGAGCGTGGCTGGTTCTCCTGCACACAGTATGAATCAATTCAGATCCTCGTGGACTAGCTATCACATATCTGTGTCTATGCCGCTAACCTGGACTTTAGGCAGAATGGAGATGACAGAGGCTAGAATACAGAGCAGCATGTTGGAGCTAATGAAGAACTTGTTGAGCTGGCACTGCTCCGGTTTTGTGTAGAAGAGGAAGCTCATGATGATAGACACGGCTGACAGCAGGTAGTTGAAGACAGTCACACACAGTAAGGCTGGAACACATTTCACAGGAGTGAGTTTGACTCACAAAATGTTGAAACTATGTCCAATCATGTGCAAAGTGCAATACTTCAATTTCAAAGTGTTCACTGAATGTCACTTTATCTACTTACTATCTTACCCAATATGTATAACTTTGCACTATATATATATATATATATATATATATATATATATATATATATATATATATATATATATATACTGCTCTTACTACTGTCCTGTATGTGCCCTGCAACATTGAAATTCCCTCACTTCAGGACGAATAAAGGATCTCTATCTTATCTTATCTAATCTTAACATGTTGTGGTTATTATCAGATCTATCATGAATAGTGAGAACCCTTCAGGTCATTCTGTGAGCCACATGTGCACACAGCATTATTACAATTATACAGGGTCACTGACCTGCATACCAGCCTCTGGAGCTGCTGGCATTCATGTTCCCCACCCAGGCCTCGTTCCAAGAGTGGGCAAAGTCGACCAGCAGAATTAGCTGGATTAGGATGAAAAAGAACGCTCCAGCAGAACCAATTATAAACCACACTGCAACACAAAGAAGGAGACATTAATGAGACATTTGATATTGAGCACTGTAACCTTGTGTTTCATAGTAGGTAAATAAATGATATCTCACCGTAAGTAAAGGGTTCATCTGGGATGTAGAAGGCACCAGCTGTTATTGCCAATAACGAAGCAAATTTAAAGAACCAAAATCTAGTAAGAAATGAAATAAGAAAATATGTATAAATATGAAAAACAAACAGATATCTCCAAAACTCGGGCTACAGCTACCGTTCATTTTAGTAATTGGGTATTCTATAAATTATCATATTTAATTATCACAAAAAAATTTTTTCCCACAAAACACAATTAAATGCATTGTAAACAAACATTTTAGAAAAATAAAATTCAAAGTTGAACCAATAAGGAGTTTTTGCATAATATAACAATCACCTTTATTTTGTTTTAAATAAGCATTGTAATAGCCGGACTATAAGCCACTACTTTTTTAAAGTTCTTTGAGCTGTGGTCTTTATAGCAATGTGGCCAATGTGTGCATCTTAATTTTGTTAGAGCAGAGGTATTCTCTGTCCTCAAAGAGCTGAGTGGCTGCAGGTTTTCATTCCAACCAAGCAAGAGCACAATGGACTCACTCATTTTCAGGTTGGACTCACTTGAGAAAAAAAATGAGTGTGCTTCAAAGCTAGAAGGTCCTGGGTTCAATCCCACCTCCAGGACCGTTCAGTGTGGAGTCTGCAAGTTCCTGCAGGTTTCCTCCGGGTGCTCTAGTTTCCCCTACCTATAACATGTATAACAGGTTCGGCTATATACTGTATAAATATTACTATTATTTTCTTCTTTCTTTTCAAATGTAGCAGGTGCAGTTTATTGACAGGTGTGCAGTCCAGCAAGTACTTCATGTTGCTGTAACTCTACAGCAGGGTTAGGGCCCGCTTCTAATTGATTTTTACATATAACCAAAAGCAGTCCAAAATAGCATAAACCTACCTGTCATATAGTGCAAATAGCAATACTAATTTAGTAATAATGACAGTACACACATTTTGAAAGAAATATGTTGATAGATTGAACTTACCCATTGTGTATTGCAGCACGGGGGTCTCTGCTGTTTTTAACATTAGTCATGAAAGCAGACAGGCACAGGAACCACACGCTCATGCCAAAACAGACCCGGTACACAGCTTTGTAGCCAACAAACATCTTACAGTTGACATTCGCCTCAAAATCTGGAACAGAGGATCCGGCCCCGTTCCCACAGAAGCCTGGAATCTGCACAAAGTTATGTTCAGAAGAAAGTCAAAGGACTACTACTACTACTACTACTACTACTACTACTACTACTACTACTACTACTACTACTACTACTACTACTACTACTACTACTACTACTACTACTACTACTACTACTACTACTACTACTACTACTACTACTACTACTACTACTACTACTACTACTACTACTACTACTACTACTACTACTACTACTACTACTACTACAGTCAACAGTCAACAAACACACGTCCAGGGCAGAAATTAAAAGAATAAGATGAAATTCTGACACACGCTGACTCAAAAACACAGTGAATAAAATATAACAACCTAATTTTAACAGTTATATTATTTATGAAGTGTTTTTGTATTAATCATAAGGTATTTTTGTATTAATCTATGTGTAATGAGGCAGACACTTCCTCGCTGATTTGTCCTTCATGAAACAATGAAGCCCAGTGTTTTCTGCGAAAAGTTGGAGTCTTATCTCTCGATAAAAAGGGAGTACGGGAGCCAGACCAGGACTCAGACCAGTCCAGGACTTGGACTACCGGTCTTAGGACTTCTCCCAAATGTGGAGCCAACGTCTTCGGAGTCACTTTCTCTTCTTCTTCACATTTTGATAAAACTGTTTTAACTGAATCTGTATGAGTCAGTCTGAGCAGGGAGAGAGAGGACTTAGCAGAGTGCTTGGAAGTTCTCTATATACTGTAGGCCTGTGGGGTCAGTTTTTGGCTCAGCTATAGGTATAGTAAGGGAAATAGGAGGTGAAAGAGTTGTAATAGCATTTAATTGTAAAGGGAATTAAATATTATTTGGATCGAACTCTTGGATGTCTTGTTCTTCCTTACTGGTCAAATTTTGGATCATGCTACAAAATAGAGTAAAGCTCTATCTCTGCTGCCAAGATACACATGCAGCCATCTTTGTTTGAAAACACTGGTCCAAAGATAATTTCTTGTTTCATTTACATCGTTAAAATATACTCAAATCAAGAAAAATGTTTCCAAATTGAAGTGTTTTTTTCTATAGATGATATTCTTAGATCTATTTTGTTTGTCAATAACTTAAATAATTGAAGTATTTGTGGTGTGTTTATGTGCAATCACGAAAATGGCTATTTCGATTTGAGTATGCGATTTATGAATGCTGTGATTAATACCCTCTTCAGTTGTTGATCCACGCCCGGCGACAGCATGACACAGGCCACAATGGTCCCGAGCAGCAGGAAAAAGGCATAGATGATTCTGGTGACTGTGGAGTTTCTACTGTGAGGGCAGCAACTGCAGATCAGACAAGTGGCACTGCTGCACAGGCACGGCACCTGGAGACAAACACATTCAGCAATGACTAATCCCATCCATCCATCCATTTTCTTCCGCTTTATCCGTTGTCGGGTTGCGGGGGCAGCAGTCTAAGCAGAGACGCCCAGACTTCCCTATCCACACACACTTCCTCCAGCTCGTCTGGGGGGACCCCATGGCGTTCCCAGGCCAGCTGAGAGACATAGTCCCTCCAGCGTGTCCTAGGTCTTCCGCGGGGCCTCCTCCCGGTGGGACGTGCCCGGAACACCTCCCCAGGGAGGCGTCCAGGAGGCATCCGGAACAGATGCCCGAGCCACCTCAACTGGTTCCTCTCGACGTGGAGAAGCAGCGGCTCTACTCCGAGCTCCTCCCGTGTGACTGAGCTCCTCACCCTATCTCTAAGGGAGCGCCCAGCCACTCTGCGGAGGAAGCTCATTTCGACCGCTTGTATCCGCGATCTCGTTCTTTAGGTCAATACCCAAAGCACATGACCATAGGTGAGGGAGGGAACGAAGATTGACCGGTGAATTGAGAGCTTTGCCTTTCGGCTCAGCTCCCTTTTTACCACAACGGTCCGATACAGCGACCGCATCACTGCGCACGCTGCACCGATCCGCCTGTCAATCTCACGCTCCATTCTTCCCTCACTCGTGAACAAGACCCCGAGATACTTGAACTCCTCCACTTGAGGAAGGACCTCTCCACCCACCTGAAGAGGGCAAGGCACCTTTTTCCGGTCGAGCACCATGGCCTCGGATTTGGAGGTGCTGATTCTCATCCCAGCCGCTTCACACTCGGCTGCAAACCGCCCCAGTGCATGTTGCAGGTCCTGGTTCGTTGGAGCCAACAGGACAACATCGTCCGCAAACAGCAGAGATGAAATCCTGTGGTCTCCGAACCGGACCCCCTCCGACCCCTGGCTGCGCCTAGATATTCTGTCCATAAATACAGTGAACAGAACCGGTGACAAAGGGCAGCCCTGTCGGAGGCCAACACTCACCGGGAACAGGTCTGACTTACTGCCGGCAATGCGAACACAGCTCTGGCTCCGGTCATACAGGGATCGGATGGCCCTCAGCAGAGGACCCCCGACCCCGTACTCCCGGAGAACCCCCCAAAGGACACCCCGGGGAACACAGTCGAACGCCTTCTCCAAATCCACAAAACACATGTGGACAGGTTGGGCGAACTCCCATGAACCCTCGAGTATCCGATGGAGAGTATAGAGCTGGTCCAGTGTTCCGCGACCGGGACGAAAACCACACTGCTCCTCCTGGATCCGAGATTCGACCATCGGCCGTAACCTCCTCTCCAGTACCCTGGAGTAGACCTTACCGGGGAGGCTGAGGAGTGTGATCCCACGATAATTGGAACACACCCTCCGGTCCCCCTTCTTGTAGAGAGGGACCACCACCCCGGTCTGCCACTCCATTGGCACTGCCCCCGATCGCCACGCGATGTTGCAGAGACGTGTCAGCCAAGACAGTCCTACAACATCCAGAGACTTTAGATAATCAGGGCGGATCTCATCCACACCCGGAGCCTTGCCACCATGGAGGCTACCAACCACCTTGGTGACCTCAGCCAGGGAGATGGATGTATCCGCCCCAACATCCTCAACCTCTGCCTCTGTAACAGAGGACGTGACGGGGGGATTGAGGAGAACCTCAAAGTATTCCTTCCACCGTCCGACAATATCCCCAGTCGAGGTCAGCAGCTCTCCACCCGCACCGTACATGGTGTTGGCAAAGAACTGCTTCCCCCTCCTGAGGCGCCGGATGGTTTGCCAGAATCTCTTCGAGGCCGACCGATAGTCATGCTCCATGGACTCTCCGAACTCCTCCCAGTCCCGGGTTTTTGCCTCTGCAACGGCCCGGGCCGCGGCACGCTTGGCCTGCCGGTACTGGACAGCTGCCTCAGGAGTCCCCCGAACCATCATGGCTCGATAGGACTCCTTCAGCCTGGCAGCATCCCTTACTGCCGGTGTCCACCACCGGGTTCGGGGGTTGCCGTCGGGACCAGCACCAGAGACCTTGCGACCACAGCTACGAGCTGCCGCATCGGCGATTGAGGCAGAGAACATGGTCCACTCGGACTCCATGTCCCCCTCCTCCGCCGGGACCTGGGAGAAACTCTCCCGGAGGTGCGAGTTGAAAGTCCGTCTGACAGGGGGCTCAGCGAGACGTTCCCAGCAGACCCTCACTATACGCTTGGGTCTGCCAGGTCTGACCGGCTTCTTCCCCTGCCAGCGGATCCAACTCACGACCAGGTGATGATCGGTTGACAGCTCCGCCCCTCTCTTTACCCGAGTGTCAGAGACACGCGGTCGAAGGTCAGATGATACGACAACAAAGTCGATCATCGACCTCCGACCTAGGGTGTCCTGGTGCCACGTGCACTGGTGGACACCCTTGTGCTCGAACATGGTGTTCGTGATGGACAAACTGTGACTGGCACAGAAGTCCAACAACTGAACACCACTCGGGTTCAAATCAGGGGGGCCGTTCTTTCCGATCACCCCTCTCCAAGTGTCACTGGCGACTCCCACATGGGCGTTGAAGTCCCCCAGGAGAATAACGGAGTCCCCGGGCGGTGCACCGTCCAGTACCCCTCCCAAGGACTCCAAGAAGGCCGGGTACTCTGCACTGCTGTTAGGCCCGTAGGCCGTCACAACAATGAGAGACTTGTCCCCCACCCGGAGGCGGAGGGACGCGACCCTCTCATTCACCGGGGAGAACTCCAACACATGGCGGCTGAGATGGGGGGCAATGAGAATGGCCACCCCAGCTCGCCGCCTCTCCCCGCGGGAAACTCCAGAAAAGTGGAGCGTCCAACCCCTCTCAAGGAGTTGGGTTCCAGAGCCCAAGCTGTGTGTGGAGGTGAGGCCGACTATCTCTAGTCGGTATCGCTCGACCTCCCCCACGAGCTCGGGCTCCTTCCCCCCCAGTGAGGTGACGTTCCACGTCCCAAGAGCCAGATGTTGTGTGTGCGGACTGGGTCGCCGAGGTCTCCGCCTTCGACTGCCGCCCAGTCCTCTCAGCACCGCGCCACCACGGACCCCTCTGCAGGTGGTGGGCCCACAGGAGGGACTGCCCACGTCATCCCTTCGGGCTGAGCCCGGCCGGGCCCCGTGGGCTAAGGCCCGGCCACCAGGCGCTCGCATACGAGCCCCGACCCCAGGCCTGGCTCCAGGGTGGGGCCCCGGCTGCGCCATGCCGGGCGACGTCACTGTTCTCGTTATAGTGCGATCCATGGTGGTTTTTGGACTGCGCTTCGTCTGACTCGTCACCTGAGACCTGTCTGCCATGGGAGGCCCTACCAGGGGCATGAAGCCCCAGACAGCATAGCTCCCAGGATCATCCGTTATATTTTGTATCGTTGTATCTGACTAATACATCGATACAAAATCACATTACTGCAGCTTGGTTAAGACCATGATGTCTTATTGCCCTATGCCAGATTTAGTTACTTTCTGAGGGGGTGGGAATAAATAGCTTATCAGAAACGTAATGGGAAAGTAAATGAGAGGGTAAACCAGTGGCACATGACAGATTTCTTGGTTGAGATTACAGCGTTGTTTAGCTGATAAAAATGTCATGGTAAAGTGTCATCTGACATCACTTATGCATACTCAAATCAGATATGTACCGTGTCATGGTCACTGCTGTTGCAATCGTTGACAGAAAACCCATTTAAGACTACATTTGATATTGTGCTCCAAACAAATCTCTTGTGGAGGATGAGATACTGAAGTTCTTTTAGCCTATATTCTCAAAAAGACAGTGTGGTTCCTAAAGCCAGGTTCTTCCCTTCAGGGAAATTACAAAGCAGTGAGCAAAGAACCCCCTTATGCTTTACCAGGATATCTATAAAGTTTGACAATAAACGTCACTTTTACATCGGAAATAAGTATTTCACTAAGCTGTATGTCCGTGGAGAAGTAAGTAAGTAAGTAATCTTTATCTATATACCGCCTTTCACAGAGCAGAGTCACAAAGCGGTTTACAATTGTAATGTTTTTTTTTGGGGCATTTGTCCTCTCACTCCACACAGAGATGGGAGCAGGGTCGCCGAACAGGAGGCGCATGCCAGACCCATTGTACATGGTTTTAGTGGTAGGGGAAACCGGAGTACCCGGAGGAAACCTACGCAGACACGGGGAGAACATGCAAACTCCACTCAGAAAGGCCCTGGAATCGAACCCACCTTCTTGCTGAGAGGCGAGAGTGCTATCCACTCAGCCACCGTGCCGAAGCTGGGAAATGACCAGTACACCACATGGTAAAGTGCTTTGTGTGACCTGCGCGGTATGAATAAACATCACTTACTTCTCACTAAAGATATTTTTAAGCACTAATAATATAATCTACAAGGAATGTAAATCCACACCAGTGAAGCAAATAAGTAAAAGTTGAAAAAGGCCCATTTAGGACAGTGAAATAAGGGCAAAGAATTCATAACTTGTGTTAACTTTTAAATTGGCTTGGATTGTATATCAAAACCAATTTAAAAGCTAATGCAAGTGGCCTTAGTTCAGATCTATACAGTTTGGACTTACCTTGAAAACAGCTGCAGACATATTTTAAAACCCTTAATCAGAATCAGATCAGAATCATTTTTATTGCCAACGTAAGTAACGGGAGGTCACAGACTTGGAAATTGCTTTGGCTCAGTGCAACAGTCGAAAAGAGATAATAAAAATAAGAATAAAAAACACTTCTAAAGAATAAATTTAAATTTAAAATAGAGTTACAGTTACTATTTACAATATACAAGTGCACATGGTGCACACAATGTAAGGTGACAGCAGTACAGTGAAGTAAAGTGACGTATGATGGGCAGTAAAGTGACTTTATAAAGGGCGGGGGGACAGGTTAAGAAGTGTTCAAGAGTCCAACAGCAGAGGGGAAGAAACTGTTCTTGTGGCGGGAGGTTCTAGTCCTGATGGACCGCAGCCTCCTGCCTGAGGGGAGTGGTTGGAATAGTCCATGTGCAGGGTGAGAGGGGTCGGCTGTGATACGACCAGCCCGGCCTCGAGCTCGGGCGACGTACAGGTCCTGCAGCGATGGAAGGCTGCGGCCGATCACTTCCTCTGCAGAGCGCACAATGCGCTGTAGTCTCTGTTTGTCCCTGACTGTGGCTCCAGCGAACCACACGGTGATGGAGGAGGTGAGGATGGACTCGATGATGGCCGTGTAGAACTGCACCAACATCTGTGCAGGCAGCTTGGCTTTCCTGAGCTGCCGCAGGAAGTACATCCTCTGCTGGGCCTTCTTGATGAGGGAGCTGATGGTCGGCTCCCACTTGAGGTCCTGGGTGATGGTGGTGCCCAGGAAACGGAAGGACTCCACAGAGGTGATGGGGGAGTCCATCACGGAGGGTGGGGGCGGGGGGACAGTGCTCTTCCTGAAGTCCACAATCATCTCCACTGTCTTCTGGGCGTTCAGCTCCAGGTTGTTACCACTGCACCAGGACACCAGCCGGTCCACCTCCCTCCTGTAGGCGGACTCATCGTTGTTGGAGATGAGTCCAATGAGGGTGGTGTCGTCCGCGAACTTGATCAGCTTCACGGAGTCGTGGCTGGAGGTGCAGGGTTGGTGTACAGGGAGAAGAGCAGGGGAGAAAGAACACAGCCCTGTGGGGCTCCTGTATTTATAATCCGAGAGTCCGAGACATTCTTCCCCAGACGCACTCGCTGCTTCCTGTCCGTCAGGAAGTCAGTGATCCACCTGCAGGTGGAATCGGGCACGTTGAGCTGGGAGAGCTTGTCCTGGAGCAGGGATGGCAGGATTGTGTTGAAGGCAGAGCTGAAGTCCACGAACAGGACCCTGGCGTAGGTCCCCGGGGAGTCCAGGTGCTGTAGGATGTGGTGGAGGGCCAGGTTAATGGCGTCGTCTACAGATCTGTTGGCTCTGTAGGCGAACTGCAGGGGGTCCAGGAGGGGGGAGGTGAGGGACTTGAGATGGGAGAGAACCAGGCGTTCAAATGACTTCATGACGACAGACGTAAGTGCTACAGGTCTGTAGTCATTGAGTCCTGTGATCCTGGGCTTCTTCGGGACGGGGACAATGATGGAGGATTTGAAGCAGGCCGGGACATGGCAGGACTGCAGAGAGGAGTTGAAAATGTCCGTGAACACAGGAGTAAGCTCACTGGCGCAGTGTCTCAGAGTGGCCGGAGACACGTGGTCCGGGCCAGGAGCTTTGCGGGGGTGCAGCCTCAGGAAGAGTTGTTTAATCTCTTTAGCGGCTATTGTTAGGCTGGGGGCAGGGCTGATGGGTGGGTCGTTAGAGTAGTGGGGGGTGGGGGAGGGAGAGGTGTCAGGGGCAGCATCAAAGCGACTGAAAAATAAGTTCAGATCGTCAGCTAGCTTGTGGTCATCAGCACAGGGGGGGGCTTTGGGTTTGTAGTTGGTGATCTCCCGTAGGCCCCTCCAGACAGAAGCAGTATCGTTGTTACCAAACTGCTCCTGTAGTCGTTCTCTGTGCCGGGACTTGGCTGCTTTCAGTTCTTTCCTGAACTGATATTTAGCTGCTTTGTAGCCGCTGCGGTCACCCTCCCTGAAAGCAGACTCCTTTGCTTTCCTGAGCTGCCGGAGTTTAGCAGTGAACCAGGGTTTGTCGTTGTTATAGATGACCCTGGTCCTTGTTGGAATGATGCTATCCTCACAGAAGTGGATGTATGACGTCACAGTGTCCGTATATTCATCCAAGCTGTCTGTGGCAGCTCTGAAAAGGTCCCAGTCTGTAGATTCCATGCATGCGCGCAGCTCTTCCACAGCTTCATCAGACCACACTTTGGAGCTCCTCACTGCAGGTTTCGAGAGCTTTAGTCTCTGTCTGTAAGCAGGAACCAGATGTATCATGGAGTGATCTGAGAAGCCGAGGGCTGGCTTGGGAACAGCGCGAAAAGCTCCGCGCACGGTGGTGTAACAGTGATCCAGAGTGTTCTCCTCTCTGGTCGGGCATTTGATAAACTGTCTGTATTTGGGTAATTCCTGGCTCAAGTTTCCCTTATTAAAATCCCCCAGGATAATAATCAGAGAGTCCGGGTATAAGCGTTCCATACACAGTACTTGCTCTGCGAGTGCGCGCTGAGCCTCGCGCGCGTCCGCGCATGGCGGTATGTAAACAGAGGCAAGAATGAATGAAACAATTTCCCGCGGGGAGTAATATGGTTTACAATGGATGAAAAGATATTCCAGAGCAGGAGAGCAGTGCTTGGAGATCACTGTCACATCGTTACACCAGTTTGTATTGACGTAGAAACAGAGCCCTCCGCCTCTGCTCTTCCCTGAGAGCGCACAATGGCGATCCGCGCGAAACAGCCCAAAGCCCTGCAGCTCCAGAGCGCAGTCCGGGATCCGCTCATTTAGCCAGGTCTCAGTGAAGCAGAGGACACAGGATGTGGCGAAGTCCTTGTTTCTTCTCATGAGCAGGCTGAGTTCGTCCATCTTATTGCCCAGTGAGCGTACGTTGGAGAGAAAAATGCCGGGGAGAGCCGTGCGCGCTCCTCTCCTCCTAAGACGCACGAGCAGGCCTCCTCGCTTTCCCCTTTTACGGGCCCACACTTTTTTGGCTAGAACATGAACTAAATCAGCCGCAGATGCCAAGAAAACAGGCAGTAGGTCCATGGGAACGGTGGGTCGGATGTTCATAAGTTCCTCACGGGTGTAGGAACAGCCAGATGCACAGTTAAAAAGTAAAAACAAAAGAAAAAGAGAGCAGCAAAGAGCCATGTCGACCGTACGAGGCGCCATCTTGAATTTGAAAGACCAGGACCAAACAACACAAGAAAGATAAGAGCCACAAACACAAGTTAATACTCCTTCAGATTAGTGATGTCTGGGGCACTGACATTACACAAGTGAGTCTATATTTCTTGGGGTTAAATAATCAATCAATTTTGAGGTGGTGGTGAGAGACACAGAGACAAAAGGGGGAGACTGAATTCTCAAACAGATAACAAAAAACCATTGCTTATAGATGTGGAAACCAAATAGGCGAGATCATTCCCTGACTGCACTGTATTCTCCCGTGTGCTTAGCGATACAACAACAACAACCAGTAATCCAATTAATCACGTGGAAGCAGATGACTGGGTTGTGATTTAGCCTTGCTTTGAAGAGCCATACCGATCACAGACTTTTGCATTTGGAATATAAGGTTTCATACACAAACATACACACACGATAAGTTTCTATTCCCTTTTCCTTCCAGCCTTATCTGTAAACATGAAGCTGTATAGCGCAGCACAGTAAAGATAGCAGCCAGCATGAATCACATTTTTTATTTCTAAGAACAATCTAACAGTGGACAGTGGACTCACCCATGCTGCCAGGGAGAAGGCGTCCAGAACAGCCCCCATGAGCGCGCACCACACACTGCCGCGCGTCCCGAGTCCCGCGACCACTGCGCTCCTGCCTGCGTGACGTCACACTAATCCCGAGATGACCCACAGGACACCGGGGCAGGTCTTCCGAGCATGGCAAATAACCTATTATAATGCAGATCATTTATCTTTAAGTACACATACACATTAGAGATTTGCCTCTAGCTAGAACCTGATAACAAACCCAACCGCAATATACAACAATTGTGCAGGAATGCTGGAGAGATCAGAGAAGATGGCATTCCGATATGTGCGTCTGTAACCTGATGAGCCGAAGTCCTAACAGTTTCTGATGGCAAAGAGGAAATATCAATTCTCTGTGGGCTATAGCCGCATTTAAACTCTTAAAATATAATTACCTTCCATAGCAACAAGAAAACGAATGTTCTCTCTGCTCTTAGGATGTTATTGTAATATAACATTCTTCCCTAACTGTCACTGTATGTGCATGTGCATAGATCAAATGAAAAGTTTGTAAATTTAGTTACTTATCCTGACTTTCTCTGTTGAAAAAATGACACCAGTGTAAATTCAAATTAATTTAAACAATCAAATAAATAAGTAACTAGATAAATGTATTAGTTTGAAAAAAGTACAATGAATTCAGTTAATCATTGGTTAAATAATATATGTGGCAATAATTAAAAGAATAAATCATTCCATAATTCAAATAAAGTCTTGAGAAACAACTGGTGAAATACTGCAATCATGTGCAACACAAATGCAAGTTTACGAATAAAGGTTCTCTTATCTTTATTATAAAACAAACTCATGTGCTGAAGAAATGAGGTCATTGTAAAAAGAGAAGAAACGGATAGGTGTCTATGCTAATGTCATGTAGCCTTTTATTACCCAAAGCCCTTTTAGCAAACACAGCTGATTTCTGCTCAGCACCTGAAACTAATCAATCCAATCAGGCCCCTGCCCAGACAGTCATCCTGCAGGGCGCGTCAGTCCAGGATCTCCTCAGAGCTCAGAAAGTTCTCTTCTCTTGAAAACACGGGATAAGTATCTCACAGTTTGTCGAAATGTCTGAAGCTGTGCATGTGCTCAGGGTGAAGCTGAAGGAGCGACTGGCTGCGATGTCCCGGGAGATATGTGAGCTGTTCGAGGGACTGGTTTCACTTCAGGAGCGCGACATGAGACGGGAGCTCCTCCTGGACTCGGTGCTGAACCCCCGCGTTGTGTTAGACAGAACAGGTCTGCTAATCTGGCTCATTTTTGCTCATTAACATGGGGGGAGTTAAAGCTGGTCCCTGACTTTGTATCTGAAACTATTCGAACTCCCAAAGCCGTCCTTTTGACCGCTCCTATGCAAACTAACCGCGGTGAAGTTAGTTTCAAGTTGAATATTCAACAGACATTCTCTCTCGGAAAATCTCTTCTTTGCTCTGTGTACAGTGTGACTCATAACGCCTATGACTCTAACCAAGCCTCCAACATTTACAGTGCCTTGCGAAAGTATTCGGCCCCCTTGAACCTTTCGCCACATTTCAGGCTTCAAACAAAGATATACAAATATTTTTTGTTGTCAAGAATCAACAAGTGGGACACACTCGAAGTGGAACGAAATTCATGGGATAATTTAAACTTAAATAAAAAAAAGTGGGGCGTGCAATATTATTTGGCCCCCTTGCTAATACTTTGTAGCGCCAACTTTTGCTGCAATTACAGCTGCAAGTCGCTTGGGGTATGTCTATCAGTTTTGTACATCGAGAGACTGGAATTCTTGCCCATTCTTCCTTGCAAAACAGCTCAAGCTCAGTGAGGTTGGATGGAGAGCGTTTGTGAACAGCAGTTTTCAGCTATTTCCACAGATTCTCGATTGGATTCAGGTCTGGACATTGACTTGGCCATTCTAACACCTGGATACGTCTATTTGTGAACCATTCCATTGTAGATTTGGCTTTATGTTTTGGATCATTGTCCTGTTGGATGAATCTCCGTCCAAGTCTCAGGTCTTTTGCAGACTCCAACAGGTTTTATTCCAGAATGGTCCTGTATTTGGCTCCAGCCATCTTCCCTGTCCCTGCTGAAGAAAAGCAGCCCCAAACCATGATGCTGCCACCACCATGTTTGACAGTGGGGATGGTGTGTTCAGGGTGATGAGCTGTGTTGCTTTTACGCCAAACATATCGTTTTGCATTGTGGCCAAAAAGTTTGATTTTGGTTTCATCTGACCAGAGCACCTTCTTCCACATGTTTGGTGTCTCCCAGGTGGCTTGTGGCGAACTTTAAACGAGACTTTTTATGGATATCTTTGAGAAATGGCTTTCTTCTTGCCACTCTTCCATAAAGGCCAGATTTGTGCAGTGCACGACTGATTGTTGTCCTATGGACACTCTCTCCCACCTCAGGTGCAGTTCATCCAGAGTGAACCCTGACAAGTAAAGTTTACTTGAAGAAAACATGGAAATAAATTGCATATTAACTTCACTGGAATTCGAGTACAACCTTTACTTTATCACCAAGTAAACTCAACAATAAATGAGTAATATTCACTTACTGGGAAAAATCAATTTAAAATAACTGATATCTGAAGTAAGATTGAAGTTAGGGTTTACAGTGGGGCCTCTTGGCTGCATCTCTGATCAGTCTTGTTTTGAGATGAAAGTTTGGAGGGACGGCCGGGTCTTGGTAGATTTGCAGTGGTCTGATACTCCTTCCATTTCAATAATTGCTTGCACAGTGCTCCTTGATGTTTAAAGCTTGGGAAATCGTTTTGTATCCAAATCCGGCTTTAAACTTCTCCACAACAGTATCTCGGACCTGCCTGGTGTGTTCCTTTGTCTTCATGGTTCTCTCTGTGCTTTAAACAGAACCCTGAGACTATCAAAGAGCAGGTGCATTTATACGGAGACTTGATTACACACAAGTGCATTCTATTTATCATAATCAGTCATTTAGGACAACATTGGATCATTCAAAGATCCTCACTGAACTTCTGGAGTGAGTTTGCTGCACTGAAAGTAAAGGGGCTGAATAATATTGCACGCCCCACTTCAGTTTTTTGTTTAAATTATCCAATACATTTCGTTCCACTTCACGATTGCGTCCCACTTGTTGATTCATGACAAATAAAAATTAAATTGTATCTTTATTTTGAAGCCTGAAATGTGGCAAAAGGTTCAATGGGGGCCGAATACTTTCGCAAGGCACTGTAAGTGCACCCCTACTACAGTGTGGTAAACAAATATTTAGAAAATGTCTTTAAAAAAAAAAAAGAATACAAAAGGTGTACCCCCTGCAGCTAGTGGAGAACTATGATCCTAAACTGTCATTCAATCACATGACCTGGAAGCTATTGAGCTAAAATGTTACATATTTAAACATAAAAATGCATTTTAGCTCAATAGCCTCCAGGTCATGTGATCTGTTTAGTCCTAAATCAGTTTAGGATCATACAACTTGAAATACAGTGTCAGGAATGAACCAGACAGAGACGGATCATGGTGCGCCAAACTCTTGAAGTTTTTTTTTTTGGTTACTCTCAAGTTCCAGTGGTTTCTGATGTTTCTTTCTCTCAGACAGAATACACACAGAAGTCTATGTGTGACAGAAGTCACACATCGAAAGACATGCGTGTCACACAGAGACAGTGCATATCATAGTCAAAATATGGATGCACAGAGTCCTTGAATAGTCTTGCAGTTGTCCTGCACGTAGGCCATATAGCTATCTAATCCTCACAACAGTTTATAAAACGGTTGTAAATGCTAACTTCTGACAGTGTGTTGCTATGGTAACTAGCACTTCCTCCTTTCTGGTGGAAAACCAAGCTGACTTGACTTAGTCCAGAACCAGTCTAGAATCAGCACCTTAATAAAGGGGCATTTCCTGTCAGAGAATGTTGGTTACAAAGCAACCGATCTATTCAAAAGAAAGGAGCGAAGGTAGAACTAATATATTTAAAAAAAATAATTAAGCTAATGACAGAAATAAACTACATGTAGGGACAAGGAATGTCAGAAAGTGATGACATCAAATGCACATAAACTTGAATAATTACACTTCCAAAACTAAAAAGTTAAAATGACTGATCTGGGAGTTCTGGTGTTCGTTTATTCATGCTTGTTTACCCTACAGAGAACCTGGAGAAGGCCCAAACTGTCATGAGAATACAGACCATGTTGCGCAGTCGTCATTTGACTAAGTGTTTTTTAACCGTGGCACACTACAAGCTGAAACTGATGCAGAAATGAAACTCTGAGCCAAACAATGCGATTAGCACTTGTTTGATGTTAATACACTTTGATGATAAAGTCTTTTCTAATCTATTCATAGTTTTCGTTTCACATTATTTTTAACCAATTTGGTGATATTGAATACAGTGCACAAGTTGAAAAACACTGAACTAAAACACATCTTTACACTTTTGGCTGAGAGATTGTCTTTAAAGTTGCCATTTCTGTTCTAAAGCTGTACCAGAGGCTAGTATTTATAATGATTAGTAATTATATTTTCAAGCTGCAAACTGGTTGGATTGGTTTAAACATCTTTTGCGACTTTAAATACTTCAGCTCTAGATGTGGCTGATTTCCTGCTGCTCTTAATGCCTATGCCCAATCATGTGCAGATATGTCATTGAAGTTCATTCGTGTTTGTAATTGGCATGAATTGTAACTTTTAAATTTGTTACATCGTATTGCTTATGTAGGAGAGAATACGGTTTGTGTAATTGCAGTAACCTTATGTGGCAAGATCTAGGCAAACATTCCCAATGTGAAATGACTTTAACCTAAGTCAGCTTTTGTCTTTCTGCAGACGTCCAAATTCACATTGAGTCTCAGTTGGACCTGGTTACAACTGCAGTTATCAAAGAGGAGCCAGAGGAACTCTCCATCAAACAGGAGGTCACGTGTGCTCCTGTTACCGCTAAAACTGAAGATGAGGCGCCTGCACTCCAGCCGCTCGGGTCTGAGCCACACCTACATTCTAACCTAATGGATGAGACCGATCACTCATCAGACACAGGCTCTGAGCACTTCCTTGATTATAATCATAATAATAATAATAATAATGACGTGGAACTTCAAAACTCGTCTGACACTGACTGGGATTCAGAGACTCTTTCCGGACGCGAGTCTCGATGTGGACTGAGCAACGAAGAGGAAGTCGTGTTTGAATGCTCTCTGTGTCAAAAGACTTTTCTGCGCAAAGGGTTTTCAGTAAATGCAACGGGAAACAATGATAAAATAAACAGTTTAACCTGTTTATCATGCAGTGCTGGATCCAAACAACATCGAGAGCGTCCCAGTAGCGTTCATACCACTAAGAAAAAAAGATTAATTTGTAAAGTTTGTGCCAAGTGCTTTTCTCGAGAGGACAATTTGAAAAATCACATGTTGATACACAAAGGCAAGCGGCCTCACTGTTGCCAGGTGTGCACCAAATCCTTCACAGAGGCTGGGCATCTTAAAGCACATGCAAGAACTCACACTGGAGAGAAACCTTTCAGCTGTTCAGTTTGTGAGAAATGTTTTACTCACAGAGCGACGCGTGACCGACATGAGAGGAGTCATTCTGGAGAGCGGCCCCACGGTTGTTCTGAGTGCGGCACGGAGTTTAAGCAAAGGGCACATTATCTTAGCCACTTGAAAGTCCATAGCAGAGAGCGGCCTTTCAGCTGTCCAGTCTGTGACAAAACGTATACAAGAAATAGTCACGTCACTCTCCACATGAAGGTGCACGCCCGGAAACCCAATACAGTGTTCTGATTGTGAGCAAATCTTCACACGCCAGACTCTTTATCAAAAACATGTGTCGTCGCATCATACAGCAAAACCATAGGTTCAGTACGATTCCTTGAAGTTCCCAGACCCTTCACCAGCTCCAGATTTAAACAGAAGGCTTCTTACTATAATACAAGACCAAGGAATGTGCATATTTTTTTCAACATGTATTAAACCCTTTTGCTACCTTCAGAATAACACAAGCCACACTGATTAAAAACCACCAAAAAAATGTTTTCAAGCAGCATTTTGATTGTTTTTCCTAAAGACTGGCTTTGGGCCATTTAGACCCTTCTAGACCATAATTTCGTTTTTTTGGTATTGGAGTATTTTTCTTCTACTTATAAGCACTGTGGCAGTTCAATTTGACCCAAGGGTAGTGGAAAGGTTAAACTGCTTTCTTCAGTTAAATTAATCAACCCTAACCAACTTTACTCTTCTTTAAAAGACTGCAACTATTACATTAATCTTGTCTTAAGTTCTTAATCAGTTTCAGTACAAATTCATGTCAGAGAAAAGGATCCAAAGTGTTTTTTTATGCTTCTACTGAAACTGCTGCCATCCCTATACTAATAATGGTTTTAATTACAGAAACTCATTAAAGTAATGAGTATAGCATCACATGGATTTAAATGGGTGGTAACCCTCAAACAGGAAAAGCTGCATAATACTATGAGAAGTGCTTAAACCTTGTGTTCATTTTCTGAATACACCCTGTGCCTTCACTAAACTCTAAAGCATATTTCTTGAACTTGACCTGAAAAGCCTAAATTAGATTTTCTTCTCCACAAGACATAAATGTAATTTAGAAAATGCCACTTGTTTTATTATAAATTTTATGATTAATGTGTAGTATTTCTATAATAAAGTGTCACATGCAGCAGTGTACGTTTTCACTTTGTAGCGCTAAATCGCACACCTGTAGCTGGTCGATGATTAACACTTGTGCTACACTTGGGTCACAGTAATAAAAAGTAGAAGAAAAATACCAAATACCCCAAAATTACGCAAAAAAAAGTATTTAGGGTATTTTTATTCACTGTGGTGGATCAATTTGATGCAAAGAGCGGCCCATCCCTCTGCCAGGACGGAGCTGACTAGTGTAGTGCCCGGGTTTTTGTCAGGGCTGGAGTTGGGGAAAAGACCCAAAAATGAGTCAACATGACCTGCCACAGTGATTTAAAAGTAGATAAAAGTATCCAAAGTTGGGGTATAAAATGGTCTAAATGGCCCAGGGCTGGTCAAGCTCAGGTCAATTATTGAATCCGTGGATAGAACAAGGGTTAAGGCAACCTGTCAGTATCAGTGGTCAGTACCATGCAAGATGTTGATGCTCAGCGTAGTTAGGACTACCAAAGCTGGAGGGTTGTAGCTGTGTATGCCCCATATAACCGTAGCACCCAGAGGAAACCATCAGGAAAAACATACAAATTCCTCACAAAACCAATGTCCACACTCACACTTGGTTTCTATTATTGTTCCAAACAAGCCTGACTTAACAAAATGATCTCGAAAGAATGTAATCCATCTGGTGGATCTGCTGGAACACAAGGAAGTACTAGCTGGTAGTTAAAGCTAATTTTTATGATGACCTGCTAATACACCTTATATGACGTAGTTTCAAGACAACTCCTACCTTTGTAAAGCTGTGTGTTGGTCAGTGCCATCAGCAGTTCAAACTATTACTTTAGCCATGTACACTTGGTAGTTTTGAGTTGGAATTTTCAGAGGCTTTAATACTGTCGCATCTTGTGGCTGTTCCAAGTCATTCTTCAGCAAAAAAAACCCAAAATGATTGTGGGTGAGTTGTATTTCTTAAATTTACCTTTGCCTTTAACACTCTAGATGCACAGGAGATATGGGCATAGTTGAATATTTAAAGTCATTGTAAGTTTTGTCAAATCAAAATCCTCTTTTGAAAGAAAATCAGGACCTATAACTTTGTAAATATTAAATTGAGATTATGAAACCAGATTGAACATTTTGTACACATATCTTCATTCACTTAATCTTCAACATACAAACATAATGTAAGATTAAATTAAAGTTTGAACCATTTGTTTTTAGTAATTCCAGGATGAATAGAAGGATGAATCAATTCCGAGACTATCCATTTTTGTTGAAAAACGCAACCAAATATGGATAGATCTCTGTAGCCACCAATTCAAAAAGAAAACTGTTCATCAGAGAACGTCTTGTCATAACAATAGAAAAAAAACAATTTGATCCTTTATTGCAAGTTCATATGTAAGTGTTCTTTATTTATCGCCTTTCTCAGACCAGTCACAAAGTCGTTTACAATTGTTAATTTTTGGGCATTTGTCCTCTCACTCCACTCAAAGATGGGAGTGAGATCGCCGAAGACAAGCATCAGATCTATTGTGTATGTTTTTAGTGGTAGGCGAAACCTGCGCAGACACGGGGAGAACATGCAACCTCCACTCCTCGCCCTACTGGGAATCAAGCCCAGGACTTTCATGCTCAGAGGCAAGAGTGCTATCCACTCAGCCACCGTGCCACCCCTAGGTGTGGATATGTATTCATGTGTGAATAGAAGCATTTGAGAAGCATTCTGCCAAAAATTCCAGCTAAGCCACAGTATAAAATCACCTCAGCAACAATTGTGAACGAGTGGATAACGTCCATATAGCTTTTTCAATATTAAATCAAAGTACCATGTCCCAGAAAAAATGATCTTTCCATGTCATTGTAAAGCATACAGTTATTAACGTTTTCACCAAATCCAAAGTTATCTAATGTATTTTAAATGAATCAAAAACTCAAGGAAAAGTATGAAGCTATATTTTCATCAAGAGAATCAAAATAATGAATTGTACCCAGCAGAAGTCTAATATTATTGTGAATTACTACCCTTTAGAAAGACAGATTGTGTTTCACTTATTTCTGATGAGAAAATCTTGCCTCAGGAAAACCTTGATCATCTTCGTCAGGTTAACGATGATCGAGTCAAAAACATCCTGGATCTGCTAAGATTGCCCTGTCTCTGAAGAGCACAGTCTCTGTCAAGCCTTCTACCACATGGACCCTCTGCAGCACTCACATTCCTTGCTTTGGATTCCTTTGAGGCTTCAATACAATTGTTATTCAAAATTAGTTAAAATTACAAAATCACATAATCCCAAAAACATATGTTAAAGTTAAATCTGCAAATATGCAATGCCATTATCTTAACTGCAGCAACAGTTCTTCTAATTTTGATTCCAAGACACAAATATCTTATCATATTTGTACAATTAGAATCCGTTTTGAAATGGGAATTGTCGCGAACAAATCTGTTGATCAGACATCCCTGCTGACTTACAGTGACCTCTACTGGTGTGAACCATAGAGTGTGAACGAAAATATATTCTCCACTACACATACATTACGGTGACAACTTTCCCAGGCCCAAGACCGCACCGGACTCGAGCGCTTAGCCTACAAGCAATATTTTTTCCAAAAGCTGCATACGGATTATTAGTTCTTAATCTTTATTTGGTCCAGATATAGATGGCTTAGACCGTTTTGAGACAGGTTAGTTTCACCCCACCGATGATGTGTTTAGCAAAAGTAAGTAATTCTGAGCTCAGCCGCTCAGCGGTGGAAACTTGACCGCCTGTATTCGCGATCAGAGCTTGGCAGATCTATCCGTCTCTTTATTGCGCTTTTGGTTGATATCACTCAATAATATGTTATAACAACATATCAAAGGTCTAGGAATTTTCATAATTAATGTAAGCGCCATTTTTACATGTTTATTGTATTTACATAATTTTCATGTCTTGATTAATATTTGATTTGATTTAGAAAATGTCATGACAATATGATTGTAATGAGATATGATTTGAGTGAGTACACTGTAACAAATGTCTGTAAAATTACAATGAAATTTCAACATTGAACAAATGGTATTTTGAAAAACAATTCAAACATGCAAATTTAAGTATAAATTGGTTAAAAAACATCCAGTGGCGTTTTATTACCACAATTATAATGTGATTATAATACATATATAATGTGACATTTTTGCTAGCGAGCAACCATGAGTGTAAAAGGTGCCTCTTACACATGTAAACTGATGCTTTAATGATGCTTTTGCATTAAGCATGTTATAGAGTTAAAGAATTCACCAATGTTCTCGTATAAACTGAAGATGTTAAAAAATAATTGAAAAGTTATATTCATTAAAGTAAAACAAATTAAACTGTGCAGCTTTTTGTTCAATAAAACTAATTATAAACAGAAACAGTCATTCGGTGTTATAACACAACATTAACATTATAATGCTGTTTTTGTTGTATGTGAATTAACAGGAACATACAGTTAAATCCTGAAATCACAAAGGCATAACGTGATTCAGTGAAACAGTCTTTAACCGTTAAAATTAGCAACGGTAATGCCATGTTGAGAAAACGGTAAATTCCTGGAACCATATTTGCCAGCTATTTACCGTTTTTCTGCAAGGAAATTCTTTACAGTGGGTATGGACACGCACCATACTCTGTTGTTGTTACATGTTGCTAGACAACGAAGTCTTATTAACGGCTGTACCTTTGAATAAACGAGAGATGGAGAGCAACACAGTTGTTTTACCGTCTGGTGCGACTGCATCTAACGTGTGATAACAGGCTACATTCATCTTTTAAAGAAAAGGGTAAATTAGAAACTACATTGAAAAGAACACAAGATTATCCTCTATAATTAATATATATTAATTATTAAATCAAAACAGAAAATGTTTGATATCAAATGTTTGAGACGTTAAAGACCTTATGACGGGTTTAAAAAAAAAAAAATTGTGGTTATCAAAATTGCATGACAATGTCAATCTGAAAGAGATTCCGGCAAAAAAATCCTATATTTTATAAAAAGAACGTGTTTTTCATGAATTTAAAGAGCGACTAAACACCAAATCAACTTTTTTTAACTCATAAACTGCATAAGTATGTTTATTGTAGTGCTGTCTACATATCCTGGTCATTTTTTTGACATTTTAGTTCAAATTAGATAAAATATCACTTTTGAGCCAAAAAACGTCTGTGTGGTGCCCTCTCAACCTTTCTGGTGGTACTACATTTGAATTTGGTTCTGGCCTCTCCATTGACTCTGAAGTTCTCTATGACATCAGTTGTTTTGTGTGATGTCAGTCTGTCAGAGCCAGTGATGTGAACCCATTCAACTCTCACACACGCCCCAGCTGCAGTTTGGAGTATTCTGGCGCCATCTAGTGGATTAAAATTAAATTACATGAGTCATTCTGAGATTATTGAATGTGATTAGGTTCAGGTGTGTAGCTTTACAATTATCTTAGTGTGTAAACAAGGGTTGAATGAGACTTTCTGGTCTGTAAACTATTGCTTTAAGCAGCAATGACAACTGTCTGTTTTTTTTTGTGTGACAAGTGAGCTGTCAATCACAGCCCAGACCACGCCCAACTCTAAGCCCCCCTTCTTGTCCCTTGGTCCTCCAGGCAACGCCCTTTTTAGAGAAAATTTTCAAATCTTCATGTGGGCGGAGTAAGGCTGGGCACAGGTGTTTAGTCGCTCTTTAAGTTGTCTATGCTCTGTGTGTAACGTCATAGTGGGTAACGCCCATGCATTGAAACCATGGATCTATGCCACAGGAATGCCTTTTCTCTCTTCTCTCCACTGATGCCCAACACAATACTGCACTCTACAGGTGACAATTGCTCACTACACATAAATTGCTGTTTGAGATTGAAAAAGTGTCTGAGGTGGAATTTGAACCCCAGTTTCTGGATTGGCAGTCCATCGACACAACCACTGGACTATCTCAGTGCCTATAAAGAGTTACAATCTAGTATTTATGTCACACCCGCTGTACACGGCCTTGTCATCTTGAATATCCGTGAAAAAAGAACGAATACCAAATTGTAAACAACTTACCACCCACTCTGACGTCGCCAAGGGCTGTGAAGTTTTTTCGTCTCTAAGGGCGTTGCTATGGGGTTATTTCGATTTGGGGGGATCAGACGAAAAAAACAACAACTGATTTTGAAACCTTCAGTAGTTCTCTTCTAATGTAAAATGGTTAAAACTGTATTTCTAAATCAATCAAACCCGTCATAAGGTCTTAAATCCAGTTCAAACAGTCCTGCAGGTTCTGGTATGTGTTTCAGCAACAACAACATGAAAACACACTGCTTGCTTTTGTGTTTGTTTTCACAGGCACAATGATGCACATCATTGCCAAGATTCATCAGCTGTTTTGGGACAACCCCCGTCTTTTTACATGAGATTAATTATAATCTCCCCATCCCCAACTGTAACCCAGGTAGCAGTCCCTGAGGTGTTGACAGCTTGTCATGGCTGCTGCAGCCTCTCGTCTGGAGCCACTGTTGGCCCAATATGACCTGAGGCTTGTTTGTAATCAGTGCTCTGTGAAGAAAGGAGAAATTACTTACATGACACTTAAGTGTGACCCAGAGCAACATCGGTGTGCCCACAGTCTGCTGTTATGTCGGGTCAAAGGAGGCAGCCACTGGAGGCCTGTTTCCAAGTGCCCCTTGTTCCCAAATCCCAGTGTGTATGAGGTCTGCTGGTTCTTCAGGGAGGGCTCTGGCTGCTCACAGCATAAGAACCGTTGCACCTTTGCCAGGAGTGAGGAGGAAGCTGCTGTGTGGAACTTTGAGAAAAACAATAAGACCAACCATCTGGATCTCTGTAATATACTTGCTCAGTCAAGCAAACGTGCTGGGTCCAAGTCTACCCAGCCTCTAGACCTCGTAGCTCTAGACTTAAAGGCTGTCTGTGATCAGTGTTGTGTTCAAGAGAAGGAAATCACCTACACTATTAAATCAGATTTTCACAATTGCCCTGGAAGTCTTCTTTTAGCTAAAGACAAGACTTCAGATCAATGGCGTCCTGTGGCAGATCGACCTTTGAATGGCACCTTTGGTCCAAATGTCCATTATCAAGCGTGCCGCTTTTTTATTGAAGGCTCTGGATGCACAGCGCATGGAAATGGCTGCAGCTTTGCTCGGAGCAGTGAAGAGGCAGCTGTGTGGAACCATATCAGGAACAATCAGATTCTTTTAAAGGACTTCATTGGACAAGTGGCTCTGGCCAGTGTAATGACCCCAGAACAGGCAGCTCAAGGCCTCATGCAAAGCTTTCCTGGCCGATTTAATGAGCTATGTACCCAATGCTTTTATGATCGACCAATGAAGTTGGTAGTCAAAAGGTGGAATGACACTTGTTCTGCAGATGCAGCTCATGAATGGAAGCCTCTTCTTGTCCATCACCCAGAAGAACAGGGCAAAAAGATCAGCCATATTAGACCTCTTCCCCAAACATCATTGCTTAAGTTTTGCAGCCATGTCCGTGATGGAAAGCCCTGCTGGCACAACCCTGCTCACTGCAAATCGGCTCAGAGTGAGGTAGAGATGCAGGTGTGGATGGCTGAGCAGCAGGGCCTGAACCTGCGCCCGCTGATCCTACAGCTTCAGCCACAACAGGAAACACAGCAGATCTCCTTTTACTGCAAAGTGTGCTTCCTCATCCTGTCCTCTGCTGAGAGCTTCTACAAGCACTGCTCCTCTGTAGAGCACGCCCAGTTACTGCGACAGGACACCAGCTTCTGGTGGGGAAAACGTCCACCTCCTCACAGCAGACGGGCAGAATTCTGGCTCTGTGACAGGTCAGGAAAATACTCGCACAGTATCTGTACATGTCCAATTTTAGTTTATTGTAAGATATGTTAGGCAAGGATTTTTTGTTGACTTTGTTGACTGATTAGGCCCGTGCTTTCACATTGGTGAATGCAAGAAGTAGCGGTGCATGACCTGAAGGGCTGTTGCTGATAATTACTGTTATTATGTTTTTAGAATGATCAATTTTATTTTTATTTTTGCTACTACTGGACATCTGAATTTCTCCTACGGGGATCATTAAAGCATCTATCTATCTATCTAAACTCAAACGCTTAATTTGACCCCCTGAACATGCATGAAAACTTGCCAAATTTTGCCCACAATTCAGAACCCGTGAAAAATTAACCTTTTTGGTGTTTATTTTTATGGGACTAATAAAATGCCAGAACAGCGCCACCTACAAAAGTCAGTTTACATTGCGCCTATGGGAGAGGGTCTGAGGTCAAGTTTGTCGTAGAGCTACGAAATTCGGTTCAACTCAAGACATGAAAAACATGTTGTTAGGACCACTCCCCCTGACAAACAGGAAGCCCATACATTTAATTGGAAAATGGAAAAATGAAAATGCCTAGAATCTCATCGTGACTGATAGAACTGCCATGTCTCTTTTAGACCTGAATCGTGTGAATATGGAGGAAAATGTCCCAAAGCTCATTCTAAAGAGGAGCTCCAGGAGTGGATAATGCGCACTGAAGAAGTGGACGAGATCAGACAGAACATTGAAGCTGAGGGCCTCATGAGTTATAACGAAAGACTCCTGCAGGAATACAGAAGCTGCAGCAATGAGGTCCACATTGTGAGTACCAGTAAGACTAAACTGACTGACACCTCTCACTGCTTAACCATAATTGTTTTGGATTGTTCTAACAGATGTCTGAGTATGTCGACAACGTGTCCATCTCTAGTGATGAAGATTTGACTTTATATTGTGATCAGGTTCACACAAAGCTGCAGTGGAAGTTCACAGTAGAAACAGAGGTATAATGTTACTGCAGAAGAAACTAGACAAAGCTTGGTTTTGATTGGTAGCAATAGTTTTACCCTTTGATTTGGCTGTTGGTTTTTAGATTTCACTGCAATTTGTTTCTATTAAGAAATTATAGAAATTCACTTTTGCATAGCTTGTTTTAATAATATCCATTCACATTCTTAGCACTGACAGACTAATCAGTTGAGCACACTAACCCTGACATACCCTGCGTGTTTTGTTTAGAGGGCACTTGAGCATGTGGCGTTGCTGAAGCAGGAGCCTGGAGCATGCTTTTCTCTTGAAGACGGCATCATTTGCATCTATTCATCTGGACCCAGCTTTTACACCGATGACACCACTTATACAATCCCTGTGTGTTTCACTTCAGATGTGCCAGGCCTGTATGAGCAGTGGCTTGTACTGGAGTTTGACATTAGGCCTGTGTTGTTGAAAAAACTAAGAGTAGTGGTGGGTCAGCGCTCGACCGATGATTATGAAGAGACGGCCGTAAATGCTGCAGTCGCTCAAACGCTCGAACGCTGGCACTCGGGAAACAGACTGATTGTTCATTGTATAAACCGGACCGAGGAACAAGAGGAACTACTGAAACGATACAAACCACCACAAATTAACTTTCAATTCAAACCCGCCCTTTATCTCCACACAGAACTGAGTCATGAGAACTACAAGGAGCAGATGCATCATTTTCTGTACAGTGAGGAGCAGGAAGAGGACCGAGCTGTGTCAAGGTATGATATGCACTATTGCAAGAAATTGAAGCCAGAGCAATAGGAATGTTTAGCAAATGTAGTCGCTGGAATAAATTGTGGCGCTACTCCCCACGGGCTCCATTAGCGCCAAAGGAGATGGCTAGGCTAAATGCTAAATGCTAACAACAGAGTCGCATTACATACGTCACGGTAAACTCAGATCCAATCGTTTCAATCTGCTAAAGGAGTTCAACCCTCCAACCTGTAACTGTTCCACAAGCACAACTCTACGTTGTCCAGCCATGGCGCTCTCAACCACCACCCGGGTCAACTCTTTGTACACCTCCTCAATTTTGTTGGACAGCAGGTCGTGAATTTTATGAGCTGCCATCCCTCACAATTTGCGGTGGAAAAGGACTGCTCCAAGCCCGAAAAGGAGGATCCCAACCACCAGAAATCCAAAGATATAGACGTCTTCCAAATCTTCGATAGACAGGGGCGACAGACATAACGGGTTCCACCTCCCCCAGCTGTCGAAAGTGTAACCCGCAGGTGCAGTCCCGTCTGGGCAGGATGCCTCTCCCGGTCCTCCCTTACGTGTTTAAAAAATAGTGTCAATTCCGTTGAGGGATCAGTTAATGAAATCCATAATTCTTGTTAGTCGTCTGTGGCAAAACTCCAGGAAAAAGACAAAAACAAGATAGAGCAAGCGGTCAGAAGCAGGAGCGGTCTGAGACACGTCTGTGCTTGACGGGGCCGGAAGGAAGAGCCATGGTAAAGACATACGTTTACAAGCACTGACCCCCGTCCTCAGCCCTGGTTTGATCCTGGTTTAGCTCCTGTTTTGGTTGTTTTCGAGCGAGAGTCCCCGTGATCACTTTGCGGCTCTCTGATGTGGAGGATGTTCTCTGCTGCGACCCGCTCGCAGCAGAGAACAGTTTTTAAGGCAGTAAGATCCATGCTTCTTCAGTGATCAGAGGTCGCACGTTTTGTTTGTTGTAGTTTTGGGGGCATACTGTGGCGTGCAAAAACGCAAAACTCCGGTTATCTCTGACTACACGCAAATGCATAAACGGATAATTTTTTTGATGTAATGCGATCTACCAATACTACCTTTGCGATCGACTGGTAGATTGCGATCGACTGGTAGATTGCGATCGACTAGTAGATTGCGATCGACTGTTAGATTGCGATCGACTGTTAGATTGCGATCGACGTATTGAGCACCCCTGCTCCAGAGAATACAATGTATGTTAGCTATGTTCACCCGGGCTGGATTTCTTCTTTGATCATTTTCTTTCAGTTCCCTCTTCTCTTCCTTACTGTTGTGTCGTTTGGGCTGTTTTGCTGTGTAAGGCAAGGCAAGGCAAGTTTATTTATATAGCACAATTCATACACAAGGCAATTCAAAGTGCTGAACAAAACAAGAAAGTATTAAAATCATAAATAATCACAGAACATTAAAAAGAAAGCTAAAAGTATAAAATCCCTCAGTTGTTTGCACAGCTAAACAGAAATGTCTTTGACCTGGTTTTAAACATTGTCAGAGAGGAGGCCTGTCTCACATCTTCAGGAAGACTATTCCAGATTTTAGCAGCATGAATCTGAAAAGCAGCCTCCCCATGTTTAGTTCTGACTCTGGGCACTAACAGGAGTCCAGTCCCTGTGCTCCTCAGAGTCCGGGCTGGTTCATATGGGACTAACATGTCACTAATATATTTTGGTGCGAGGCCATGGAGAGACTTGTACACAAGCAGAGCTGTTTTAAAGTCTATTCTCTGAGCCACAGGAAGCCAGTTCAGAGACCTGAGAACTGGACTAATGTGGTCGTACTTCCTGGTTCTAGTCAGGACTCGAGCTGCTGCATTTTGAATGTACTGCAGCTGTTTTACAGCCTGTTTGGACAGACCTGTGAGCAGGCCATTGCAGTAGTCTAACCTACTGGAGACAAATGCATGGATAAGAATCTCCAAGTCTGCTTTAGACAATATGTTTTTGATCCTGGCAATGTTTTTTAGATGGTAAAAAGCTGCTGATGTTACTGATTTGATGTGGCTATTAAAATTTAAGTCTGAGTCCAGTATTACCCCTAGATTTCTGACCTTGTTTGAAGGTTTTAGGGAGAGAGACTGTAGGTGACAGATGACGCTCTCTCTTGGTTTCTGGGGACCAAAGACAATCATTTCAGTTTTGTCTGCGTTTAGCTGAAGGAAGTTGTTTTGCATCCACTCACTGATCTGTTGGATACAGTGAAGGAGTGAGTCCACTGGTCCATGTTCTCCTGCAGTCAGTGAGACATAGATCTGAGTGTCGTCTGCATAGTTGTGATAGGACACTTTGTTTCTGCGTATTAACTGACCTAACGGCAGCATGTAGAGATTGAACAGAAGAGGTCCCAGGATCGACCCCTGTGGTACTCCACAGGTCAGGGCCATATGATCTGAGACACAGTTTCCAATCTCCACAAAGTACTTCCTGTCCTCAAGGTAAGACCCAAACCAACTTAGGGCGGTGCCAGCGACGCCAACCCAGTCCTAGATTCTCTGTAAGAGGATCTCATGGTCGACAGTGTCAAAGGCAGCACTTAGATCTAACAAGATTAAGATTGAGACTTTGCCTGCGTCAGTGTTCAGCCGGATATCGTTTGTAACCTTAACGAGAGCAGTCTCAGTGCTGTGGTGGGGTCTAAAACCGGACTGAAACATATCAAATGAGTTGTTGATTATAAGAAATCTAGTAAGCTGTAGGTATCAGAATCAGAATCAGAATCAGAATCATTTTTATTGCCACGTAAGTAACAGGAGGTCACAGACTAGGAAATTGCTTTGGCTCAGTGCAACAGTCAAAAGGAGATAATAAAAATAAGAATAAAAAACACTTCTAAAGAATACATTTAAATTTAAAATAGAGTTACAGTTACTATTTACAATATACAAGTGCACATGGTGCACACAATGTAAGGTGACAGCAGTACAGTGAAGTAAAGTGACGTATGATGGGCAGTAAAGTGACTTTATAAAGGGCGGGGGGACAGGTTAAGAAGTCTTCAAGAGTCCAACAGCAGAGGGGAAGAAACTGTTCTTGTGGCGGGAGGTTCTAGTCCTGATGGACCGCAGCCTCCTGCCTGAGGGGAGTGGTTGGAATAGTCCATGTGCAGGGTGAGAGGGGTCGGCTGTGATACGACCAGCCCGGCCTCGAGCTCGGGCGACGTACAGGTCCTGCAGCGATGGAAGGCTGCGGCCGATCACTTCCTCTGCAGAGCGCACAATGCGCTGTAGTCTCTGTTTGTCCCTGACTGTGGCTCCAGCGAACCACACGGTGACGGAGGAGGTGAGGATGGACTCGATGATGGCCGTGTAGAACTGCACCAACATCTGTGCTGGCAGCTTGGCTTTCCTGAGCTGCCGCAGGAAGTACATCCTCTGCTGGGCCTTCTTGATGAGGGAGCTGATGGTCGGCTCCCACTTGAGGTCCTGTAGACAACTTTCTCAAGGACTTTCCCCATAAATGGCATATTTGAGATGGGACGATAGTTGTTAAGTACCGTAGCACCCAGACTGCTCTTTTTTAGCAGGGGCCTGATGACTGCAGTTTTCAGGGCCTTTGGGAATATTTCAGAATGAAGGGACATGTTTACTATCTGTGTGAGTGAAGGTAACAGACTGCTCAGAACAGACTTCAGAAATCTAGTGGGTAGTACATCCAAGCTGCATGTGGAGGAGCTCAAACTGGAGATTATCTCTTGGACAGTTTTATCATTTACAGGTGCAAAGTGAGTTAGCTCAGAGAGCCTTTTTGGCTGTTGGATGGTTATCTGTGGATTGGAGACAATGGCGTTTTTGATGCCTTGAACCTCATTGAAATCAATCATTGAAAAAATTAGCGAACTCATTGCATTTACGTTTGGAAGTAAGATCTAATGGCATTTGAACAGGGGGGTTTGTTAATCTATTAACTGTTGAGAACAGAACATGCAGATTGTTGCTGCAGCCTTCAATCATTTCAGAAAAATACCTTTCTCTCGTACTACGTAGCACCCGGTTAAACTCGCACAACTTATCTTTGAAGATCTCGTAATCAACCTGGAGGTTTGACTTGCGCCACTTCCGCTCGGCCCTCCGGCACTTTCTCTTTTGTGCCCTGACCGAATCTGCTTTAGCCCATGGCGCCTTCTGCTTATTTTTCACTATTTTAACCTTCACAGGGGCAACGGTATCCAGAACATTCAAAACACTAGAGGTGACAGAGTTAAACAGTTCATCTACAGTAGAACACGATGCATTCTCAAAGTTTATCATTCCCATAAATAGATCACTCGTATTTTCATTTATGCGCCTTCTTCGAACAGTTGCAGAGTCCACTGGTGGTTTGTTAGTGAAACAAATGTTAAAAAAAACACAGAAATTATCCGAAAGAGCAACATCGACCACGTTTACATTTGAAATATTCACCCCCTTAGTAACTAACAGATCTAGAGTGTGCCCTCTGCTGTGGGTGGGGCCACTTACGTGCTGAGTGAGATCAAAGGATTCAAATACAGAACTCAGCTCATTTGCATTTCTGTCATCAGCATTATCCACATGAATATTAAAATCACCTGTAATAACCAAACTATCAAAATCTGTGCATACAACTGAAAGCAACTCGGTAAAATTATCAATAAAACTGTGACATGACTGCGGTGGCTTGTATAGGACAATGAAGAGTATTGGAGGAGATTGTTTTTGTTGTATTTTAACCCTTTAAGGATCACCTAATTTCGCCTGCTCCTTCTTGAATTATGATACTCAAATGGAAATGCTTATTGTGTGGACATCTTGTGTCTGATTTTGTGTTATGATGCCTCATTTGAAAGGTAACACCTTCTAGTTTCTGGAAACGTATGTTACAGTTTGTAAGGAAGGACCCAGTCTGCACTACACCTTCTCAAACATGAGTCAAAGTTAGTTTTTTTTGTCTCGGAAAAAAAAAGGCAATTTCAAAATAATCTCCTGAAAACATACTTTATGGTATGTTGTTCAAACTCACCAGAGCAGATGTCTGTGGTTTTGGCAACAAGTGTAGGAAATTTTAGACCTTTAGGTGGAACCATTTTGATGCTGGGGGCTTTTTTGTGACTAATGGGCACATTCGGCACAAGTGGTCCATTTTTGTGCCAATTGTGCCAAAGTGTTTTACATGCAAATTATCAATGTTATTACACCAAAAATCAAATTATATCATTTTTTGGCTATTACTCTTGCTATAAATAGGATTTTTTCCAGATATTGAAATGTTTGCAGAAAAGCTATTATTTATATAGATATAGCGCGTGTTCTCCGTGAAAATGCTCCGCCTTCCTCTTTACCCATTCAAATAAGACTCGAACAGTGGGAGGAACCTTGAAGTCCGACACATCGCCTGAAACCTGAGATTATTGGCTACAAGATGGTTTGATTGACATCCAAATCGGCCAATGGTAGTCAAGACAATGCTGTCGTGACGCACAGATATCTATATGACTGGAGCGGTAAAGCTAGGTGCGCTTGTTTTAGTCAACTTGATCTACCTCCAAACCATAGCACTGAAAAGTTCGGGAATGGGCTTGTTTTGAAGGGAAGACTGAGAGGAAGACGAACATACCCAGTGACGCTAGGTAAATAGTAACATGCCTACTTCATACAGTGCGCAAAGAACAGGTTTTATTTTCGTTTGTGCAACTTTCAATACTCAAATGTGTCGTTACAACTGGATATCTACTATAAGGATGACTTTGTAGAAAAAACAACTGGATATAATTATTCTATGAACCCTCACGAACAAAATGAATGCACACATGTGTGGATTAGACGTGATTTGCCCCAGAATATTAGCATGGAAAGGTAAGAAAGGACGATATATATTTTATATACATATACAGTTTGACTACTTTTTCTTACTTTTAGTTATATTTCATGTTTATTTTAACATAATACGCGTTTAGAGGTGGGAATAAGCTTTCAAAAGAGGTATAGCTTGACTATATTGACACAAGTGAATTCTAATACTGATGCTGTTAAATGAAAAATATCTGAATCCTCCCTGTACAGGGAGGGGGATCCTTAAAAGGTTAAAAGACATTATTCAAATGACGAAAACTTCCCAAGAGACATTATATGGGAGACAAAGTGGTCTCTGAAAATGGCAGCTAAGCCTCCTCCTTTTTTGTTTTCCCGTATTTCAGATTCAAATGTGAAATTTGGTGGTGATGCTTCTGTATGCAGCTACAGCAAGAGGAGTTGTAGCCAATTCTGCTAACATGCTACTGTGTTTAGCAGTGCTGTAGAGCACATGTGTCAAAGTCAAGGCCCGCGGGCCAAATCCGGCCCGCGAATGAATTTTACATGGCCTGCCATTGACGCACTATTACGTCAATTGCGTTTTCCGCTATTTTCATGTTCCCAGATGTCTATTATATCTAATATGTTTGGGGATAAGCTTGAGAGCATATTGAATCGAGCCAGCAGGTGGCAGCAGCGCTCTCTGAATGGTTTGAAAACAGCTAGATGCACTTGTTGTGCCTCTTTTTTCTCAACTTTTTGGTCATTTCAGTAATATTATTATTATTATTAACAAAAGTAGACAGTCCATTCTTTCAGAATCTGGTTTCGGATTTCAGATAGTCATAGTACAGATGCACAGATGTTGGTGCAGTTCTACACGGCCATCGAGTCCATCCTCACCTCCTCCATCACCTCCTTCATCACCTCCTCCATCACCTCCTCCATCACCACTTCCATCACCTCCTTCATCACCTCCTCATCACCTCCTCCATCACCCCCTCCATCACCTCCTCCATCACCTCCTCCATCACCTCCTCCATCACCTCCTCCGTCACCTCCTCCATCACCTCCTCCATCACCTCCTCCATCACCTCCTCCATCACCTCCTCCGTCACCACCTCCATCACCTCCTCCATCACCGTGTGGTTCGCTGGAGCCACTGTCAGGGACAAACAGAGACTACAGTGCATTGTGCGCTCTGCAGAGGAAGTGATCGGCCGCAGCCTTCCATCGCTGCAGGACCTGTACGTCGCCCGAGCTCGAGGCCGGGCTGGTCGTATCACAGCCGACCCCTCTCACCTGCACATGGACTATTCCAACCACTCCCCTCAGGCAGGAGACTGCGGTCCATCAGGACTAGAACCTCCCGCCACAAGAACAGTTTCTTCCCCTCTGCTGTTGGACTCTTGAAGACTTCTTAACCTGTCCCCCCGCCCTTTATAAAGTCACTTTACTGCCCATCATACGTCACTTTACTTCACTGTACTGCTGTCACCTTACATTGTGTGCACCATGTGCACTTGTATATTGTAAATAGTAACTGCAACTCTATTTTAAATTTACATTTATTCCTTAGAAGTGTTTTTTATTCTTTATTTTGTATTATCTCTTTCTGACTGTTGCACTGAGCCAAAGCAATTTCCAAGTCTGTGACCTCCTGTTACTTACGTGGCAATAAAAATTATTCTGATTCTGATACACAATATTCTGTGGGTCTTGAAAAATCTATAAAAATCATCAGAAACTGCTGGCAATATGGGAGTACCTGTTCTGAAATAGGCTGGCAGGCAATGAGTTAATAAACATTGAACAAGTCCGGCCCTCGGCTCGCAGCAAATTTGATTTTTGGCCCTCTGATGTATTTGACTTTGACATGCCTGCTGTAGAGGCTAGGACGCAGCCTCATTCTGTGAGTGGAGGAGAACGAGCGTCACGCTATGTCTCTAATCAGCACTTTTTACGGCCTGAATTCATACACAGCTGAATCAAGAGCTCAAGTTTTCAATTAAATTACGGATTATAATACAACTTGTATGTAATAATAAGATTTTTTATAAACTCGATAAAAATTACAAATGTCCAGTAGTTGCCATGGTTATAGTCAAAACACCAACCAGAAATGTCAAGATTCTCAAATATTCCAGTGTCAATGAGATTTACCTCATTTGCAGATGATAAAAAAGGACTCACACAGATTACAAACATGGACAACATGGACACCCCTATCCTCTGGAGCAGGGGTGCTCAATACGTCAATCGCAATCTACCAGTCGATCGCAAAGGTAGTATTGGTAGATCGCGTTTCCCCATACGCTTCTACTTTCTCCTCTTCAGAACAAAAACATTAGAAGACCAAGCTGTTTGAGATCATTTCATGTGTATCTAGTGTAGGTTTATGTGATAGTTCTATGGATTTATTGCTTTATTGGTCATTTCAATTGTGGTGCTGTGAAGACTCAGTTCTTGGTGGAAACATAGTTATTATTAAATTGCATTCAGCACAAGCAGCAAAACAATAAGTCGTAATATCTGAGACCAAACGTGAACGATTTATAAGTGCAGGAGGAATGCAACAGACGCAATAAGCTACAAGTGCAGATTCAAACAAAGACAGTGCAAAAGAAACAACTGTACAGTTTATAAGTTACAGTACCTTGCGAAAGTATTTTTTTCATGAATCGACAAGTGGGACACAATCGTGAAGTGGAACGAAATTTATTGGATGATTTAAACTTTTTTAACAAATAAAAAACTGAAAAGTGGGGCGTGCAATATTATTCGGCCCCTTTACTTTCAGTGCAGCAAACTCACTCCAGAAGTTCAGTGAGGATCTTTGAATGATCCAATGTTGTCCTAAATGACTGATGATGATAAATAGAATGCACCTGTGTGTAATCAAGTCTCCGCATAAATGCACCTGCTCTTTGATAGTCTCAGGGTTCTGTTTAAAGCGCAGAGAGAACCATGAAGACAAAGGAACACACCAGGCAGGTCCGAGATACGGTTTAAAGCCGGATTTGGATACAAAAAGAGTTCCCAAGTTTTAAACATCTCAAGGAGCACTGTGCAAGCAATTATATTGAAATGGAAGGAGTATCAGACCACTGCAAATCTACCAAGACCCGGCCGTCCCTCCAAACATTCATCTGAAACAAGGAGAAGACTGATTAGAGATGCAGCCAAGAGGCCCATGATCACTCTGGATGAACTGCAGATAACTACAGCTGAGGTGGGAGAGTCTGTCCATAGGACAACAATCAGTCGTGCACTGTACAAATCTGGCCTTTATGGAAGAGTGGCAAGAAGAAAGCCATTTCTCAAAGATATCCATAAAAAGTCTCGTTTAAAGTTTGCCACAAGCCACCTGGGAGACACACCAAACATGTGGAAGAAGGTGCTCTGGTCAGATGAAACCAAAATCGAACTTTTTGGCCACAATGCAAAACGATATGTTTGGCGTAAAAGCAACACAGCTCATCACCCTGAACACACCATCCCCACTGTCAAACATGGTGGTGGCAGCATCATGGTTTGGGCCTGCTTTTCTTCAGCAGGGACAGGGAAGATGGCTGAAATTGATAGGAAGATGGATGGAGCCAAATACAGGACCATTCTGGAAGAAAACCTGAGACTGGGACGGAGATTTATTTTCCAACAGGACAATGAACCAAAACATAAAGCCAAATCTACAATGGAATGGTTCACAAATAGACGTATCCAGGTGTTAGAATAGCCAAGTCAAAGTCCAGACCTGAATCCAAATGAGAATCTGTGGAAAGAGCTGAAGACTGCTGTTCACAAACGCTCTCCATCCAACCTCACTGAGCTCGAGCTGTTTTGCAAGGAAGAATGGGCAAGAATTCCAGTCTCTCGATGTGCAAAACTGATAGAGACATACCCCAAGCGACTTGCAGCTGTAATTGCAGCAAAAGGTGGAGCTTCAAAGTATTAGCAAGGGGGCCGAATAATATTGCACGCCCCATTTTTCAGTTTTTTATTTGTTAAAAAAGTTTAAATTATTGTTCCACTTCACGATTGTGTCCCACTTGTTGTTGATTCTTGACAAAAAAAATAATTTTTCTATCTTTATGTTTGAAGCCTGAAATGTGGCGAAATGTTGAAAGGTTCAAGGGGGCTGAATCCTTTCGCAAGGCACTGTATATATATACGTATATATGTTGAATATGCAACAGAACTCTAGTCCTCAGTCTCCGCGTATATCAGGCTCTGAGCCACGAGCCCAAACAACTTTTCCTTTGGTTTCTTCGAAGCACGAAGCTATCTGCTCCGAAGTGCGTTGTCCATGCTCCCTGCAGCCGCTTCATGCTTCCGTCCAAAACACACACACGGACCAATCAAAACGGAGCTGGTCATATCTTATCTGTGGTGAAAACAGACACATCGATGTTGTGTGTGACTTGGAACACGTTTGCTGCGTCGATTTGCATATTGTCCCCTAGATTCATGGTTGTCCCTTTTCGCAGGGAGAATATCTTGCGCTTGCACTCCCCTATGGGAGGGTACTTAGAATTGAGACGGGCCCCAACAGTCAATCTCTAGTTTTGACCTCTATCACTTCTTTATAATATAATTTATGTACAGAACATTTCAAAAGTGAGGACCTCCCTTGTTCAGCCACTCAGATCTCTTCCCAAAGCATCATATATTGACTTCCTGGGATTTTTCTTCCAAATTTTCAAAACTCTAATTGTATGATAAAGACTGGATGGCATGGTCGGATTTGTTCACAAAATGTTACTTTCAGGTGGGACAACAAAAATGTTTGGTACTCAATTTGGAAAAACTAAAAAAATAGCCAGTTGAAGTTTAATTGTACATCTAACCGTATACCGTAATCTGCAGGTTAAACATAAGTGGAGAAATGAGAGTCAAAGACCATTTCACACTGTGGGGCACAGGGGGACGAGAGCTTTTCGGCGAGATCTCTCTTCCCTTCAGTCTCACTGCAGGGACTACTGAAGGCCTGGCTCTGCGGCGAAGCATCCACTCAGCACTGATCGCCCCTGCATCTAGCACAGCAAACAGTAAAGTCTATGAAGCCATCATTGTGCAGGACAAGACTTCTGAGAATGTGTTGTATTTGAAACTGTCAAAAAGGTGCTGTTCTGAGCTCGCACTTAAACGTAATACATCACTTGAGGTGGAGGTCCAGTTTCAGCTCAACCGTTACCACTTCTGCAGTCTGCACAAAGCTGTGGACCTACTTCCTGATACAAGCAGAGTTCTTCCAGACCTTGAAAATTGCACTGTTCCCACAAACAACATTCAGTTTGACAAGTTAAACGCAAAACAACAAGAAGCAGTACGATTCATGATGGGAAAGGCAGAAAATCAGAAATGTGTCGCTCCGTTGCTCATTTATGGCCCGTTCGGCACAGGAAAAACCTTCACCCTCGCTACAGCTGCAATGGAGATGTGTCAGCAACCCAACAACAAAGTTCTTATCTGCACCCACACCAACAGGTAAGCTGATCTCACCAGAGATTTCCCTAGCATACAGAAAAAGCGCTGATGGAATGAGCCAATAATTAATAACCAAAATTATTTCTATTGATTTCAGTTCTGCAGATTTGTATGTGAGAGACCATTTTCACAAAACAGACGCTAACATTCGGCCACTTCGGGTCAAAGCGAACACAGACCGGGGACTATGGGCCACAGATGAGATTACCCTTAAGTACTGTTTTCTCAATGAAGATAAGAGCAAGTTTCTACCACCAACCAAAGCAAAGTTAGATCAGCACAATGTCATTGTCGTCACCACAACTATGGCACGCCAGCTGCACAACCTGAAGCTCCCAGAGGGTTACTTCAGCCACATTCTGATCGATGAAGCCTCTCAGATGTTGGAGTGTGAGGCTCTGTCAGCCCTTGGTCTTGCCGGAGCAAAGACACGCGTGGCCTTAGCAGGAGATCACATGCAGATGGGACCAAAGCTTTTCTCTGTGGAAGACCACAAGCGTTCGGATCACACTCTGCTTACACGCTTATTCCATTTTTATCAGATCCACAAGTGCGAGTCTGCACGAAGGAGTCGAATCATACTGAGTGACAACTACCGTTCTACCAAAGAAATTGTAGACTTTGTTTCTGCGCATTTCTACTCTGGTAAAGATGATGTAATTAAATCCACAGAAGAAGTGCCTCCTCCTCCAAACGGCCACGCCCTCAGGTTCAGCCATGTCCGAGGAGAGTGCCGCTTAGACAGAGAGACAGGTACATGGTACAACAGCAAAGAAGCCGACAGAGTGGTCGAAGCTGTTAAGGATCTACTTCAAGACTGGCCATCATCCTGGGGACCACAGTCTATATGTGTTCTATCAGAGGGGTTTCAGGTAATTTTCTCATCTATATTTAATTTAAAGAATAGTGAGTATCACTGTAATTATTAATTGTATTTGTGTCACAAAGGTCAATAAAATAAGAAGGAAAATGTCAAATCAAGGCCTTAAGGAGGTGAACGTTCTCAATCTTGCAAATATTCAAGGTAATGATTGATTCTTTGCTTCAAATGAATCTGTGTCTATTCTACAACCCAAATGATTATTTCCTCCGCAGGTTTGCAGTTTCGAGTGGTCATTATATCTGCTGTGCACTCTTGTGACTCTCTTAAGGCCCTGTCTTGTCCCGAACTGTTCCACGATGTGCGTGTTTTCAACACTGCGCTGACCAGAGCTCGCTCACTGGTGTTAGTTGTTGGTGATGCTGCTGCTCTCTGCTGCTTTGGACAGTGCTCTCAGATCTGGAAGAATTACGTAGACCATTGCATTCACTGCAACAGTGTTGACCCACCATATTTTTCAAAAGACTTCTTTGAAAAAATTCTCATTGAAACCAAACAGTTTCTGAAATGTGTCGAAGTTCAGGAAAACCTCACTGAAAATGATACAATTCTTCAGGAACTAAAAACTGAGTATGAACAATTCAATAAAGAATTGGTCAGTGATGATGACAATGATGGTGTGAATGTTCAAGATAGTCCAAAAAAAACAATGACATTTTCTACAGAGACTGATTCAGACCATTCAGAAAAACCCCATGAACAGCTTGACATACAAGGAAAACTTGTCCGAGAGTCTTTCAACAGTGGCTATGTGATATCATCCACAAGGCCTCATTTGCGAGTAAATATAACTGGAAGAAGCAGTCTAGGGAATGCCTTTACTGGAGATGAAGTGATAATAGAAAAAGGAAAAGTGACTGCCATCACAAAGGAATGCGACTCAGCTCGGAAACTTTTGTGCTATCTACAGGACGAAGATCACAGCAAAAAGAAAAATATTTCTAGTAATTTCATTTGTCAAACTATGATACCTATCTGTAAGTCTGCTCCAGTAATCAATGTGCACATCAATAAGAAAAGACGTCGTGATCTCCCGCTGTGGAAGAAAATCTATGGTAACTGGACTCCTGTAGAATTCAGAAAAATTGATGACATTTTAAAACAGAATAATGTTTTTTGGGTGCAAGTAATTACCTGGAAAAAGGAGTATTGGTGCCCTCTGGGTAATGTAACTGATGTTCTGCCTATTGGGCGTTCGTTGAGTGATGGTCTTCGGAATCTCAATATGCAATACAATGTTGGTCCTTTAATATGTGCATCAGACGACCTGGAGGATACTAACAAGACACACAGAAGGGACCGGAGCAGCAGAACTACCTTCACCATTGACCCTCCTCGAGCCGAAGTCCTGGATGATGCTATCAGTCTAGAATCATATGATAAACACTACAGTTTAGGGATCCACATTGCTGATGTAGCAAGCTTTGTACATATTGGTGACGAACTGGATGAAGATGCAAAACAACGCGGCACGTCCTATTACTGCCGTAATGAACCAAAACGCACCATCCATATGTTTCCTCTGGAGCTAAGCACTGGACTCTTCAGCCTCCTCCCAGGAAAAGATCGTGGAGTAGTGTCACTCATGTTCAAAGTGGATAAACAAACACATAGAATTATGGAGCCGCCAGAGTTTGAGCTCTCAACAATTAAATCTGACAGAAAGCTGACATATGAAGAAGCGGAAAATATAATCAACAGTGTGCCAGAAAATTCAGTTGACAGGTGCCTTAAATTGACTTTTGAGTTTGCAAAAGCCCGAAGGAAGGAAAGGCTCAAGAACTGGCCGTATGTTCAGCCTGATGATGATAAGATTCCTGGAGAACGTAAGGCTCATTTAATGATCGAGGAACTAAGTGTGCTATTCAACAAGTATGTATCAGAAAAACTCTGCACCTCACAAGAGACAAGTGGTTGTGTACCTCTTCGCTGCCAACCAGAACCATCTCAACAAAGTCTGGACAAACTAAAAAAACAATATACAGATTTTATACCGGTGTCGTTTAGTCTGTGGCATAAAGTGGAGTGTGATGAGCAGCAAAGTCCTGAGCGTGAATCCTTTTGTGTGCTCCAGTACATATGGACGAAGATCCAGGCAGCTGCAAAAGCTGGTGATATTGATAGGTTGGTGGATCTCATCGCTGCTGATGACATCCACCCACAGCTGAGACCCCTCACTACTCAGTTCAGGAAGTGCTTAAACAAAGCCTATTATAGTCTGTCCCAGAGTGCAGAGGTGGGCCACTACTCTCTCCAGTTACAGAGTTACACTCAGGCCTCCTCACCAATACGACGTTACATCGACATAGTGCTGCAGAGACTGTTGCACTGCTACATACTGAAAAGTCAGGTTCCCTTCACCAGAGAGGACATTAGCAGTCTGTGCACTGACTATGACCAAAATGCAAAGAACGCCAGAGAGTATGAACAACAAACAGTAAATATTTCCTGCGCTGTGGGTATCATGGAACACAGTGTTTGTAAAACAGCATTTGTGGCTGATGCGGAATCGGACAGTTTCCTTCTGTCTTTACCTTTTCACAGAGATATGTTTTCAGACATTTTTTGTATGTACAAAAATCTAAATCTGGATGATCAGCCACAATATGATGAGACCAACCAATGTGTGGAACTAAGATGGAGGAAAAGAATTTATGCTGCTGACAAAGAGAGACTACACATAGAGATGGGAAGACAATGTCACCAAAGTCCGTCTTTGATTGTTCCATTCAATGTGTGGAAGTCAACTGTTGATGCAGTAAAGCAAGGAAAGTGGAATGAAGTCAAATCCCTTATATTGAGTGCAAAGACAGAGCAGATGCCCCCACAGACCACTGTGTACTCAGGGAAGATTGAACATGTGGTAGAAATCAGCCTCCTGTTGAAGCCTGGAAACACTCTACGGGTCCAAATGACCTGTGAGGTGGACAGGGGCTACTGGAGACCTGCCATTCAGCTGGTGAGCGTCACACCAAGGTTTGAGGTCTGTGTGGATCATGCCAAAAACCCTGTTACCTGCTTCTCCAGGTGTGCAGACAGTCCTTCTCAGATTCACTACAAGAGCCCTGAGGACTATGTACGTATCTGGAAACCTCTGTGTGAAATGGAATCAGCAACTTCTGCCGTCAGGGACGGGGAAGGAGTCATTATTGAAAACTTAGAGGTGAACTTTAGTCAAAAAACCGTAGAGTCACTTGAAGGGAGCTTCTTCTTACCTTCAGAATGGATTGAAGATTGGGCTATCACTGGGTTCAATCTTTCAAAGTGCTTGTTGTGCATACGCAAACCAGGTCTGCCTTTAAAACAAGACATTATTGAAAAATATGATTTAATAGATCATATCAAACCAGGAGACCCTTCAGAATTCACATGGGTGGTCCACGGAGTCACAATCTATTCTGAAATGAAAAAAAAGGAACCAGCAGGAAATCTGGTCAATTTTTACGTCAATCACCGTCCAATGAAACTTATTCCTGACATCATTTTCAAGAACAGAACTTTCACAGTTGAATTGGTCCCAAAGACACTACCTGACGTGTAAGTCAGATTCACTTTTTGATCTACAACAGATTCCGTTTGGAAGTTTTAACCTGGTCTGATTTCATTTCCACAGACGAAAAGAAAGTGCAGTACTTAATGTTCCCAAAGCATGTGCACTTGTAAAGAGCATAGCACTTGGACATCGCATTCCAAGAGAAGGTAAATCTTATTCAACTTGACAAAGAGTCAATTGTTTTATCACCATTTAAATGATTAATTATGCTTTTTGAAGTCTTGGTGAGACCAATCGTAAAGCGTACGACCTTCCCAAACAAACTTCCACTTCTGAATCACAGTCAGTTCCAGGCAGTGGATAAGGCTTTGAATAGCACTTTTACACTTATCCAAGGGCCCCCTGGTAAGCACAGATTTTTGTATTGATAACTGCTCAAACTGCAGATAATGTTGATGATGATCAGATTATTTAAAAAAAACTAAAAATACTGTTGCTTTGCTGCTGAATCATCTGCATATCACTGTACACACAGTGGCGGTGGTTAGAGGCGAAATATTAAGTCCTTTTAGCACGTTATGTTGCCTTCAGTAACAGAATATTTTCCATAGGAACGGGGAAGACCGTAGTTGGAGTGTACATTTTGCTCTGTTTTTTGGAGATAAACAAAGAGAATCCCAGAAAAGTGATTATAGACGACAAGGACAAAGACAAGAAAGAAGTGATTCTGTATTGTGGTCCGTCCAATAAGTCTGTGGATGTGGTTGCAGGTAAAACTCCCTATGTCAAAACAGTACAAGATTGGATTAACCTTTTGAATAATATAAATGTGATGCTTAAATGTAGAGTACATGTTGAAGTTTGAGGACAATCTGAGAGCCCTCAGAGTCTACAGTGAACAAGTGGAGAATTGTGACTATCCGTACCCAGAGAGTGTTCTTCAGTTCTCTACAAAGACACGTGCGGAGCGTTCCAAAAACAGTCTGAGGTATAATATATAATCATTCAGAAGTTCAGGATCAAATAAAGAAAATGTTGAAGAAAAAGCTTAAAATATATATTCACTGTTTGACATTGTTTTTCAAGGAAAATCACGTTGCATCACTGCATCAGAGAAGATTCAAATCCAGATTCAGGTGAAATCAAAGCGTGGGATAAAAGAATTCAAGCAGCCATTGCTGCGAAAAAACCCTTCACCGCAGAGGAAGTGAAACAGTAAGTGGTTTAGAATATAATGTGTTGGAGGAGTGAACAGTGTGCGATTGGCTTATTAAACTCTGACTCTTTCAGATTCAGAAAACTCCTTGTAAAAGCTCGTAAATACGAACTGGAGAGACATGACATCATCCTGTGCACTTGCACTCAGTCGTCGGCCCCGGGCCTGAAGCGTGCAGTGAGTGCTCGACAGATCCTCATTGATGAATGCGCCATGGCAACAGAACCACAAGCTCTCATTCCACTCGTCTCCTACAACCCAGAGAAGGTAGCACCACTTTACACTAAGGATGCATTTCAAGCCATCTTCACATTCACGCATTTCCTGTTATTTTGGTGAATATGATCTCAATTCATATTTACTTGATGTTGTAACTGGTTTCCCAAAATGTTGAGGTCTTGTTTTTTAGCTCTCTACATATATACCCTGGTGTGTAATCCATAAAATATGTGTAGTAATAGGTATCAATTAAATTCAATTTAAATAACTTTATTTATCTGTGAGGAACTTCATTTGCAGACAATAAATACAAGATACAAAACACAATAAAAGTGCAGAAATTTTGTATAAAATACATAAAACAGATCATAATCTGCTTCAGTCGAAACGGATCATCTCCCAAGCTGTGTAAAAGGCGAATTGAGGGGGGAGGAATCTGGATGTGGCCCTTTTCGTTTTGAATGGGAGGGACCTGTACCTTTGCCCTGATGGAAGCAGACTATAGTGTGAGTGCAGAGTGCAGAGTAGTGCAGTAGTAGTTTCAGAGTGTGAAAGTTGTGTGTGGAGATTTGGGAGCCCAGATACTGAGACAAATGGCTTTGAATGAAACATGTTCAAAACAATTGAATTAAACCTTCTTCCAGATTGTGCTTATTGGGGACCACAAACAGTTGCGGCCTGTTGTGATAAATGACCGCGTGCGGAAGCTGGGCATGTCCAAGTCCCTGTTTGAACGCTGCTACACCCAATTGGAAAAAAGGAGTGTAATGCTGGATACACAATACAGAATGGTGAGATTATATTTACTTGTGTTTTGTGACTGAGTGACGCCTGCCTTTAATAATTGCTTTTATTCTTAGCACAAGGACATTTGCAAGTTTCCATCAGAGGAATATTACGAGGGAAAGTTACAAACTGGAGTGGAGCAACGAAGCAGCGTGCTGCGTGTGAACAAAAAGACAATGCCTGTTGTGTTTGGACATGTCATCGGAACAACTGTTCGCCAGGTGGTCAGTTCTTCAAAAGGCAACGAGAACTCCAAAGCTAACCGAGAAGAGACACAAACAGTGGTATGCGTTTTTATAATAACACCTGTGAAAAGAAAGGGTACTGAACACACTAATATGACATTCTGTTTTGAATTATAGGTAGCCATTGTAAAAAAACTGACAAGAAACGCTAAAATTGCGCAAAAAGAAATAGTCGTTCTTTCTCCTTACAATGCACAAGTCTTTGAAATCAAGGAAGCATTGAAAAAGGAAGGACTGAAAGACGTCAACGTGAACACCATTACAACAAGTCAAGGTCAGACAGCACTTCAGCTTGTTTTGTCACAAGGTTCAAGTTTAGAATCTGAATCACACCTCCATCATTTCATTTGCAGGAAGTGAGTGGCGTTATGTGATTATATCAACAGTCTGCTCCCTGCCCAGCAACGAGATCATGTCAGAACCAGACGGCTCATGGCTCTCCAAACATGTGGGCTTTGTTGGTGACGCTAACCAGATCAATGTGGCCATCACCAGAGCCAAAGAAGGACTGTGCATCATAGGTAACGCAACAGAGCTAAGGCATGTGTGAAGGTTATGTGTACTCAGGATTTCCCTACAAAAGAGAAGATGAGTTAGAGTTTTTTGTTTTTTTCCAAGTTTCACACAGTAGATTAACTTGTTTGTATGCAATTTTTATTTATTTATTATTATTTAATTATCCACCGGCTGTGTCCTGGTCGCACACAATCAAATACAATTAAATGTGTTCAAACAAAGATCACAACGACATCAAAGCGTCAGACCTCACAACAATGAAGCAGTCAACAAAGCACTGTGATGCTCTGATCTTTCTGATGCGATGACTGAAAATAGAATTAGTGAAGCGCAGCCTTAATAAACAATTCCAAAGCACATCTGTAACCTTGAATAAAAATCCTCTCCTTTTCCTTCACAAGAGAATCACAAGTTTTGACAGCTCCTCCACATCCGGGGTAATGGTCAAACTCTTCATGAACAGGACTCATTTTCCTGCCCATGTATAATTTTCCACATTTTCTTCATAGATCGATTATCAGTTTACATTTTTGGCACATTGTCAGTTCTTGTAATTATTTCAACAGCATTAGAATAAGTCTGAGTGAAACTAAATACAGAACACAACTACAACTCTCAGCACTGACTTCATTTAAACTTCATTGGTTAAATGTGCCAACTTTATCAACAGGTAACCAGGAGTTGCTGAATTGCAGTGGAGCTTGGACAAAACTGCTGAACCATTACAAGAGGCACAACGCAGTGACTGACGCAGAGAAGATTTCAGTTTGTCAACTCTGATGTCGACTGGAACAGGATCAAACCGCTTTACAAGATTAAAACTGGTCTGAATTAAAGTCTGTGAACGCAGCATGAACACAAGGGAACAACCAGAAAGCCATTCCACAACTATGTAGCTCAGGGATGGTTGAGATATAGTTGATCTTAAATTATTTATGTTTTTACTCATTATAAAGATGGTATACTTTTAATAACTATGTATATTTTAACATTATATTGACAAAATAAATGACTCTGTGACTACAAAATACAAACAAGTTTTGTAAATCTAGTTTTTCAGTCAAATCAGCTTTGGATAAAAGTTTAATTCACAAAAATACGTTGACCAAAAAAATAAAAATCCCCTCATCACACACTTAGTATCGCACCCTTTGTATCTGTATCTGTACACTTTATATCACTTCAATTTCCTCACTGTGGGACAAATAAAGGAATATCTTATCACACATTTAGTATTGCAAATTTTGTTTCACACACTTAGTATCGCACATTTAGCACATATTTGTTTCAAGTTTGTTACTCATGGGCCTAAATCTGCTGTAACTCTCATAAGAGCCACTGTTTTACAACGAAACCCACAAAACGTATTTCCAGTTTTTTTTACATGTGGCTGTGCGTCATGGAAGGTACGCACCAGAGTTTGCCTGGATACAACACAACTAGCTGCAGGTAAATATACTCAAATCAGTCAAGAATAGAGCGTACAGCACCTCCTTCCTTATTTGCTTCAGTTGCCCATCAAGATTAGAGGTTGTTTTTTTAAGTAGAGTTGTGCTATTCTTAATCATATTCACTTGTATTCTGTGCTCTTCATTCCTACTGTTGTGTAACTTGTGATGCAACACTGAAATGTCTACATCATGGAACGAATAAACTTAAATTATTTACAAGGGATGAAGTGTCTTGTCTCTCACATAGCTTATGTCGCCATCAAATGTAATATTAATTTTAACAATGCACTCATCCTTTCTATAGAATTAAGCACAGGTTGTTTTGTTGAGCGAGAAACAGCATCTCAAGCTTTGCTGCTCTCTTGTGGTGGGAATGGACAATGTTTGTGTGGCGCATATTTATTTGGTTGAACGGGATAGTGTGTATTTGTGAACAGCATGTTCTGTAAAAACACCGGATTGAAACTTTGGACTCATTTCCATCTATTGTCTCAGTCCCACTCATAAACACTCACCCTGAACCAGCCCTGAGTCACACGCATCCAGTTTCATCAATCTCAGCATTCAAGCCTGCTGAGTTCCCAGGTAAAAAAAAAATACATTTAGGTTATACTTGTTTTATAGTATTAAATATACTTTCATTCCACTATACTGAATATGCTTTAAGTGTGTTATTTTGGAACAACTAATTACACATTAAGTTACATTTTATATCATCTTTAGTTCAACTTTTGTATATTTTGAATATATTAAGTTGTGTTAAAATGGAACAACTTTTTAGATTTTTAGTATATTAAAGATGTACTTGTGAAAATGTACACAAAAATATACTTCAAGCATATTACTAAAATATGTTAAAGTACAAATAAAATGTATTTACATTATGTTTCTGTTCTATTTTAAACACCATAAAAATAGACTAAAAGTTCAGTATTATTACACTTTTTAAACAACTTAAATTGTACTTAAACATAATACAAATACATTTGGAAACATATCATCAGTGCTCAAAAAACATTTTAAAAGTATATTTTATTTCTGCTCAAATATATTTACCAGAAATATGATCAGTACATTTCCATCAAAACATGAGTGGACTCTTTGAACTCTTCTATTAACACGTTTTTTTTGGTGTAGTAACTTCTATGGTCTTTAGTTTTGGAAGTGTAATTACTCATTGTTTGTACATTTTTGGTCTTCCTAACTTTGCCTTTCTGTATATGCAGTTTATTTCCATGTCATTCTTTTAATGAAATTATCTATTGTTTTGAAATGTGAATAATTCAAATTCAAATGTAGCTTTTTTCAGTTGCTTGGTAAGATACACAACATTCAAGCCCTGTTTTTCAACCAAGACCTCAAAATGCTGGTTCAGGACCTTGAGGTCTTGCTTTCAGACAGAGAAGTGACCACAGTTACCATAGCAACACATTGTTTACTTTAGCATTCGGTCGAATTTCAACAATCTGTTTTGGCTGAATTTCAAGTAAGTTTTATGAGACTGACAGTTTGAGTGAAACTGTGCGTGTGTGTATATTATATTAAAAAGCCTTTATCTCGGGTTAAAGAGACATCAAAAAGGATGAAAACTATCCACTTTTAGCTTGGCATTTCTCAGGAATAGAAAACAACTAGTTAGAAGTAAAGTTTTCACCTGATAGCCACGTTTCAAACCCGTTGTGTGAACATAGAGAACTCTGTGTCAAACATTGTCAAAGATCGTCTGGTACTGGGACTCTAGGCCGAAAACAGCTGTGTGTATTTATCTGGCACGCACTAGCAACGCAGACACACCCACAGACCGCAAGTATGAGATAGTATGGGATCAACAACAATACCTGCTAATACCTGCTCTTCTACAAACAAAACTCGAATTAAATACACCCACCGTATCAGGGCTTGACGTGGAACAAACGGATATTTATTTTATATTTAGTACTAATAATATTATAATAATCTTTATTTGTATGGCACTTTTAAAAACAATGTTTACAAAGCGCTGCACAGTCAGCATGATAAACAATAAAAAACAGTCATAATACAAGGTCAAAATAATTAGATACAGAAACACAAAGCAAACAGAGCAAAACACAGAAGAGACACAACAAAGACTCTCATAGTTCCGCGCACCTTCATGACGTCATAGTTTCATGACAATTTTCTTAAGCTGTCAAGTCTTTAAATCCTTTCACATGTTGGCCAACGCTCTCGGGTTTGATTTAGCTCAGGTGTAGCAATACATCCGTTTCATTAGTAATCAAACATTGAATTTGATCTTTGACTCATAACTGAAGATGATTTGTCATAGGTTGTAATGGTATTTATTATCTGATATAGGGACACGTTCATGAATATCTGATACATTGTAAACGAATATGCCAGATTATAGTTGAACAGATACGCTTCCATCTGCTGCGTTCATTAAAATATAAAGCAAACAAAGGCAGTGCTACTATGCTTTTTAAACCAGAAAATAGACACATACACATTTGTTTCTGAGTGATTCCAATGCCCTAATAAAATTAATCCACTTTAGCTTCAGGAGGGCTTTCTTGTTGCCGATTTGTGGCAGAGTAAAACATAAAACACATGTATCGCAATGGAGAAGGTCATATGACTTTACAGACAGTAACTAAAGTGACGATGTGTTGCTTTAATGGGTTTGATGATCATTCATAATCCCTGACGTTTACCAAATGTACACAGCTTTTAAGAACATTGAGGAATGTGTTGTTCAAGAAGGAAAATAAAACTAAATACAATATGACAAACACTCATACAATCAGAATGTGACTCCCAGCCGTTTACTTTGAAATTTTGTGTTTCGATTTCACCAGAACTACATCCTTTTCAGTTTCCTTTTCTTCAATAGATGATTATTGATAATAAACTGGTGAGAGGCTTGTATTTAATCTATAATTTAATCTAATAGGCTCTTACTTAATTTTCTCTTCCAATATCTCTTCCTCACTTCCATTGATGTTTCAGGGTTATGCCTTACTTCAGACGAATCTTTACATTTTACAATTTTAATTTTTTTAGTTTTAAATTTTTATGTCTCCAGTTCATTAAATAGAACCTTACCATTTCAAAGATCTTTTAACTATTCCAAATATATATGTTTTAATTTACAAATTAATATGGCGACTGATTTATGTGCTGTCCGTATGAGCCATGAACTTTGCATCCCGTGTAATCTTCTGTCCAGTGGACGCGCCCAAACGCGCATTTATACCTGCATTATAACAGTTTCAAATGTCAGCTCGTCTGCAGGTTTGTACACGTTACACATGTGGAGAGGGACCAGAGGGACCATGATGGGACTCTGACACTGGAGGATAGGACCAAATACTCATGGATCTATCAAAAACAGACTGACATCAGCAGCGCGTGCCGCTCTGCCTTCAACACGCATGCGCATGGCTGCAAACGATACTGACGGAATAATAAGGAAACGAAACTTAAGTTCGTGCCTTTATATTCGCACCTTGCGGCTGCTCCATGTCATTCTTGGGAATAAAAATACCCGAGCGTGGTGGGTGAGTTATATTTTCTATTTTCTTCCTCCTAAAACACTCTAGATGCATGGGAGATGCGCGCAGAAGTGGGATATTTTTTTTTATTTCAATTTCCGTATTGTGAAAATAACTATGCTAATCATGGATTTATTCTATTATACACGTAGATGTGCCCGTTTGTCATCCTGTATTTTATTGACATTTATATAGACCCAGCAATATTTTTTACAGGGGAATCTTCGCCCTAAACCAGGCGGGTGTGTTCATTTTGTGTGAATTGGAATCAGTTTTGAACTGCATCTTTACCCTCTTTAAGTGATGACCGGAAAATCATAACTTCCTTTTTTTTCTTTGTGTTCCCAACTGTCCCACAATTTTTATTGTTGCAACAATGGCGTATTTTAAACATAAAATACTTCCGTGGTATTTGTCTAGTCTCCTAGAAAACCTCCTGACTCTGTACTGGGCGACCTCTGCTGGAGTGAACAAGAATATTCATATTCTACCCAATGTTCACACAACAGGATATATTTCTAAAATGTGCCCTTTGAACAGAGTTGTGTGTTTCAGCGTTGAATCTAAGTCTTTGCTGTTTTCACAGAGACAATGATGTGCACATCACTGCCAGGCGTCGTCAGCTACATCAGCGGTTAATATGACATTGTTATGGTCCCATGTATCAAGTCCAATAATCTATTATAATCTCCCCATCCCCAACTCTAACCCAGGTAGCAGTCCCTGAGGTGTTGACAGCTTGTCATGGCTGCTGCAGCCTCTCGTCTGGAGCCACTGTTGGCCCAATATGACCTGAGGCTTGTTTGTAATCAGTGCTCTGTGAAGAAAGGAGAAATTACTTACATGACACTTAAGTGTGACCCAGAGCAACATCGGTGTGCCCACAGTCTGCTGTTATGTCGGGTCAAAGGAGGCAGCCACTGGAGGCCCGTTTCCAAGTGCCCCTTGTTCCCAAATCCCAGTGTGTATGAGGTCTGCTGGTTCTTCAGGGAGGGCTCTGGCTGCTCACAGCATAAGAACCGCTGCACCTTTGCCAGGAGTGAGGAGGAAGCTGCTGTGTGGAACTTTGAGAAAAACAATAAGACCAACCATCTGGATCTCTGTAATATACTTGCTCAGTCAAGCAAACGTGCTGGGTCCAAGTCTACCCAGCCTCTAGACCTCGTAGCTCTAGACTTAAAGGCTGTCTGTGATCAGTGTTGTGTTCAAGAGAAGGAAATCACCTACACTATTTTATCAGCTGTTCACAATTGCACTGGAAGTCTTCTTTTAGCTAAAGACAAGACTTCAGATCAATGGCGTCCTGTGGCAGATCGACCTTTGAATGGCACCTTTGGTCCAAATCTCCATTATCAAGTGTGCCACTTTTTTATTGAAGGCTCTGGATGCACAGCACATGGAAATGGCTGCACCTTTGCTCGGAGCAGTGAAGAGGCAGCTGTGTGGAACCATATCAGGAACAATCAGATTCTTTTAAAGGACTTCATTGGACAAGTGGCTCTGGCCAGTGTAATGACCCCAGAACAGGCAGCTCAAGGCCTCATGCAAAGCTTTCCTGGCCGATTTAATGAGCTATGTGCCCAATGCTTTTATGATCGACCAATGAAGTTGGTAGTCAAAAGGTGGAATGACACTTGTTCTGCAGATGCAGCTCATGAATGGAAGCCTCTTCTTGTCCATCACCCAGAAGAACAGGGCAAAAAGATCAGCCATATTAGACCTCTTCCCCAAACATCATTGCTTAAGTTTTGCAGCCATGTCCGTGATGGAAAGCCCTGCTGGCACAACCCTGCTCACTGCAAATCGGCTCAGAGTGAGGTAGAGATGCAGGTGTGGATGGCTGAACAGCAGGGCCTGAACCTGCGCCCGCTGATCCTACAGCTTCAGCCACAACAGGAAACACAGCAGATCTCCTTTTACTGCAAAGTGTGCTTCCTCATCCTGTCCTCTGCTGAGAGCTTCTACAAGCACTGCTCCTCTGTAGAGCACGCCCAGTTACTGCGACAGGACACCAGCGTCTGGTGGAGAAAACGTCCACCTCCTCACAGCAGACGGGCAGAATTCTGGCTCTGTGACAGGTCAGGAAAACACTCGCACAGTATCTGTACATGTCCAATTTTAGTTTATTGTAAGATATGTTAGGCAAGGATTTTTTGTTGACTTTGTTGACTGATTTTGCATTGTTTTGACTGATACATTCTCATAGAACCTTCTGTGATATGGACACTGCCTAAATAAAGTCAATAACAAAAGGTTCTAGCAACCTGGTTAGAGGGTGATAATAATAAATAATATTCAATAACAACAAACATAGCAATGTTTAATCAAAATGAAAATCTCAACATGCTTAGAAAAATAGACAAAATATTTAATGTATATTGGACACTGCCTAGATTCTCATCGTGACTGATAGAACTGCCATGTCTCTTTTAGACCTGAATCGTGTGAATATGGAGGAAAATGTCCCAAAGCTCATTCTAAAGAGGAGCTCCAGGAGTGGATAATGCGCACTGAAGAAGTGGACGAGATCAGACAGAACATTGAAGCTGAGGGCCTCATGAGTTATAACGAAAGACTCCTGCAGGAATACAGAAGCTGCAGCAATGAGGTCCACATTGTGAGTACCAGTAAGACTAAACTGACTGACACCTCTCACTGCTTAACCATAATTGTTTTGGATTGTTCTAACAGATGTCTGAGTATGTCGACGACGTGTCCATCTCTAGTGATGAAGATTTGACTTTATATTGTGATCAGGTTCACACAAAGCTGCAGTGGAACTTCACAGTAGAAACAGAGGTATAATGTTACTGCAGAAGAAACTAGACAAAGCTTGGTTTTGATTTGTAGCAATAGTTTTACCCTTTGATTTGGCTGTTTTTAGATTTCACTGCAAATTCTTTCTATTAAGAAATTATGGAGTTCACTTTTGCATAGCTTGTTATAATAATATCCATTCACATTCTTAGCACTGACAGACTAATCAGTTGAGCACACTAACCCTGACATACCCTGCGTGTTTTGTTTAGAGGGCACTTGAGCATGTGGCGTTGCTGAAGCAGGAGCCTGGAGCATGCTTTTCTCTTGAAGACGGCACCATTTGCATCTATTCATCTGGTCCCAGCTTTTACACCGATAACACCACTTACACAATCCCTGTGTGTTTCACTTCAGATGTGCCTGGCCTGTATGAGCAGTGGCTTGTACTGGAGTTTGACATTAGGCCTGTGTTGTTGAAAAAACTAAGAGTAGTGGTGGGTCAGCGCTCGACCGATGATTATGAAGAGACGGCCGTAAATGCTGCAGTCGCTCAAACGCTCGAACGCTGGCACTCGGGAAACAGACTGATTGTCCATTGTATAAACCGGACTGAGGAACAAGAGGAACTACTGAAACGATACAAACCACCACAAATTAACTTTCAATTCAAACCCGCCCTTAATCTCCACACAGAACTGAGTCATGAGAACTACAAGGAGCAGATGCATCATTTTCTGTACAGTGAGGAGCGGGCAGAGGACCGAGCTGTGTCAAAGTATGTGTTTTTGCTAATTAGGAACATGTACAGTATGTTAATGTTATTAATGTAAACATGCCAGATTATTGGGATACATTGTCACAAATGGACTCACAAATCAATGGCTATATCCATCCATCCAATCTGCTAAGGTCTGATTTGATATGTCTATTAAAATGTATGTCTGAGTTAGATATTACCCCAAGATTTAATTTTGTTTGAGTTTAGCTGAAGAAAGTTAGTATTCATCACCTCACTGTCTGTTCTGATAACATGTTGGATGCAGTTAAGGAGTGAGTCCACTGGTCCATGTTTTCTAGCAGTAATAAGTGAGACAGATCTGAGAGTTGCCTGATCATGCAGAAGAGAGACAAAGAGAGGACCACCCTTGTTCAGCCAGCCAGATCTCAGCCCAGTACCATATACTGACTCCCAATGCTGTATTATCTTGTAAAAGGGCCAAGATTACAAACATTTTCCCTAATACAATGAAGACAGCACAATGTGGTCTGATTTGTTCACAAAATGTTACTGAAAGACTATTTCGGGTGGGACAAACATAATGTTTGGTACCCACGGTAAAAAACTATATTAATTGATTACTAAAAAGATTGTCAGTTTGATTGTACAGCTAACTGTATTGTATTTTCTGCAGGTTAAACATAAGTGGAGAAATGAGAGTCAAAGACCACATCACACTGTGGGGCACAGGGGAGCGAGAGCTTTTTGGAGAGATCTCTCTTCCCTTCAGTCTCACTGCAGGGACGGCTGAAGGCCTGGCTCTGCGGCGAAGCATCCACTCAGCACTGATCGCCCCTGCATCTAGCACAGCAAACAGTAAAGTCTATGAAGCCATCATTGTGCAGGACAAGACTTCTGAGAATGTGTTGTATTTGAAACTGTCAAAAAGGTGCTGTTCTGAGCTCGCACTTAAACGCAATACATCACTTGAGATGGAGGTCCAGTTTCAGCTCAACCGTTACCACTTCTGCAGTCTGCACAAAGCTGTGGACCTACTTCCTGATACAAGCAGAGTTCTTCCAGACCTTGAAAATTGCACTGTTCCCACAAACAACAATCAGTTTGACAAGTTGAACGCAAAACAACAAGAAGCAGTACGATTCATGATGGGAAAGGCAGATAATCAGAAATGTGTTGCTCCGTTGCTCATTTATGGCCCGTTCGGCACAGGAAAAACATTCACCCTCGCTACAGCTGCAATGGAGATGTGTCAGCAACCCAACAACAAAGTTCTTATCTGCACCCACACCAACAGGTAAGCTGATCTCACCAGAGATTTCCCTAGCATACAGAAAATCTTCTGATAGAATGAATAAATAAATAACCAAAATGCTTTGTATTAATCTGAACTCAAATATGTTTTCTTTGATTTCAGTTCTGCAGATTTGTATGTGAGAGACCATTTTCACAAAACAGACGCTAACATTCGGCCACTTCGGGTCAAAGCGAACACAGACCGGGGACTATGGGCCACAGATGAGATTACCTTGAAGTTCTGTTTTCTCAATGAAGATAAGAGCAAGTTTCTACCACCAACCAAAGCAAAGTTAGATCAGCACAATGTCATTGTCGTCACCACAACTATGGCACGCCAGCTGCACGACCTGAAGCTCCCAGAGGGTTACTTCAGCCACATTCTGATCGATGAAGCCTCTCAGATGTTGGAGTGTGAGGCTCTGTCAGCCCTTGGTCTTGCCGGAGCAAAGACACGAGTGGCCTTAGCAGGAGATCACATGCAGTTGGGACCAAAGCTTTTCTCTGTGGAAGACCACAAGCGTTCGGATCACACTCTGCTTACACGCTTATTCCACTTTTATCAGATCCACAAGGGCGAGTCTGCACGAAGGAGTCGAATCATACTGAGTGACAACTACCGTTCTACCAGAGAAATTGTAGACTTTGTTTCTGCGCATTTCTACTCTGGTAAAGGTGATGTAATCAAATCCACGGAAGAAGTGCCTCCTCCTCCAAACGGCCACGCCCTCAGGTTCAGCCATGTCCGAGGAGAGTGCCGCTTAGACAGAGAGACAGGCACATGGTACAACAGCGAAGAAGCCGACAGAGTGGTCGAAGCTGTTAAGGATCTACTTCGAGACTGGCCATCATCCTGGGGACCACAGTCTATATGTGTTCTATCAGAGGGGTTTCAGGTAATTTTCTTATCTATATTTCATTTGAAGTACAGTGAGTATCACTGTAATTATCAATTGTAATTGTGTCTCACAGGTCAAACAAATAAGAAGGAAAATGTCAAATCAAGGCCTTAATGAGGTGAACGTTCTCAATCTTGCAAATGTTCAAGGTAATGAATTCAATTCTTTGCTTCAAATGAATCTGTGTCTATTCTACAACCCAAATGATTATTTCCTCCTCAGGTTTGCAGTTTCGAGTGGTCATTATATCTGCTGTGCACTCTTGTGACTCTCTTAAGGCCCTGTCTTGTCCCGAACTGTTCAACGATGTGCGTGTTTTCAACACTGCGCTGACCAGAGCTCGCTCACTGGTGTTAGTTGTTGGTGATGCTGCTGCTCTCTGCTGCTTTGGACAGTGCTCTCAGATCTGGAAGAATTACGTAGACTATTGCATTCACAGCAACAGTGTTGAGCCACCATATTTTTCAAAAGATTTCTTTGAAAAAAATTTAATTGAAACCAAACAGTTTCTGAAATGTGTTGAAGTTCAGCAAAACCTCACTGAAAATGATACAATTCTTCAGGAACTAAAAACTGAGTATGAACAATTCAATAAAGAATTGGTCAGTGATGATGACAATGATGGTGTGAATGTTCAAGATAGTCCAAAAAAAACAAAGACACCTTCTACAGAGACTGATTCAGATCATTCAGAAAAACCCCATGAACAGCTTGACATACAAGGAAAACTTGTCCGAGAGTCTCCCAAACACGGCTATGTGATATCATCCACAAGGCCTCATTTGCGAGTAAATATAACTGGAAGAAGGAGTCTAGGGAATGCCTTTACTGGAGATGAAGTGATAATAGAAAAAGGAAAAGTGACTGCCATCACAAAGGAATGCGACTCAGCTCGGAAACTTTTGTGCTATCTACAGGACGAAGATCACAGCAAAAAGAAAAATATTTCTAGTAATTTCATTTGTCGAACTATGATACCTATCTGTAAGTCTGCTCCAGTAATCAATGTGCTCATCAATAAGAAAAGACGTCGTGATCTCCCGCTGTGGAAGAAAATCTATGGTAACTGGACTCCTGTAGAATTCAGAAAAATTGATGACATTTTAAAACAGAATAATGTTTTTTGGGTGCAAGTAATTACCTGGAAAAAGGAGTATTGGTGCCCTCTGGGTTATGTAACTGATGTTCTGCCTATTGGGCGTTCGTTGAGTGATGGTCTTCGGAATCTCAATATGCAATACAATGTTGGTCCTTCAATATGTGCATCAGAAGACCTGGAGGATACTAACAAGACACACAGAACGGACCGGAGCAGCAGAACTACCTTCACCATTGACCCTCCTGGATCCAAAGACCTGGATGATGCTATCAGTCTAGAATCATATGATAAACACTACAGTTTAGGGATCCACATTGCTGATGTAGCAAGCTTTGTACATATTGGTGACGAACTGGATGAAGATGCAAAACAACGCGGCACGTCCTATTACTGCCGTAATGAACCAAAACGCACCATCCATATGTTTCCTCGGGAGCTAAGCACTGGACTCTTCAGCCTCCTCCCAGGAGAAGATCGTGGAGTAGTGTCACTCATGTTCAAAGTGGATAAACAAACACATAGAATTATGGAGCCGCCAGAGTTTGAGCTCTCAACAATTAAATCTGACAGAAAGCTGACATATGAAGAAGCAGAAAATATAATCAACAGTGTGCCAGAAAATCCTGATGACAGGAAACTCAAATTGGCTTTTGAGTTTGCAAAAGCCCGAAGGAAGGAAAGGCTTAAGAACTGGCCGTATGCTCAGCCTGATGATGATGAGATTCCTGGAGAACGTAAGGCTCATTTAATGATCGAGGAACTAAGTGTGCTATTCAACAAGTATGTATCAGAAAAACTCTGCAGCTCACGAGAGACAAGTGGTTTTGTACCTCTTCGCTGCCAACCAGAACCATCTCAACAAAGTCTGGACAAACTAAAGAAACAATATACAGATCTCATACCGGTGTCGTTTAGTCTGTGGCATAAAGTGAAGTGTGATGAGCAGCAAAGTCCTGATTGTGATTCCTTTTGTGTGCTCCAGTACATATGGACGAAGATCCAGGCAGCTGCAGAAGCTGGTGATACTGATAGGTTGGTGGATCTCATCGCTGCTGATGACATCCACCCACAGCTGAGACCCCTCACTACTCAGTTCAGGAAGTGCTTAAATAAAGCCTATTATATTCGCTCCCTGTCGTCCCAGAGCGCAGAGGTGGGCCACTATTCTCTCCAGTTACAGAGTTACACTCAGGCCTCCTCACCAATACGACGTTACATCGACATAGTGCTGCAGAGACTGTTGCACTGCTCCATACTGAAAAGTCAGGTTCCCTTCACCAGAGAGGAGATTAGCAGTCTGTGCACTGACTATGACCAAAATGCAAAGAACGCCAGAGAGTATGAACAACAAACAGTAAATATTTCCTGCGCTGTAGGTATCATGGAACACAGTGTTTGTAAAACAGCATTTGTGGTGAAGGCTGATGTGGAATCGGACAGTTTCCTTCTGTCTTTACCTTTTCACAGAGATATGTTTTCAGACATTTTGTGTATGTACAAAAATCTAAATCTGGATGATCAGCCACAATATGATGAGACCAACCAATGTGTGGAACTAAGATGGCGGAAAAGAATTTATGCTGCTGACAAAGAGAGACTACACATAGAGATGGGAAGACAATGTCACCAAAGTCCGTCTTTGATTGTTCCATTCAATGTGTGGAAGTCAACTGTTGATGCAGTAAAGCAAGGAAAGTGGAATGAAGTCAAATCCCTTATATTGAGTGCAAAGACAGAGCAGATGCCCCCACAGACCACTGTGTACTCAGGGAAGATTGAACATGTGGTAGAAATCAGCCTCCTGTTGAAGCCTGGAAACACTCTACGGGTCCAAATGACCTGTGAGGTGCACAGGGGCTACTGGAGACCTGCCATTCAGCTGGTGAGCGTCACACCAAGGTTTGAGGTCTGTGTGGATCATGCCAAAAACCCTGTTACCTGCTTCTCCAGGTGTGCAGATAATCCTTCTCAGATTCACTACAAGAGTCCTGAGGACTATGTACGTATCTGGAAACCTCTGTGTGAAATGGAATCAGCAACTTCTGCCGTCAGGGACGGGGAAGGAGTCATTATTGAAAACTTAGAGGTGAACTTTAGTCAAAAAACCGGAGATTCACTTGAAGGAAGCTTCTTCTTACCTTTAGAATGGATTGAAGATTGGGCTATCACTGGGTTCAACCTTTCACAGTGCTTGTTGTGCATACGCAAACCAGGTCTGCCTTTAAAACAAGACATTATTGAAAAATATGATTTAATAGATCATATCAAACCAGGAGACCCTTCAGAATTCACATGGGTGGTCCACGGAGTCACAACTTTTTCTGAAGAGAAAAAAAAGGAACCAGCAGGAAATCTGGTTCATTTTTACGTCAACCACCGTCCAATGAAACTTATTCCTGATATCATTTTCAAGAATAGAACTTTCACAGTTGAATTGGTCCCAAAGACACTACCTGACGTGTAAGTCAGATTGACTTTTTGATCTACAACAGATTCCGTTTGGAAGTTTTAACCTGGTCTGATTTCATTTCCACAGACGAAAAGAAAGTGCAGTACTTAATGTTCCCAAAGCATGTGCACTTGTAAAGAGCATAGCACTTGGACATCACATTCCAAGAGAAGGTAAATATTATTCAACCTTACAAAGTGTCAATTGTTTTATCACCATTTAAATGATTAATTATGCCTTTTGAAGACTTGTCAAGACCAATCGTAAAGCGTAAGGCCTTCTCAAACGAACTTCCACCTCTGAATCACAGTCAGTTCCAGGCAGTGGATAAGGCTTTGAATAGCACTTTTACACTTATCCAAGGGCCCCCTGGTAAGCACAGATTTTGTATTGATAACTGCTCAAACTGCAGATAATGTTGGTGATGATCAGATTGTTTGCCTTTTTTTTAACTAAAAATAATGTTGTTTTGCTGCTTAATCATCCGCATATCACTGTACACACAGTGGCGGTGGTTTGAGGCGAATAACAGGTCGAATAGAGCTAAATATGAAGTCCTTTTAGCACGTTATGTTGCCTTCAGTAACAGAATATTTTCCATAGGAACGGGGAAGACCGTAGTTGGAGTGTACATTTTGCTCTGTTTTTTGGAGATAAACAAAGAGAATCCCAGAAAAGTGATTATAGACGACAAGGACAAAGACAAGAAAGAAGTGATTCTGTATTGTGGTCCGTCCAATAAGTCTGTGGATGTGGTTGCAGGTAAAACTCCCTATGTCAAAACAGTACAAGATTGGATTAACCTTTTGAATAATATAAATGTGATGCTTAAATGTAGAGTACATGTTGAAGTTTGAGGACAATCTGAGAGCCCTCAGAGTCTACAGTGAACAAGTGGAGAATTGTGACTATCCGTACCCAGAGAGTGTTCTTCAGTTCTCTACAAAGACACGTCCGGAGCGTTCCAAAAACAGTCTCAGGTATAATAAATTATCATCCAGAAGTTTAGGATCAAATAAAGAAAATGTAGAAGAAAAAGCCTAAAATATATATTCACTGTTTGACATTGTTTTTCAAGGAAAATCACGTTGCATTATTGCATGAGAGAAGATTCAAATCCACATTCAGGTGAAATCAAAGCGTGGGATAAAAGAATTCAAGCAGCTATCGCTGCAAAAAAACCCTTCACCGCAGAGGAAGTAAAAAAGTAAGTGGTTTAGAATATAACATGTTGGAGGAGTGAACAGTGTGCGATTGGCTTATTAAACTCTGACTCTTTCAGATTCAGAAAACTCCTTGTAAAAGCTCGTAAATACGAACTGGAGAGACATGACATCATCCTGTGCACTTGCACTCAGTCGTCGACCCCGGGCCTGATGCGTGCAGTGAGTGCTCGACAGATCCTCATTGATGAATGCGCCATGGCAACAGAACCACAAGCTCTCATTCCACTCGTCTCCTACAACCCAGAGAAGGTAGCACCACTTTACACTAAGGATGCATTTCAATCCCTTAAAGGAGCTATACCTGATTTATTTTCTAAGAGTTCATAAAAATACGTATTACTACATACAAGTTGTATTAAAACCCGTTATTTCATTGAAAAATTGAGCTCATTGATTCAGCTTGTGTATGAATTCAGACCATGCAAGGTGCTGAAGAGTCACTTTGAGTGATGCTTGTTCTGCTCCAACAAGCAGAACAAGCATCGAGAGCGGCGCAGTTGCAAACACGCCTCCTCTAGCGTCTGCAGCGCAGGTAAACAAGGACAGCATGGCATCAGAAAGTGCCAGAAAGTTTCTCAAAATGAGAAGCTTTTTTTTTGCCTTTTTTTAAACGACCAGACCTAAGTAGGCGGGGCCTTGTAATAAAAAATAAAAAAAACCTTGTATGTGATTCGAATAACCACTTGTCTGGTATCTTAAATGATGTGTTCCCTCAACCACTCACATCAAAGCACACAATTCAGAACACTGCGTTGCTGGATTGCCAAATGCAGGCAAGATTTTCCAGCCCAAAACCCGCGGGAATGCCCCAAAAAAACCCACCCAGAATTTATTTTTGACTAAAGTAAGTAAGTAAGTAAGTAAGTAAGTAAGTAAGCTTTATTTATATACCGCCTTTCACAGACCAGAGTCACAAAGCGGTTTACAATTGTTATTTTTTGGGCACTTGTCTCTCACTCCACACAGAGATGGGAGCGGGTCGCCGAACAGGAGGCGCATGCCAGAACTATTGTACATATTTTTAGTGGTAGGGGAAACCGGAGTACCCGGAGGACTAAAAATGTATTGCAATCAACTTGGGCTATCATGATTCTGTTTTTGTCTCTGTCTATTTATTACCTACAAGTCGCTTGGAACAAAAGTATTCTTGGGATTAATGAGCAGAGATGGGACAACTCTGTTTCCCCCATTGAAAACCATGTAAATATTGTCTGTTTTGGAGTCAAAAGACTGTCATCCTGTGCGGTGTACAGTTGTTGTAACAGTCTTAATCGGGAGGGGGACACTCAATTCTAAGGGAGTACAAAAAAATATTTCTTAGAAGAATCTTGATATCGGGCCTTTTTGGAAAAAATAACAGAAGAAATTGCTGCGTTTCATTCGGATGGCCTACAGGGGGCGCTTATCTGGGAAATCCTTGATCCACCTTGCCTGCCTCATTCGAGTGATTTTTTCAAAGTGTACTCCTTTATATGAGACCACAGTTGGAACACGAAAGAAAATCTTGTCTTTCTCTCTATTCGCATGGTTGCTACAACCGTACATCGCACACGCCGTGTGTATACCCGGCCGACTGTACCACCAGGGCATGTCCGGTCCGGTCCTGTCCGTATGTCATTCGCCCACTGCCCCGACGTCATATGAAACCCAAGAATGCGGGAAACTACCCAACCTGGAAACCCTGCTGTGTATTGTTGTGATGAGCACTTAACTAAACCAAACTTTACACTAGCATTTGACACCCATATAACAACATAGAACCATCAACATCTCGCCTCAAATTGCATTAAAAGTGACATCTGTGTCTTAATTTGTTTGTATTTAAGCTTTTTTTTTGTATTAATCACGGGCTTTATGTCAGCCATCTTGGTTTGATAATAGATCCATGGCTGAGACGCACAAGAAGGCGGTGCAAACTTGACGTAACACTGGCGATCCTGATTGGCCAATTATTTTTTGATCTCCTGAAGGAGTTTGCAATGCGCTCGATCCCTGACCCTTGTATTCAGTGAAACGCCTCTGGTGGAGCATGGCGGAACTACAAGCGTCTGGCGAGAGTCAGGCTACTAAATTAGTGGTCAAACGTATAAAGGGTTATCGAAGACGATATCGCACAGTTTGAATGTTTAGCACCGCCCCCCAACTCGCTCACAGGCTTCTCATTTCCCCTACGCTCTCCTGCCACGAAGCCCCCTAGTTTTATTTGCGATCTGATACGTATGCAAACATTAGCGCAACTTCAAACAATCACTGATGAAATTTTACAAAAGCAACGCACTGCTAACAAAATATATAACTGAAAGGTTACCGCTAGTTTCGCGTCCAAATGTAGTCCGAGGCGGTCCCGCTCCTGCAGGTCTCTCCAGAGGACTCGATGTAAGCTACAGTAGCTATGTTCATTCGGGCTTGATTTCTTCTTTGATCATTTTTTCGCTTCAGTTCCCTCTTCTCTTCCTCACTGTTGCGTCGTTTGGGCTATGTTGCTGTGTATGCAGTTACAGCCAGAGGAAGTATAGCCACTTTCTGCAATCATGCAGCTGTGTTTACCTGCGCTGCAGACACTATGGGATGCAGCCATGGATCTATAATAATAACTTGATAGTGTATTACTAGCTTAAAGCTGTCCTACTGCAAACTAAATTCACGTGGGCTGCCCAGAAATAAGTCCCTCAATGTAAATTAAAACAGCTCGACCTCAGCTGACAGAGAGCCTACAGCTTTCAGAAATAGCTTTCAGGGATTTTAGTGTCCCTTGTCATCCTGAACTTTTTTCTTCTTAAATCCTTCGGTTTTCTTTAAATCCACACTTTACTGCTCCTTTCCCGCTCTGACTCCGCTCTACCGCTGCTCTGATCAGCAGCTCTGATTGGTCAAAGCGCGGCCGAGCCCCTCTGTGCACGTGCATGAGAGCCACACACGAGTATTTGGTGCAACGCATCATGGGAGCTCGTCCACTGGGCAGAACCGGGAGGACCAGACGATACCCAAATATAGGCGAGTTCAGCTAATCTCCCGGTCTCCGTGAAGTCCCATGTGTTACTGAGCACAAGCCATTCATTTGAATAGAGCGCCATCTTGGATCACCGGGGCTTGGAGGCAGCCTGTTCGCAACTGCGCACTCAGCACTTTTTACAGCCTGAATTCATACACTGAATCAACGAGCTCAAATTTTCAATTAAATTACGGATTTTAATACTACTTGTATGTAGTAATAAAGCATTTTTATGAACTCATTAGAAAATAAATCGGGTATAGCTTCTTTAAGTTGTTTATTTGATATCGGAGAATTAGGTCAAACGCAATCATGTAATAAATACAATAGCTTTATTTCAGGGCACCAGTGAATAAATCACAACTGATAACGTGTGTATGACGTCACGTTATCTATTATTTGGCTCATAAATTGATTCAGTAATCTTATGATTCCTTAATTATTTAATTAGTTATAAGTCCATTTCTCTTCAATAGAATCTGAAGGCGTGAATCCTTGTACAAATCAGTGACTGATTTCTGGAGTTAAATCGGCACAAATATCACTTTCAGACAAAGATGTTTTTGTAGATTTAATGCAGTATATACAATACAGATTAGATATGAAATATGCAAATTGTCAAGAATAACATGAAGAAAACGCTAGATATATGGTTATAATGCTGATTAAAATATATACGGTTAAAATACTAAGGCTAAGGTGGGATAAGGCTATGGTAAGGACTAGAGGTTTTTTGGCCGATCACCGATCATTACAATTTTGACCTGCCGATACCGATCATGGCCGATCCGATCAAATGTTGATATTTTTTTAGATAAATGAATAGCACTAGTTATTCACTTTATAACTAATCTTTCAAAACCATCAAGGTACTATGTAGTATAAATAAAATGCCCTAGGGGTACTCAAGACAAAAAGGTATATGTTACAGAGCATTGAGATACATAAAAAAAATACAAATACAGCAATACTGTATATGCTGCATTTCTAAACTGATTAAGAGATAGTTAAGGCAATGTTTTTTCTTCAGGAATATTAGCATCTCAGCATTAGCATTAGGTTAGTTTATTACGTTTATAATCCTGAATAGTCCCGCTGCATAAACAGCCGCTCACTGTCTACACTTGTAAATGGAGCGCAGAGGAAAGCTTACGCTGCTTTGGCCAATGCAGGGAAGCGGCTTTTCTTTTCCTTCCAATAAACAAGCGGCTGTCCGGTCCGAGGCGTAACTAGTTTCGCTAGGTAAGCAACACAGTAGGACTGTCTGTACTGCCACTACACTCATCTCCCTCCAACATTTCTGTGAACATAACATGCAAAGTCCCAACACGGGATGTTTCTGCCTGTGGCTGGGAGCTCAGCGCCTCGCTGTTGAGTGTGTTCGTGTGTCTGCGCTGTATGACTCTGGCTGGGCTTGGAGTGTCAATGTGAGAATATACAGTTTGGTAAAGCTGCAGCAGGCAGACATCAGTCAAATATTTCCGTGATGGCATATTGAAGCAGTGGACATGAGTCGTTTGAACCCAGCGCTTTCCGCAACAAACAAGAGCTGGTGGCACAGGGAAAAAATATCCCTAACTTTCGTGCATATTCCGTTTTGTTTCTTACCGTCATTACTATATGGTTGTTGCCGCAGTAGAATCTCCGTAACTTATAGCTGCATGAGTTGCTTGTTTACGCATTTTTGAGAAGAGAAAGTAACGTGTGTGCACGAACCCCCATGTCATATGATCGGTCTTTTTGATCAGCACATTTCACCGATCACGCAAATTAAGCCGTCATCGGCCGAATATAATCGGCTACCGATCGATCGGTGCACCTCTAGTAAGGACCATTGTCCTTCTAAATGAGGTCTTGCTCTTTGGAAAGCAAGAGCTCATGATTGTGTCCATGTGGTAGAAGCCAACATCTGTTCACAGTTCATAAAACTGCTTTGTGGGTTGCTCCATGGTTCCAGGCCCTGGTCCAGGGGTTGTCCGATTCTCAGGCCTAGTTGAAAGGCCATCTTGAGGCAATAGATAAAGCTGACTCAGAAGTATTGACGGTAGGCCTCCTACAGAGAGACCCAGCCTCCCCTGAATACAGGGAGGCTGGGTCTTATCAGTGCGAAGGAAGGGCTGCATACATTGCAAGAAAGAGGTGACTCAAAGTTATATGGATAAGGCTCTATTTTAAAACACAATAATGCAAGGTGGTGGCAGGGTGGCAAGGACTTTGTCTGTCACTTGTCACCCCAACTATCCATGTGGCTCCACCACTGATAGGGATACTGAATAAATGGCATCAAATGGAACATATTCAAAACAATTGAATTAAACCTTCTTCCAGATTGTGCTTATTGGGGACCACAAACAGTTGCGGCCTGTTGTGATAAATGACCGCGTGCGGAAGCTGGGCATGTCCAAGTCCCTGTTTGAACGCTGCTACACCCAATTGGAAAAGAGGAGTGTAATGCTGGATACACAATACAGAATGGTGAGATTATATTTACTTGTGTTTTGTGACTGAGTGACGCCTGCCTTTAATAATTGCTTTTATTCTTAGCACAAGGACATTTGCAAGTTTCCATCAGAGGAATATTACGAGGGAAAGTTACAAACTGGAGTGGAGCAACGAAGCAGCGTGCTGCGTGTGGACAAAAAGACAATGCCTGTTGTGTTTGGACATGTCATCGGAACAACTGTTCGCCAGGTGGTCAGTTCTTCAAAAGGCAACGAGAACTCCAAAGCTAACCGAGAAGAGACACAAATAGTGGTATGTGTTTTGTTTTGACGCTGGTGAACTTTTCACATTTGCACATTCAGTGTATTGATAATCTGTTTTTTTTGATTCTAGGTGGCCATTGCCAAAAAACTGACAAGAAACGCTAAAATTGCGCAAAAAGAAATAGTAGTTCTTTCTCCTTACAATGCACAAGTCTTTGAAATCAAGGAAGCGTTGAAAAAGGAAGAACTGAAAGACGTCAACGTGAACACCATTACAACAAGTCAAGGTCAGAGCACTTCAGCTTGTTTTGTCACAATGTTCAAGTTTAGAATCTGAATCACACCTCCATCATTTCATTTGCAGGAAGTGAGTGGCGTTATGTGATTATATCAACAGTCTGCTCCCTGCCCAGCAACGAGATCATGTCAGAACCAGACGGCTCATGGCTCTCCAAACATGTGGGCTTTGTTGGTGACGCTAACCAGATCAATGTGGCCATCACCAGAGCCAAAGAAGGACTGTGCATCATAGGTAACGCAACAGAGCTACTTTTGGCTCTCCTGAAGGGAACTCCTGAACACACAAAACCATAAGTATAGTGCACCAACACAGACATGGAACCATCCCACACTTTCAGACTCTGATTAATTTTATTTTCCATTTACAGTAAAACCACATTGAAATACATATGCAAAAGTCCCCAGTGTGCCCCAGACAAGTACATAATTAAAACAAGCTAAATAGTACAGGAAAAAAACAGCTTAAAAAATACAGAATACAATTGTCACTGTGAAATCGATCAAAAAAAAAACAGTTTCAAATAAATACAAAATCATTAACGTGCTTTGTTAAAACTAAAACAGCTTGTGGAAAGAAGATGTTAGCAAAACAAGATCTCCTGCATCTCAACAAACAATATCTTCTGTCAGAAGGAAGAAGTTAGAACATGGTTTTACCAGGGTAACTAGGAGAGTCAGTGATAATTTTAGGACCCATTGGCACCATAAAACGATAGAGTTTTATGGTGCAAGGATTGGCCTTGTGTTCACACAGAGACGGTGTTTCAGAGGGTTGAAAACACAAGCATTGAAAACCGGCCTCCAGAGTGGAACAACACAGCTGTGCCGCGCCGCGCCGCGGGGGTTGTGTCACAGCCGTGTAAAGAAAAATGTGTGAATTCTCTGGTTGCAATGACCTCATCACTTTCCGTACGTGCATTTGGACGTATACGCAGTAGCTGAGATCAACTAATGCTATGTGTGCTTCGAGTGCTATGTGTGCTTTCAGTAAGTAAGTAAGTAATGTTTATTTATATACCGCCTTTCACAGACAAGGGTCACAAAGCGGTTTACAATTGTTATTATTTTTTTGGGCACTTGTCCTCTCACTCCAGACAGAGATGGGAGCGGGGTCGCCGAACAGAAGGCGCATGCCAGACCTATTGTACATATTTTTAGTGGTAGGGGAAACCGGAGTACCCGGAGGAAACCTACACAGACACGGGGAGAACATGCAAACTCCACTCAGAAAGGCCCTGGTCTGGCCAGGATTTGAACCCAGGACCTTCTTGCTGAGAGGCGAGAGTGCTACCCACTCAGCCACCGTGCCGCCCACATGGTGGGCGGCATAGAGGAGCTTCATAGAGGAGCAATTCTACTTCTACTTCCGTCCAAACGAAACCACGCAAAGCTGTGGTTGCAATTTCCATTTTCACTGCTACTTTTAAATACATAATGATGTTGGTGCATTATTTCCCGGCTTTACAGTGGACTGAGGACGATGTTGTTGAGGAAGTAGTTTTACTGGTGGGGGTCATGTGTGTTGCATTATACTGCCCCCTACTGGCTAGGCGCTAGAACTACATTGTTTTTGTTGCTGTGTAGACACTGTGCACTTCAAATATGGAGTGGGGTCTAAATGGGTCCGAAGAGATCTTTTGTGCCACTTGTGTTTTCAGTGGCGTCCAAAATGGCAGGTATGCAAAAGTCCAAAATGAGTGGTACATTGGATCTGTTGGTAGAGCATTGGTTGGTAGAGCAAATGCCAGGTTGACGAACCTAGCTAACAAGATTAAACGTACAATGTTACGCCTTTCCTGTTTTAAGCCCCCAGACCGTGGTCGAGGGACGCAGGGGAGATTCGCTGCTCCAGGGTCGAAGGGATGCGTTCCTCCAGGCCAGGGCGTAACTCCCTTCTCAGTTTGACCCTCGCTGTCAAAAGTGTGGTGCGGATTCAAAGACACTCCGGACTGTTGCTCAAGAGTGGAGCTTTATTGTTTCTTCCAATCCAACATACCATGCACTCGTTCCCTGGCAAACTTTACATACACTCCGCTCTCTTAGCTCTCGCTCTGTCTCCGTCTACCTCAAGGCGCGCTCCCACACACAGACACACACCACAGAGCTACTGCACTTATGAGATAGACAGATCTATTAAATTACTTAAAGCCTGAAATAGTTTGTGAAGCTAACCCTACCATGTTCAGACTCCCATCATTTATTGTAAGCACTTGGCGTGTTATACATTTTTGTATCCACATGATGGTGTAGTGGAATTAATCCCTTCATAACTTTGAACCATGTAGGCTGCGATGCCTCACTGCTTTTTGAGGCTTCATATTCCCATCAATACACTAGTGTAGCCTAATGAATGTTATATGTTACATCTAGGGGTGGGCGATATGGGCAAAAATTAATATCTCCATATTTTTTTCCCAACACCTGAAAACAATATTGTCACGATATCTTTAAAATCACATTTAATACAAAATGATCTGCAATGTTTTGCTTGCCAGGGCATCTAGATAGAGACAGTGTAGATCTAAATAGCAGGGTTTTTTTTTTTGTAAAGCGCTTCACACATCTTTGCAAAACATGCACAAACATATATTTACATTAAAATCAAATTCAAGTAACACGGCAAGAACACATACAATATTTACTGAAATGTACAAATAAGGCAGTGATTGGCCTTTAAGGCACGCATTTGACAAATGGGCATCTTAACTGCTCTAATTGTAATATGTATTGGAGATATGTAAAAAGAAATAAATAAAGACAACAATGCGAAAAGCATATCTTTAAATTCACTTTTGTGATATTATCTTCTACAATATATATATCGCCCACCCCTAGTTATACAAATTCAATGTAAACAATAAATGTATATCTAGCTCTGCCTGAGTATTCCCTCTGATCTCGCACCATGTGATGTGTGGACCCAGCAGTCAGTGCCTGTCTGCGTGATGGGAATTGTTACACCCATTGGTGCTGCAGCGTATAGTACGGGGAGACATATGTGGACCGGACTTGCACTGTTGTCAGAGACCAGGACTCGCTCGTTCACTGTTAAGGACAGGGCGCTTTGTTTGTATTATACAGGTAAAAGAATCTCAGATAAAGTGTGTATTTTATATATTGCTGGAAAACAACATGTTTAAACTTTTAGAATTAACTATTTCAAAGCATTAACAACACCCTATCGCAGACCTGGGCAAAGTGTGGCATGATTCACGTTTCTATGTGGGCCTCTGACCTTTTCCTATCCACAAATTTCATACTCTCTCCCCCCTAATGACTATCCAATGAAGGTTTGCAACTTTGTGAGAGCTACAATGGCAAGTTAAACCTCGTAAAAAAAATTCACAGGATGAAAAAAAACATGAATCCGTTAACAGATAAAGATAAAGAAATCCTTGTAAAGGGTTCAAATAAAAATAGAGCTGCAGATGCAAAACATCAGCTTTACACAAAAATAACATTGGATATACTCAGGTTTCCCACTCCTTTTCTTCTAACAATATCTGTTGTTCCATATTAAATCAAATGATAACTAGATGAAAACGAGTCCGGCCCTCCACAAATATAATTGCCCATCCCTGCCCTATTGTCTCCTTTATATAGCCCTAATACAGGCTGATAATGCTATAGATAATAGACCTATAGCAACACAGTTCTGAGCACAGATAAAGATGAAGTAGAGTACACAGGTTATGGGATAAACTGTGCATTGCTTAGACACAGTACTATCTCTGTGTTCAGTCTGCTTTTGTAGAGGATTTACCTCCAGCTAATAATTGCATAATTGAGGAAAAATTCCTAAGAAAGGTGGATTAATTCAAACACTACAAACCATTTATTTACCAGCAATTAACTATATAAGAATTAAGTATTTATATTAACTCTGCCAATACAAACATCAAATCTGCTATGTATCTTGAACATTTTACATGTTATCCAGTGTCTTGCCTAAGGACCCAGTAGTCTGGTGCAGAGATTGAACCCACAACTATTACTATAGACATGAAGACCCCCATGTACTTGCCATTTTAGATGCCACTAAAAACGCCAGTGGCAAAAATTGTCCTTGGCCTGTCCTTACATCTATACAAACGATAGATTAGAAAAATACACACCAAAAAGTGCACAAATTTGATTTCTTTAACAGTCTTTTTTAACATGTTGTCCTCTCTATAATCACACCCACCTGCTACTGTGATTCAAATGATGAACTATACGTATCCTAAGCTGACACATTGGGCTGAAAAAATGCACCCGTTATTCACTTCAGCAGGGTATAAAAACATTTCATAAAGTTAAATTTGTCACGGGCATCTTCTTTACGGTGGTTTTCTGCTGAAAAGAACGCAAACATAGACGTGTTGGCTAACTGGAGCGCCGATCCAGAATCCGGAATTGTTCCAACGCTCTCCACTTTAGCGGTTCATATGGCCCGATGTGGTTTTTTTGACCTCCGATTCAAAGTCTGAGGGCATAGTAACGCCGAAACTACCTTCAAACGCGATTGACTAAAGATAAGATAGATAGGATAGACTTTATTGATCTCACACAGGAGAAATTTACATGTCACATCTGGCATGGATAGAATCACTCAAGATTGTGCAAAAGAAAGAAATGTGCAAACATGTAGGATATATTATGTACAAGAAACCGTGTCACTACTAGTGCAGGTTTTTCAGTCCTAATGCGAGCGGCTTAAAGTGACATGCGCAGCCTAAGGCCCGGTTTAAGTGGGCCAGGGCCCACTTTGCGATTAGAACCGGGCTTTAGGTGCGTTGTGACCGTGGCAACTGGGCTTTGGCGCGGGAAAGTCGAAGGGGAGGAGCAGGAGCGGAAAATCGACGCACGCAGGAGATAAACATTGCTCAACCTTTCCTCGGGACGCTCGTGCAGCGACCAATCAGAGAGCCGCAAAGTGGTCACGGGAACATTAGTGGTCTGAGCGAGCAGACTGAAAATACTCGTAAACAGCCAAAACAGGAGCTACATCAGGACTAAACCAGGGTTGACAATGGGGGACATAGTGCTTGTTAACATGTGAGTTTTCATGCTCCCGTGACTTTATGCAACTGCTTCGAGCGTGTTCGCCGATGCGGAAGTACCGTTTAATATTAAAATAAACTTATTGCGCACCTCCGTGAACACATTCTGCTGCTATATAAAGTCTGTGGAAGGTCTCTGAACACAGACACGCTTCAAAGCTGCATTATTGGAGAAGATCTTTACACAACAAGCCGCTAGCAAAATTTTGTTAGCATCAAAACGTTTCCCATGATGATGGAGGGGAGGTACAGTCTCCTCTTCTTCTTGCGGCCTCCTCTGGAGCCTCTGCGGATCTCCTCGGGGATCACCGGCTTCTCAGAGTGCAGGAAAGCGGAGTCTCTTAGTCCAAGAAGCTGCGCCCGTGTGTAAACAATGGGACACTTGGGGGGGCTTGTGGCGGTGTGAGCGGGGAAATCAAAAAGTGCTGAAAACATGACTAATCCAGCAAAAAGTCCGAGTACAATGTAACACCTACTTAAACAAAAAAATTATTTTAAAAAAGCACATCTACAAGAAATAAATAGAGAAAGAGTCAGAAGAGGAGAGAGCCGAAGTGGCTAGCTGCTCAGCTGGCGCTGGAAAAAAGAACTTGATGAAATTTTAACATCAACAGACAAAACTTACCAAGGAGGAAAACAAACATGTGTAGAAAGTGGTCACCAAACGTTAGCCGTGAGCGCTTAAGCTAACACCGAGACAGGGACAAGTGCGGCAAAAAGGTAGGGGTGTCCACCTCTGGGTCAATGGGGGCTCAATGCTTGCAATCTCACTCCGGGCAGGTGGGGGTGTACCCAGAAAGAGAATTACCCAATGCTTTTGTATGGCGTCGTCATTCCTCTCAAAAATGGCTTTATAGGATGGTCCAAAAGTTGGCTCTTGGCTCAAAGCTACGTTCCAGATGTGTGTCAATGCTGAGGGGAGTATTTTTTTTTTGGATTAGTCTAGTTTAGCCACTGTGGAATTTTAAATGCGCTCTTCAAATAAATGATGCTAATGCCGGCTGACGCATGCACAAATGCGTTTTTTCACATTTTCCATTTTGAAAAATCCCCACAGAAGGCAAAAGTGGTCACATTAGTTTCAACGGTGGAGGCGAGTGCTTTGAGAGTCTGTATGAAGAATGAAAAAATCTGTCCATGTATAATTTTCCATGATTCTGAGCCCTTCATTCAATTACTTTACAAAGTTGTCCAACGGAAAAGAGAAAATGCATTAATAACGACACATAGGAGCCATTGGTCCAGGGAGCGAGATGACCACTGCCCATAAAAGTTACATGTTTATAAATTTGTCCTGATCCTCACTGTCCGGGACATGAATCAGAAACGGAACATACAAAATGATTCAAAAACCCAGAGAGAAATAAGTGAAGCCAACAAGCTCAGGCGGGGGAGTCCAGTCTACAGGTGCATGAAAGTGGTTGGATTCAGGGGTCCCATCATCACGTCAGGAAACAGCCAATGGGACAGTGGGTGAATAGGACTGAACTGACTACAGCTGAAGCCATAATGACAGATAACGTAGGAGAGGTGAGAATAGTGCTCAAGTTACCACACTTTTCCCAGCAAAAGGTTTCCATGCAGCCTGACTGACCATCTGTGTTATTACTTACGACTTGAAATACAACCTTACCTATCAATATGCTATAGGGAAGACTCATCGATCTGTTGGTGGTTTCAATTTTTGGCACATTGTCAGTTGTAATTATTTCAACAGCATTTGAATAAGTGAGTGAAACTAAATACAGACCCCATCTACATCTCTCAGCACTGACTTCATTTAAACTGAAATATTGGTTAAATGTGCCAACTTTATCAACAGGTAACCAGGAGTTGCTGAATTGCAGTGGCGCTTGGACAAAACTGCTGAACCATTACAAGAGGCACAACGCAGTGACGGACGCAGAGAAGATTTCAGTTTGTCAACTCTGATGTCGACTGGAACAGGATCAAACCGCTTTACAAGATTAAAACTGGTCTGAATTCAAGTCTGTGAACGCAGCATGAACACAAGGGAACAACCAGAAAGCCATTCCACAACTATGTAGCTCAGGGATGGTTGAGATATAGTTGATCTTAAATTATTATTTATGTTTTTACTCATTATAAAGATGTAACAATCATGCTTTTATTAACTATGTATATTGTAATATATTGAAGAAATAAATAATTCTGTAACTAAAGAATACAAAAACGTTTTGTAAAGCAAGTTTATCAGTCAAATCAGCTTTGGATAAAAGTTTAATTCACAAAAATACATTGACCAATATAATGAAAATGTACTAAAATGTACTTTAATAATTCATAAAAGCTGGAACATCATTGACAGAAAAACACAAGAAGCATTATTAGAGTTGGTTTAGTATAATATATTTCAGCTTCAAGAGACATAGAAATCAATCGTTATTTTCCCCCATAGTTCTATAAAAGACCCATTTTTTCTCAGGCATTGTTATGCAAAAATGGCATTAGAATATATTATGGGAGCTATGAAATCCCAGTGACCAAGTATAAAATTAAGTCACATCAGAGAATCTGCAGAAAGAGTCCATGGAAAACGGGGCAAGAGAAAACCATACAAAATAATACATAATATAGACCTTGCTCTATGATCACATGGCGGCGTGGACAGGTGTATGGCGACAGAAGAATTTGCACTTTTCCACTGGATTTCACTTGAAGACATCTACACATGGTGTACTTTTTCATGCTCATTTCGAAGAATATTTATAGTCATACAACTAAGGAGGTAACGCCCAAGTCTTTCAAAAACAATATTGTTATCTGAAAGGTGAAATATACTGAAAGCCATGATTCAACTTCACTAAGGACGCAAGGACTTTTGAAATGGCATATGTGGCACTCGAATATAGTTACAACATGGTACTGAAGGTAGAAGCAGTTAGAAGCACTGCTATTAATCAATAACACGTTTAAAATAATAGCACTGAGCAGGTGTACAGAGCACTGTCCATTGACGCCTTGGTGGTTTTAAATTCCTGCTAAAAATATAAAAATCATATATTAAAGTACCACATATACCACACAACTTCAAAACACCCTCTAATCACATTTTCTGTTAAAAGTCAATAATTAAAATACGAAAAAGGACTTTTCAGCCACAAGAGGCTGAGGACACCTTTATGAGTTTAGGGGCATGTTGTAGCAGACGGTTGGAGTGATTGTGTCCCGTTTGAAGACAGAGGCGAGAGATTCCAGTCTGCTCTCCCCACTGTCCATCTTAAATCCCTCCATCGCTCTGCTTGAGTTCCTCCGGCTCAGAACAGTCGGAGAAGTTTGCTCGACGGACTTATGGCTGATGGAAGGAGGGGTGGGCTGTTGGAAAGCTGGCACGTTCCAATCAGGGCAACAGTTCTTCATTACAGCATTTCTGAAACAAGAGATGCACCATTTACTTACAACAGTGAGCGCTCACAAGTAATCTCAAAATAGGAATATATTCCAACACTTGACAAATCTATCTATTCAGTGTTGCATGAAACACTAGAACTGCCATACATAAATGCAACCATTTTATATTTATAAGGCCCAGTCAAATTCCAAATAGTTTCTAGGGCTTTTAAAAGACATGTTGACTTTTTCATAACTGTACAAACCCCTTTCAATTTTATAAGGCTAATCCTATTTACACAGTGATAAACAAGGTGAAAGGATATTTTCTATTTCCATTGGATCTTTGGGAGCGACCAAATGTATTGTTGAATCTCCAAACTTTCATTCCCTTTTGATCAAAAATCTTGTGTCTCCTTCACATGTAATACATTTTTTAAAGATTTATAAACCCTTTGACTGTGATCACGGAGGCTTTCAAAAGGTCAAATCTCAAGCTTTGCTGCCCCCTTGTGGTGAGACATGAGGATACCTTACATACAGTGTTTGTCTCCATCTCCCCACAAGATAAACATATACACAGTACAGACCAAAAGTTTGGACACAAATGATCATTCAAAGAGTTTTTATTTTCATGATTATGAAAATTGTAGATTCACACTAGAGGCATCAAAACTATGAATTAACTGAATTATGTACGTACAAAAAGAAAAGTATGAAACAACTGAAATATGTCTTATATTCTCGGTTCGCCTTTTGCACTGATTACTGCTTTGCTCACTCTTGGCAGGCAATCTCTTGATGAGGTAGTGACCGGAAATGGTCTCCAACAGTCTTGAAGGAGTTCCCAGAGATGCTTAGCACTTGTTGGTCCTTTCGCTTTCACTCTGTGATCCAGCTCACCTCAAAACCTTCTGGATTGGGTTCAGGTCCAGTGACTGAGGAGGTCATCTGGCCCAGCACCCACCACTCTCCTTATTGGTCAAATAGCCCTTACACAGCCTGGTGTGAATCTACAGTCAATAGTCAGGAAAAGAAAGGAAACTCATTGAATGAGAAAGTGTGTCCAAACTTTTGGTCTGTACTGTACATTTACACACACACACACATTTCTTGTGTGTGTGTGTGTTTTAATGGATGTATTGTGGATGAGAAATTGCTTCCCAGACTCCGAGGCCATGATGCAGTTAGTTCATTGGATGAGCAGTGTAAACGAAAACAAAGAGTGAGCACTTCACATCCATCATTACAGTAATGTGCTGCCCCAGACACATCTTCCATTCACATTTCAAAAATACAGTGATTTCCCATCTTTGTACATTTACTCAGCTCAATTCAAAGTTTTATGGAAAATATTCGTCGCAAAGTGGCATACTTCCCCATTACGACCGTTTCTGTCAAAAACAGAAACAGTCCCGTAACAAAAAACTAAAATAAATCAGGGATATGAAACATTACATTGTGAAGCAGTAATAATAATGCCACATAATGACTCAATTAAAATACAGAGGAACCAGCTGCAAGAAAAATAAAACTTTCACTTCTACACAAATTATAAATTACTTACAGGCTTTAATTAAAAAGCCTCAAAGTTGACCCAGATTAATAGGGACAGAAGAATCAAGTTTGACTAGTTGTACATAATTGTCATTGTATAGTCCTTCTCTATGTCCTATTAGTAAACTCCTGAAACACAGTTGGTCTTCTCCAGTCCCACTCTCTTGAGGATGATGGGAGTTGGTATAAACAGGCCGACAGTGTCCTGATGTGAAGTGAAAGCAGACGAGAACGCACCTGGCTCAGAGCTGCTGCAGGGCGCCGGGGAGGGGCTTAAAGCAGGACACAATTAGATTTCTTTTTCGCCTTCTTCTTTTCCACTGGCGTTTTCCTATTTATCTGTCTGACCAGGTCATAGAAGATCTGAAAGAAATGATAAACCATTTCATATGCATTTAATGATGACTACAGGGAAAATCTCTGAAAAGTCCCATACTATTAAGTTGCACTAAAATGCGAATGACAAAGCCAGACACAGTAATGAAGTTAATAGCATTGGAAAAAGTCTGAAGTGTGTCCATTTTGTCCTTCGGCACTTATCGTTCAGTCCACTCACATCGAGAACGTTGATCTTTGACTTTGCAGAGGACTCTAAAAAGGCACAGTGGTTCCACTGTCGCGCCAAGTTCTGGCCCTGCTCCTTCCCCACCACACGCTCATCCTCCAAATCGCACTTGTTTCCAACCAGGATCATTGGTACCTGCAAATACACAAGTATTACTAATGCACCTACTATGTATTCTTAAACAACATATATGAAAACATTTATTCTTCAAATAAAGAAACCTCTTAAGTTGGGAATCTATAAAATTATACAAAGCAAAACTATCTAGTTTTTATGAAGCGACGTGCCACTGATTTATTTCCGACCTGAAAACATAAATGAATGAATCACTGTGTCTCTGAATCACTGTGTCTCTGTCTTATACAGTGCACTACTTGAAAGCTGCAGACCTTTGGAGAGCCAGTTAAAGCACTGGCGCTCTGCTCTGAGGCGATAGACCTTTAGTTGTTTTCAAAGCTGAAGAATAAAGAATGAATAAAAAGGAAGCATCCCAGATTCTCTCACTTTTCAAGCAGGAGGCGTTTGTCTTTCCTGCAGCTCACTCCTCTGCTACTGGAATATTGATCTTAAATGATGTTGGTGACTTGAGTAGCTCTCATGAGGCTTATCTTATGCAATGTCCACTGAAATATGTATGGTAATGCACCTCATCATCAGCAGGTATCACTGCTGCTGTCCTGAGTGAGACCAGGGGCAGAGGGCCAGGGGCAGAGGACCAGGGGCAGAGGACCTGGGGCAGAGGACCTGGGGCAGAGGACCTGGGGCAGAGGACCTGGGGCAGAGGACCTGGGGCAGAGGACCTGGGGCAGAGGACCTGGGGCAGAGGACCTGGGGCAGAGGACCTGGGGCAGAGGACCAGGGGCAGAGGACCAGGGGCAGAGGGGATGCATCTCTTCCTGCCAGTTTCCTGACTCATTTATCTGGGGAGCTTCAGGCCCGGAGGAAGCCCCGCCCAAACCAGGATAACATCGTCTTCCTTCCTGAATGTTTACAGCTGAATTTGTGCTGAAGTGTTTGGGTCCACAACCTTGGGCCAGGTCAAAACGCAAATAAAATGATCTGCATTTCTTTCAGATTTAGTTGAATTTCAGAGATTGGATACATGATGCTGATAAGCAGCAGGTTTCAGCTTATACACAAGTCCTTATATTTCAAAGAAACAGAACATGTGTGTGTACTTTGATGCAAGAAAAAATAATATGTGCATATTGAGGAAAGAGATTTTTTTCCTTAATGTTTATCTTTAACCTCCTTTCACTGAAGGCAGGCGGCAGGAAGAGTCCATGTTTAGATTCATCCAGAGAACATTGCGGCTTGATGTTTGATCTCCAAACAAGCTGTAGACTGAACTCAGAGCTGCATTTCTCTGGGGTCTCAGGAGAAGCTTTGGTATGTTCCACCAACAAGCTGTAAGCCAGGCCTATGGTATGCAGGCGGAGGGTAATTACCCTGAAATACTAAAACAAAACAAACCCCAGATGAAGACTTTTACTTAATATAGTATTCATATATTCAATGAGTCACCATTAGTCACACTACACCGAGCCCCACAGTATTTAGATCATTTTCTGAAGCGGTTTGTTAAAATAAAAATGGTAAAAATCAGAAACTAATTCACATATTTAACATTTGAGTCCAGACTCAGGAAAAGAAAATCATTGACTGATATTTTGGCATGAGTCGTCCCACCCACAGAGGAATGCAGCTAAGGGGGGAGTGGGGAGGGGCAATGTAGGCGCTGCGCTGCAGATGAACAGGCTGCATTGTGGTAATAAAAACTTTAGCCTATGGGAACATTGCTGCTTCCTTAGACCTGTCACAAACAAAACAAACTGGTGTACGAAAAGGCATCTCTTCGTACACTGTCCAAACTGGTCAGAAAATATTTAGCTGCAATTAAGATAATTATTAGTAAGATCATTAAAGATGTTATACTACTCCTCCCAAAGTTGGATAATTATAGAAGTTTGCAGGACATTCTCAAGTACAACCAAAATAGCAAATTCTTAATGTAAATTTCTCCATTGTGAGATCAATAAAGTTTCTTATGTTAAAGTTGTGTATAAAGCAAAACACACAATTAACAAATATTCTGTTTTCATGTTTAGTTTGTTTAACAGACTTTGCCTTCAGAATGTGAACTAGAATAATAGCATGAATTGCTTGAGGGTTTTGGAGCCCAAGCGGTTAAGGAATTTTAGAGTTATTTGAAGAATTTTTTACTAAAAAGAAGCAGGCAACACACAAAACCTTTTCATCCAAATCAAAATGTCCATGCAGCTTGATTGCGTCACTGGAAGTGTTTCTATGGCGTGGCCTCAGCATCAGTGAGTCACACTGGAGAATAAGCAGCCTCCCAGCCATGCGAGCAGTGACAGTCAGATATGCAGAAGTCATGAGACCTTGGTTGCATAAGAACGAGGAAGTGAGGAGGGGGTCAGCCTTGCAACTGAATTGCTCTGTTACCATTACCATTAATGCCTTGTTAGAAATTTAGCATAACTCTGAAGTGGAACAGATGAAAAGGAGCAATTTGAGTGTTCTGCCAGTGCTGCTGTAAACGGTGCGTGTCAGGCTGAGAAGTTAACCAGCTGCATATCTCCTGCAGAGGTCAGGGAGGGCTGCAGAAGAGATGCCTCCCTTTGGATCAACCTGAAAAGTGTCCCTTTGTCCTGCTTTACTCACATCGGGAAGACCTAATTGAGCAACATTTCTCAATTCTCCCTTGAATTCAGCAATTCAAGGGAACTTCAAATCACTGCTCAAAATTGTCTAAAAGCTTTTTATTATATTTTTTGTTAACCTGTCACTTTGAAAAGCGCAATAAATAGAATGTATTATTATTAATAAAAATAATCATTATAATAATATTATCAACAAGTGCAGTTTTGGCAAATTTTTTTAAGAATGTGCCAAAACAAGTTTCTCCCACAATTAATCAATGTTAGTAATTGTGAGATTTTCATTTTTTGGATTAGTCAACTCAATGAATCTTTTCCAAACACTATTATAACCAGTTCTCACACACACACACAATAAGAGAGTAGCTTTATATTCCTATATTAAGCCAAGAAGGTTGATGGGAGTAAGAAGCACACAGGGGACACGAACATTCGAAGATCACCAAAAAAGGGCATCCCTGGTTCTGCTGACGTCAAATCAGTCCGAGCAGAGAGGGATGGAGAGCGCCATCACTCCAGAGGCCTCGGCATTTAGCAGGCGAGAAAATAGATAATGAGGTCGCACATGCTCTTTGTGTTTGGCAGCTGATCCATACACACACACAAACATACACAGGGACACACATAGAGACACACACACAGAACTAGCTGTGACCAAAACACTGACAGTTTACTAACTCAATAATAAAAATGAACCGGTCTGGTCTGGAGCTAGTTTTGGCATGAGCCTTCAAAATACAGGGAGTGAGAATGGAATCCAATAGCAACATGGACAATGGCTGTAAACAAACGGCAATGACTGCAGGTTGTACTACAGCCTACACCAAACATTCACAATACATAGTTACCAATAGAAACAAATGCAGCTGTGCGCATACATTCGTCTGCCCATAGCAACCAACTCAAAGCAGTTGTCTGGATAAAAGCGCCACTCACATCTTCCGTGTCCTTTACTCGGAGGATCTGCTCCCTCAGGTCCTGGAGGTCATTAAAGGTGGACTGTGCTGTGATGGAGTAGACCAAAGCAAATCCCTGACCGTTCTTCATGTACAGGTCCCTCATCGCCGTGAACTGCTCCTAAACACAAGCGAGGGGCAGACAGACGATCAATACTCTATTATCTATTCTCCGCCAACTCATTTGGATCAAAGTCATTAGACCAGTTCACTTACTGTGCCCGCCGTGTCGAGAATTTCAAGCATGCACTGCTGGCCATCTACCTCCACTTGCTGCGTGAAAATGAATCACAATGAAACACAATTTATCACGAATGATTTAGCCAATTTATCTACAATGGGCTTATAAAAAGGCAACATTCATAGATCATAGTGAGTAGTTTTGAATCGAATCTGCTATTGTAACATTCAAAAAGGTTCTCAAAAGGTTCACTAACAAAATATTAGTGTTTTTCACTCGTTTTGTAGAACAAAACAAGTGGCATTTTATATTCGTTTGTAGACTTCATCTATATGGTTTTATATTAGCCTACATTTACATAGTTTTACATTAGCCGACATCTAAATAGTTTTACATTAGCCAAGCAGATATGACAACAATTGAAAGTAAATTCAGAGATCTAAAAAGGAAATTCCTTAACTTTCGTGTCCCTCCAAAAATTGCCTTGGACTTACAACTCAAGACTCATCATAAAAATCATAAAAATGATTCTGATTCTGACTCAATTCATAGTCTTTAATTAAAGCTGGGGAACCCAAGTTTAAAACCACAACCAATATCTATATATCAAGATTCACCCAACTGTTTTCACATGCATGTATTCTGTAACGATTTAAGAGAAGAGGACCACCCTCACTCAGCCAATCAGCCCAAAGTGTCCAAAAGAGTCAGCGTTCTTTCTCAGTATTCTAGAGATAAAGTGTAATCTAAGAAGGTGAAGATGTGTTGTCTTTACTCTTTCTGTTGGGACAAACTAAATGTTAAGGTATCCAAGCTTGAATAAGTCATGCTTCAGTCTTTGTGAGGACTGTAGTTGGTGGGAAATGTTATGAGATTAAGATTAAGTGAGGATGTAAGTAATCTTTATTTATATACCGCCTTTCACAGACCAGAGTCACAAAGCGGTTTACAATCGTTATTTTCGGGCATTTGTCTCTCACTCCACACAGAGATGGGAGCAGGGGTCGCCAAACAGGAGGCGCATGCCAGTCCTATTTTACATGTTTTTAGTGGTAGAACCAGAGTACCCGGAGGAAACCTACGCAGACACGGGGAGAACATGCAAACTCCACTCAGAAAGGCCTAGTTAGGACCGGGATTCGAACCCAGGACCTTCTTGCTGAGAAGCGAGAGTGCTATCGACTGCCGCCTTAGAATTAAGTAAGATAATATTACCTTACTTTGTTGTGTGCTTAAGTATAACACAACTGTATACTGGAAGAAGGAATTAAATAAATAAACATCTTTAAATTGAGAGAAAGAAAACAAAGAAGATATAAAACAAACTACTAAACATACTACTTCTACATCCTATCAGTCCGTCTTTCATGTCCAACCAAGAAGTAAAATTTCAAACTTTAAAATATCACAAGGCAAGATTTTTAGATTTGAAATATCCAGTTTTATCTCACGTATGTCAGAGTCTATGTATATGTGTCATCTAACCGACAACCGCTGTAGAAAGAGAGCATTACTATAAGAATTGTGTAGCTTTTTGTACAACTGCAATGGTGATTTTGAGATCTCCAAATGGTAATGGCGCTCGGAGGAAATAGTTTGCATTTCTCTGCTTGCGCGTCACCGCATTGAGAGTGGAAAGACATTGAACAGAAGTGAACCTGCCACAGCTGCTACTAATCACGAGCGCAGAAGAACTCACCTTTCTGTACGAGTCTTCTATTGTCGGGTCGTATTTCTCCACAAAGATTCCCTGCACAAACTGAACTGTCTGCAAGAGTGAGAAACAGAAGGAGCCTCGGTCAGTACTCTTCCAACATCCATAAAACACAGCAAATACACCTATTGTTTTACACACTGCCCTTCGTAACCACACAAATCTGGCGGAGTTAAAGCTGGCGTATTGTCCTGGTTTGAACGGTGTCTAAACTTGCAGTGGGATTTACATTAGGGGCTGACAGGTGCGATAACATCTTGAGTCCAGAGTGAAGGATGAACCGACCTCAACACCTGGCCTACAGGAGCTCCGAGGGTCAGGGTTCACTTTTAACAACTTTGGGTCACTTTCAGTCAGTCTTATCTCACCTTTAACACAGGAGGATTGTAATGTTGTCATAATACTACATTTCAAACCCGTTACAAGAAGAACAAAACTCAATACCAATTTAGATACCACGGCGATTGGTAATAACAGCTCTTTTTGGACAATAAACCTCTTACTTTATTTAGCAACGATTGCAACTGTAATTTCTATAACAGTAAGGGTTTGGTTTGGGCTTTGACTAGTTATTTTCTTACGCTTCTTTATTTTGACAATTTTGCTTTTGTTTAATGTTGCTGATTAAAACAAGAATCTGCACTACTATCGTGGTGTGTAGGAGGGAGTGCTGGGTAAGCAATGTGGATGATCACAGCAAGAGTCTGCATACAGTATGTACGTACCACTGTAAGTAAGTAAGTAGTAAGTAATCTTTATTTATATAGCGCCTTTTCACTGCACATCGGAGTTTCAAAGCGGTTTACAATTGTTATTTTTGGGAGTGGGGGTGCCAGTACAGAAGGCGCCAGTACAGGAGGCACATGCCAGACCTATTGTACATATTTTTAGTGGTAGGGGAAACCGGAGCACCCGGAGGAAACCTACGCAGACACGGGGAGAACATGCAAACTCCACTCAGAAAGGCCCTGGTCCAACCGGGATTCGAACCCAGGACCTTCTTGCTGAAAGGCGAGAGTGCTATCCACTCAGCCACCGTGCTGTACATTTACTGTTTCTTATCCCATTAACTCAAATGCCATTTCTCGTCCAAAGAGGAATCTGGATGTGGTTAAAGGAGCCAAACATTGTATTGACATGAGTTGGGTAAATCAAACTGCAATGCCGGGTTTAATCACTTCAATAAAAGTGGTAAACCTCAGTACATTGAGAACATTTGAATGATGTAATCAGAACATTCATGTAAAACTCATCAAGAACAGAACGGTTGGGTAAAAATCGAGACTAGACATGCAAGTGTCGATGTGCCACTTTGCAAGTCTCTTATGTTCATCAAGTTTTACATGTTAAAACAAGGAGGAATTTTAGGCTGTCCTTTATAGTTGTACAGAACAGTAGTGAGAAGAGATGCAAAGGGGAAGATGGTACTTACCAGAGCGGACTTGCCCACACCTCCAGAGCCTAACACCACTAGCTTGTATTCACGCATGGCGAGATCACTTCAGCAGACAGCCAACAGTCTACACTGGACAAACAGATGAGCACAGGGACACAGCCAGTGAGAACTAAATAAATTAAAGAATCTACATTTAAAACAAAGCGTCCGGTTATCCAGATTTATACACTCAAAGCAAAGATATTTCCACTGAGGGGAAAAGGAGAAGGATTCTAGTCATTCCTGGAGGTTATGGACATGAAGAAGCACAACAATAGATGGGAACACCCATCAACGGAGCGGCTGCAGGGTGGAGGAGGTGAGGACTGCGTGACCCCTCGCTAACACAAACCAGCTGCGGTGTGTTTGCTCTCAGCCGATCGGCAGCAATACAGTTCAGTATGACACCAAGGACCAGGCTTCATCCCAACACAACACGCCCTGATGCTGCTCTAGATATGGCACTGATCAGTCATTTGAGCAGTGATACACAGAGGGCTGTTTGACTGGTGACACTGCACAGCTGAGGGAAGTAGGAACAGTGAGGGGCAGGAAATTGTGAAATCACTGGAATATCCCTTAGACGAGGACGATGGTGGGGGTTCTACGCGCGGCCAAATAGGTCACTACAACAACTCGAGCCAGCAGAGGGAGAGGCTGCCATGCAACGATTGGGTTTGGTCATCACTGCAGAAAATAAAAAAAGACCTCCATTATTAATTTGTGTTTTATGCTAGATGTTGCAATAAACAAACTAAAATTAGAGACAAGTCTTAATAAATATAGGTGAATAAACTGCATACACTCCATAAATACATACTCAGATTCAGATGGACAATGAATGGATGCAGATTTTTTAGTACAAATCACAAATGGTTCTCATATGCCTGCCCATACTCTGGCAGCTGGAAACCACCCACCTGCTTGGGTTGTCCAGCACCAATCCCAATAAGTCTAGTAAGTGAATCTGGGACTGTTCTCAGGGGCAGATGATCCACACCTACACAGTTCTTTTCAGACACTAATGCTCAGTGGGCTCGAGAAAGATCCAGTGACCACCAGCTTGCAAGAGTGAGATATGGAGTTGTGGTGTGGCCGTAGTCTCTGCAGGCATCAGAGACAGATCACCACGAGCAGAATGCACCAACATTTTTATGAAAACCAATTAAATTAATTGAATAAATATTCTGCATTATTCTAGGCCATTAAAAACCTTGATATGTACTTTGCCATTTCTTGTTTAAGAAATAATAATTGAACTTCAGACCCGTTATTGCAATGTAATGGCTTAAAGGGTTTTTATAATGTTCGTTTAATACTTTCTGCTGAGCAACTCAAATTCTCATCGACTACAAACAATTCCACAGCAAGTCTTGTGATTCTGTTCGATAGTCAGTGATGCCTGCTCAAACCGACGGGGTTCAGATGAGAAAGCTCTTTGTTTAGATTATAGACTGTATAAAATTGTGCTTTTTCTATGATCCTGGTGTTTGTATTTTGATATTGTCTTTGGTCAATCCTTTTATGACCCATATCTGGATGTACAATCAGATGCCTTCATTCACAAGGCAAACTCAGGTTTCCTTAGCAACCATTTTAGCGACACGTCTGCCCCTGTTACGACGTGAAGCAAACTCTGTTAAAACAGATGTATAAGGAAAATTGACAGCTACACAATAGATGTTCAAATCGGCTTTGTTAGTCTACTCCTAATATATGGTCAATGTATGGTTTTGGTTTAGATCTACCATGTGCTGGAATATTGTATTGTTTAGCTTATTTAAATTATATAAAAGTTATAATCAATCATTTAGAAACTAAATCTTGACACTGGTGGAGAGAACACAGACATTTAAAAATTATGGTCAGAAATAAGTTTCTCAAAAATAAAAAAGGGAAGGGTTTTTTACTTTTACCGTAATTATTACATGGATTCTAAAAGTAGACTTGTGAATGAATAAATTAGCAATAATAAACGTATAACTTGTGCTTCCCTCTAAAACTGAACATTGTGTGTGGCCGTTATGAATACGGAGTTAGTTTTATAGTTAAATAAATGTTATGTAAATATTGAGTGTAGTACATTGAAATCTCAGGGTGGTACAATAAGCCATTTAAATATTCATGGGCAGAGGATATTTGGATGAGCTTGAGCATTTTATGGTTTTTAGAAGTTTCCTACTGTACCCTTGCTCTGGCAATTGCACAACCTGAGATTTTGGGGGTGAGGGATGAAAACAAACAATATTATGTCTTTTGTAAACTTTTGTTGAATAAAATTATGCATACGAGTCACTGGTAAAATTATTGGAAAAATAAAAATTATATCTGCGGACTAATTTTTATTAATGAAATGAGGTAAAGCTTCTCAAATGTCATCGTCCGCCACACCTCAGGCTTCTACACTGATCCACATCTATATTCAGGCCATGACACAATGGGAGGCGCTCTTGTCTTGTATACAAAGTTAGATTCCAGGAAAACTTGAGTCGTTGCGCACCATCTCCCTGCTCTAAAAATCACAGGGCCATTTAAGGACATCTCTGAGGAAACCGCTTCACTACTACACCATTGTCCCAACGCACATCACTGTCACATCCACAACATCAGGCCCAAGAAAGGGACGTCAAGATGATTATGATTCTGAGTCCAAAATTTGAGATACAAGTATATTTTTTATTCTTTAATTTGTACATGTATCAGTTTCCATTAACTGAACTTGTACCAAGCAGCAGATATTTACTGTATTAATATAATAAGAGCTCATTCTGAACTAAGGTATGCAGGTATGGCTGCAACCATCAGTCATTATAGTAACCAAATTATCAGTGACCCATTACTACAAAGTACAAAAGGAATGTGAATCCAGAAAGAAGAGATAGGTTTCATAGCAATACCGTTTGAATACATTTTATATTTTTTATTTTAAAAAATCAGCATGTTGCTTCCAGCGCAGAGCAAGCCCCACACGGAAACGTTTTAACATTTATAAAGCAATTCACGTCAAGGAACCAGTCACCCATTCACCTGCACATTCAGAGCGTGTTCACACTTCACTTAAAGGGAACTAACTCACTTGGGACTGAATTCATTAGGGCAGAAATGCATTATCTGTGGAGATGTGAAACCATTCTATGCAGACACTGGGAGAGTGTCTTGCCCAAGAACTGCAGCAGTCACCAATGGGAGCTGGTTTAATACCTGACAACAAATACATGAAAATTAACCAATTAATCAAAGAAATGAAAGTGTGATCAAAGCTTGTTATAATCAAAAAATCTGATGAATCATCACACGCCTCTCAAACTCTTCGAGCCTGTAAATTAGGGCTGCACAATATCGTCTGATTGGTTAAATTTAGTTCAAGTCAACTTCAATGGATAAAACCACATGAAATAAAAGTCAGCATCTGTGACCCAAGATCACTCCTTTACATCACCCAGTCTACAGTGGGAGCGATTATTGTATTATTTGTTTGTTAAACACACACATGTTTCAGGCATTTAGACAAAGTAATGTGTTGGAGTTTGTATTATTTTATTTTTTTTCTGCAAATTAATATTGCTCAATATATCCTTGACAAATAATTATCGGCTTTCGGGAAAATCAGTGGACCCTGAGTGAAAAACAATTCAGATGAAGAGGTCTCACTTTTATGTCATGAACATATTTTTGTTGCACGAAGACAGTTATAGATTTAAAGCTTAAGAAACGACTGAAATTACAATGTATTTAATAGGGTTGGGCGATATTTTTTTTGTACCGGTATACCGGTATAAGTAAATTAAATGATAAGAAAATGCCTTATACCGGTGAAAACGATCATTTAACACTGAAAACAGCGAGCGGAAGAAACGTTTGTGTGCGGCGCACTTTGATGACGCATCAGCGCGGCACGTGTAGCAGAGCGGCGTGCAGGGACAACAACAACAAAGCAGAGAGCAAACATGGCTGAGGGCGGCGGTGAAGACCATGGTGAAGACATGCAGATTGTAGAAGACATTGTGCCAAAACGCGGAGCTACCTCAAACATATGGGAGTAGTTTGGGAACTAGATAAAAAGAAGCAATTGTGTGTAACTATCGACAGTGGATCTAATGTTGTGAAAGCAGCTGCCCTAAACAACTGGACTCGAGTGGTTTGCTTCGGACACTCGCTCTCTCTCTCTCTCTTAGTGCCATTGGTAAGCTTTATTTACTGGTTACTGTCATTCATTTTACTTCAATGCATGCGTTTGTCTACATTGCAATATAATTACAAATAAGTTATAATTACATAATTATAGAAACGCAAAAAGATACAAAAAATATATACAGTATTTGATCATTTTGACTATATTGGGATTAGGAAACATAAGCCAAAGTGATCAAATAATTATTTGATAATGCTACACTTTATATTACAAAGGACAAACTTTTATATATTTTACAAATTACAAATGTTCACCTTCATTACATTTTGCCTGCAATTTTCAGTATGTACAAAACAGAATTCTATACAATTCAGTTTTGTTAATAAGTTTTATATACAATAGTTGTATTACACATTTTGCTGCCAATAAATCAGTAAATGCACTTTGAGGCAAGTGTGTTTAAAATTATCAGTGCTAAGTTTTTATAGCTTTTATATGAGGCTTTGTTAAAATTATCATATTGTCATATCGTGATACATACCAACAAAAATCGTGATATATGCTGAGGCCCATATCGCCCAACCCTAGTATTTAAGCTTCAAATGATGCAGGAGGGTCAAAGGACAGTGGTGATCAGGACACTCGACATTCAACATTTATGGACATTGGTCATTTTGGATTAATGGCTCTATGTGTTGTTATGTGCTATACAAGAATACATTTTAATTTAATTTAATTGAACAAAGAAAGTTAAGTGTAGACAAAGATATCTTGCAAATATTGCATAATATTATTATACTTTATAAACTATATTGAACACAAATAATGGATAATATTTGTTCTTTAACAAAATACTGTTTCAGAATTGATACACATTCATATTAGTATGAATAGTTCAGTGTCAAACTGATATGAATTATAA